ACAGGCGCGGGGCCGGCTAGGACGGGCGCGGGGGCCGTTAGGACGGGCGCGGGGGCCGTTAGGACGGGCGCGGGGGCCGGTAGGACGGGCGCGGGGGCCAGCTAGGACGGGCGCAGGGCCGATAGGACGGGCGCGGGGGCCGGTAGGACGGGCGCGGGGCCAGCTAGGACGGGCACGGGGGCCAGCGAGGACGGGCGCGGGGGCCGGTAGGACAGACGCGGGGGCCAGCTAGGACGGGCGCAGGGCCGATAGGACGGGCGCGGGGGCCGGTAGGACGGGCGCAGGGGCCAGCTAGGGCGGGCGCGGGGCCAGCTAGGACGGGCACGGGGGCCAGCTAGGACGGGCGCGGCGGGCGCAGCTAGGACGGGCGTGCGGGCGCGACTAGGACAGGCAGCTGGGGCGCGGCTAGGGCGGTCACGGGGTCGACAAGGACGGGCGCAGGGGCGGCTAGGTCCTAGAGCGTGGGCGGGCGGCGGGACCTACCTACTGCTGATACCATCTTAAAACTGAATAATGAATGAGAAGAGAACCTGGGTACAAGGATATATAGCCAAGGGTTGTACTCTCTAAGAAGTGACCCTATGAAGTCTATACAAACATTAGAGATATAAATGTTTGACATTCGGGCCCCTTCCTCAGAGGTTGGACCAGTAGTGCCACCCTAAGCTGCGTGTTTCTTGCTCAGCACTACCCCTTATCTAGCCTAGGGGGTGTGTCAACTTCTACATATATTGTTTATGTAGAAGTTATAGGCTAGATAGGGTATGTTCTTAGTGGGTACAATCCAAATGCTATATCTCCCCTGTTCTCCATTCTTCTAATCATTCTTTCTAGTCTTACAGCAACTGAACCAGAGCATTACACCCTCGCGGCACGTTTGAATCACAACAGTTCCTTCTGTAAGACAACTTTCCATCTATAAGAAACACACCCCCCCCCCCCCCTAATTTTGTTCCATTTATAAGCAACTTTCCTGTTTTTCACCTAGGTATATGATAAGACATGTCTTATATCCGGGCTTTTATGGTAACACCCACTCCTCAGGGCTGACGTTTCAAAAAATAGCACCCTGAGCTGTCGAATGTGGAAAAAAATTTACCCTGAGGGCCAAGTGTTGGAATTTTGACTTCCTTGATTTCTCAGTGTTCTGGAACCTACAACCCTGAAATCTCCAGGGTTGGCTATCAACAATCAGGGTTGCATTGCAATTGAAAAATCAAATAGGAATGTACAGTTACTAGTTAAGTAAAAGCACCACTACGCCACGCCAGTTTACAAGTCCTCTATCTAGTCTAGACTTCACAAGATTCCACGCCACTACCTACACTTGACTAAAATTCTGGGCCATCCATGTTCACTTCGTCTTCTGCCTCGTCATCGGACAGAAACGGGTTGTCTTCCACTTCAGGAGGAGCCTCTCCCCCCACTCCCCCCTCCCCCTCTCCCTCATCCTCTGCCCAATCCCCCATGTAGTCGGGGACTGCCTCCTCCTCCACCCTCACTTCTGCCCCCTCAATCGCCTTCGCCTTACGCTTCCTCTCCGCTGCGGCAAACAGAACAGACTTAGCAGGGCGCCTCAGCTTCTCGCGCCAACACTCAAGGGCCTCGTCCCAGTCAGTCTCGTACTGCAGCAGGGAAATGACCATCAGCTCGCTGAGGCGCGCATTGCACAACGCGCCCCGCACCCATGACTTGACGACGTTCTGCCGCGAGAAGCCTCGTTCACACTCCACTGTGCTCAGCGGCAGGACAGCGCAAGCCTGCCACAAGCGCATGAGGTTGGGCCAGCGACTGCCAAAAGGGTTGGGGGAATAGAGTACACGGAACAAGACTAGTGCATTAGCGATGCTAGTCAACAATCGATAAACAACATCCAAAGGGAAGAATAAAAGCGCAAAAAAAAAATGCAACAATCGTCCTTCGAGCAGCAATCTCTCACAAGGTTGACTCCGTCGAGCCGAGGTAGTTCGTCAGGCCTTGATGGAATCCCTCGTCGGCATGGTGGCTCAGCATCAGTGGCGCCCACGTGACCAGCTCCTTCTGCGCAGCTTGCAAGGAAAACCTGTCAGCCTGTTGTCGAACAAGGCACTGCAGCCATGTAGGTACTCCTTCAGCTTCTTCTCTCTCTGCTGCTTCATCCGGGGCCACTTCGACACGCGGAAGAGCTTCATCGGGCCGAGATTGTTCAGGTCCAGCATCCTCGTCTTCAGGAAGCTTATCGTGTCCTTCGTGAACTGCGCGCAGAGCCGCTCGCAATCGGGGTACTTGCTGCGGAAGGCATGCCCGTCGATCTGCTTCTCGTGCATGGTGTAGGTGTGCGTGACTGGGTTGCCGTCTTTGTCGATGCCCCGCACCTTTACGCGTTTGCCCCCTCCGCGCCCGTAGACCGCCAAGAAAGCCGAAAGCCACGTGCCTTCGACACCCCCACCGAACACCTCTCCGCACTCCAAGTAGCGGTGGCGGAGGTGCCCTGTCGCCTCGTCGATGTCCTTTGTCACTTCGGTGACATCGACCTGATGGAAGTGACAGACAAGGGAGTGGAGTCAGAGGGTGATTCCAAACGTGGATGCATGGGACAAAAACTACAACATTAACAGGGATAGAAGCTCGCCTCCCTCTTCTGGAATTTGAGGTTGAGCTCATTCATCACTCCGAGCACGTCCGCCAGGAAAAAAAGACAGAACTGGAACTTGTAACAGATGACGACCTCATACAGCTCATGCCCGTACTCATAAAAGAGAATGATAGCGGCGCCAAGGACCTTACAGAGGCGCCTCACAGCCTCACCCCTTGAAAGCCAGCGCACGGTGTGAATTCCTTGCACTTCAAGGTTGGTGTTGTGTATTGCCCGCTGCAGGTACTTGAAGCGTTGACTCCAGACACAGGAACGTCCCAGAAGATCGGCCAGAGTCCGAATCACAAGGTCGACCATGTCGAAGTCTGGAGAAGCAGTGGCCGCGTCCTTCACCGCCAAGGCTTCCCTGCATGGTGCACACGAAGGAATTTTAGACAAGCAGTTGTAGGAACTCTAAGCGACTGAAATGACAAGCGGTTAAACCTGTGGGCGATGCAGTGCGACGAGACGAGGTGGGGGATGTGCTCGCGAAGTCGGGCGACGAGACCATTGTCTCGGCCGACCATGACAGAGGCGCCGTCGGTGCTCATGCCGGTGATTCGGGAGAGGTCGATGCCAGTTGCTCGCAAGTGAGCCAGAAGAACAGTGAGGAGAGACGCGGCATCGCACTTTTCGACGGTCAGGAGAGCAAAAAACTCTGTGACAACACGATGCGCACGCAAGAAGGTCAGATAAACAATAAGATGTTTACCGCGAGTATGGTCAGTGCTCTCGTCGCAGCTGATGCCGAGGTAGGGTGAGGCGAGAATGTATTGCATTTGTCGGCGCTGCAGGTAGGTTGCGAGGCTGCTGACGAGCTGACAGAAGCCATACCTGTAGTAGCAGAAGTGACAGCAGGGTGTTGGTTAGACCTTTATGAAAGATGAAGAACATGGTGTACTTCGAATAAGTGCATTACCGTATCAGGTAGACTCCGTAAGACTGCAGCGGAATGTCCGGTGTCTCCTGCTCGGCCATGAAGCGGAGTAGCCTCGGGTACATGCTGATGGGTGCATCACACTTGCACAGGAAGTCGACGCAGCGTAGGAGCCTCATGACACGCTTCCCCTCGATGTCAGTCCGCGCGTAATTCTCCATGCGTCTCTGGGTGTTGGCGATGTCTTCGGCGATCTCCATCTGACGCTTGACTGCTACTTCGTGGGCTGTCGTGTGTTCGTGGAACCGCATCGCTTGCGTCTGCAGGTCACGTGCCCCGTCGCGGCTGTTGGAGTACGGTGTTGTCTCTTTGCCGAAAGCCTTGCACACACTGCACTTCAAAGCAGGGTAACCGTCTTTCGTTTTCGTTAGCAGAAGCCAAGGGAAAAATGGAAGCCAGCTGGTCTTATACTTGTGCTCAGCCATGAGATACTTCTGCTCGATGAGTTCCTTCTTTGAGAGATTCGGCGGCTCGGGTTCTGGAATACCAGGGGCCTGAGGTTCAGGCGACGTGCGAGGCGGCGACCGTCGATGTAGCTTCCCGCCGAGGACTATCGTGCTCTGGGTGTACTTCCCGACGCGTGCTTTCTTCCCAGATGAAATCGTCAACGCACACTCGACCGTGTAACGCACGGTCGTGGCTGTCTCGCAGTCTGGAACCAAAGGGCCCCGGCTAGATGAGGCGACAGCGGGCGGAGGTACATAGGCAGCGGCGGGAGTAGATACGGGTTGTGATGGTGTAACGACTGCGGTGGGAGACCGCAAGATGTCTAGAGCGGATCTACGGACCTCCACGGGGGGGTCCCTACCTAGTCCAGAACCATCATCGGCAGTGGGAGACTCTCCAGAGTCTCCTACATCCGCCATGGCTAGAAGCGGCGGATATGATGGAAATGAGAAATCGGCGCGACGAAACTAGAGGAGACAGAAGACCGGAGCATCTCGTAGCTGTGACGTGAAGAACAGAAAAAAACTGGGTTGGAGGAGGAGCTGGTGAAGAAGACGGGAAGAGGACCAAGAAGCACCATCTTTCGATTTTCATGGATGGTGCATAACCCATCCAGGTTCCCGTATCGCCATGGCAATAACGTCAACGGCGAGACGCACCTGCGCTGGCATCGTCTGCACAGAGATGATTGGCGGGGTGATGTCATACAGAGGCTGACATTGCCGCGCTCATCATATTCAGTCCTCGTCTGCTGCGTGCTGAGTCACGAATGCCAGTTGACGGTTGCAAATGTTGCTGTAATGGCAACATACAGCGTGTTCACGGCGGGAATCTTGCCGAGTGCAAATTCCCCACGTGACGCATGCTGGGCGTGTTCAATGGACTGGGCCCCGTCACGCGTAAGGGGGCCATTTCGAGGAAACTCAGGGTCCGCATGGATGTCGCATTCAGGGTTCGTACGCGTTACTCCCTGAAAACTCAGTGTTGGGATAATGCAAAGCCTGAAATTTTCAGTGTTCACAAACATACAACCCTGAAGAGGTTAGGGTTCAAAAAAACCCAACCCTGAAAATTAAGGGTTGGCCAAAAAAATACCCTGTGAAATCAGGGAATCAGGGTAAAATACCCTGATAACAACAGCCCTGCCACTCCTTCGACTGCCTGGCATTTACATGGCCCAACTACATGGCAAGTGCACGTGTGTACAACGAAATCGACGAGTTGGCTGTTACACCGCATAAGGCAGTGGTGGAACAGTCCAGTTCAGCACAAAGAGAGAGGCTCTTGGATCTCCTTCCCCAAGCTGCTTTTGAGGTACTTCTCATCTCCTAGAGGTTGCACTAGCCATATTGTGGCAGCTCATGCATTGATGCCATGACCGGAAAATGCTGCTATCAATACCCTTGCGTGGGTCAAGTCTCAGGAGGCGGTGGCAGTGGCTCTGTACACATGGCACCGGGAGAAAAGAACCAGCCAAGAAGCAAAGCATTTCCACCAAACATTCACAAACCATCCTGAAAAGGAGAGCAACCAACAGCAAAAAGAGAGGGATCGCTTTCACAAGTTTGAAAGAGATGAAGCGTTGAGAACACACCTGCTTGTATTTTCCGATATAGGTTCAGCACAGGATAGATGTTCTCAAACGCCTGATAGATCTCATCTCGCACCTGCAGCACACAAGCATGACATACAACATGCTTCAGAACACAGATGAAGTTAAGAAAACCTGAAACGCAACGTACAGAAGCAACCTGTAATGTGACACATCCTGGAATCGAGCTGTAACACAACACACCTTAGCGCCAGTGAGGACAATCTTCCCTGATACAAAGATAAGAAGCACGATCTTGGGCTGCTTCATGCGGTATATCAAGCCAGGGAAGAGCTCTGGCTCGTACTGCAACATGGTCAGCCATAGAGGTAGCGGCAAGAGGAAGGTAAAGCAGTAACGTCCCATGATAAGTTAAGGTAGGAGGTGATGAGCTAATCAGCGCACACAAAGAAGGCTAGACAGGCCTTGATCCTGGGGAAACTTACGCTGCAAAACTGTTGATGGGCAATCTGAAGCCCTTCTAGCCGGATTGGAAAGCGGACGTCGCAAGAACCCACAATATTTTGAATCTTGAAATCCTGCAAATCCGTGGGCGGGCAAGACATCAGTCGCCGTTGGAACGTGTCAGCAAGAACCAATGGAGAACACCGGCTGCAGATGGACGTGTTACGCAATAGCGCGTCTAAATGATATATGCTTACATAAATTCTAACATGGAAAAGGCTTCCAAGTTGAGACACGGCTTACCTTAAACTTGACTTGGTCGTTGCCAAGCTTTTGAATGATACGAGCATACTGAAGTGAACGCAGAAAGACAGGGAGGGAGAACATAGTCAGAACAAATAGCCTTGACACTATTCGCCTAACAAAAATAGGTCAAGAGGGGAAATTGTGGTGAATGGGGGGGGGAGAAGCGGAGGAGGAGGAAGGGAGGAAAGAACGACAGGAAGCCATTAATCCTTGAGCTTCAGCATCCGGCGCCACAGGCAAAGGTTACCTTGCGAGCAGCTAGCCGCGATTGCTCTTCACTCTTCGCGCCTGTACACACCTGATGCATCACGCGCGGAAAACGGAGTCATGAAGGACTTTAGAGCTTAAAGACCTGTTTAACCAAACTAGTAGAGCAAGTACAGAAGTCGTAAAAACTCCGCAGAGCAGGATTCGTACCACAACGCAAGCTCTTCCTTACCATCTTCCCAGAGGCGAAAACTAGAGCTGTTGTCTTTGGCTCGCGTATTCGAATGATGACAGCTGCGAAACGCTGTAGGCACGAGACAGATAAGAGAAGCGGCATGAAAACAACACGCATCAACCTCAGGGCCTTCCAAGGCTCTAACGAAATAGTCAGCGGACTGAGCTCGCGGTATGCCTAGTCATAACCTCGGCCCGATCTAGTAAGGTTTTTTTTTAAGGCTCAAGGGTGTCAATGCTTTTGCTAGAGGCGGAAGTTAAAGACACACCTGATAATCACGGCTTGTCCTCTAGCCTGCGACCATTCAGTAGGTCGTAAGGTCCCCTACCCAAGCCTGTTCGCTTAAAGACCAGCCCATACCTTAGGGTTGTACTCGGCGTTTCGTGCTCGGAGTGCAATCTCTTTCAGATCCAACCGACAGTCCATGTTGACTGTAGAAACTATGTTTCTGCAAGTGAGAGAGAGAGCGCACCACTCGCCCACGGATTCGTTGAATCGAAGTTTATTCCCATCACAACATAAATCACGCTTCGAATCGTCCTATAACGAAGAGATGGTCGGGAAAACTATGGCGGAGAAGGAGCATACTGGAGAACGGGGACGATCCCCGATGGATGTTTGATTAGGTCCACTGGTTGGCTCCCCTCGTCAAGCACCATGGCCGTTTGGCTCGGCAGTGCGGGCGAGGGTTCCGCCATGACGGAAAACCGAATAAACTATTGTATTAAAAACTTCCTCTTCGAAAACTCCAAACCCAAACCCAAGCACGAGGGGAGCCCCGAGCTCAAGCTTTAGAGCTAGAACGTGGATTTACTTTGTTCACCAGAGTAGGGACCGCTAGGGAAAGGGTGGCTCTTGGACGACCAGAGCAGAGAACCTAGCCCAAGGGGGGAAAGCAGGAAATATGAACAATTGTAGAATAGGCTCTTGAGCAGATATATGAAGGGTTTTGGTGGCTGAGGCTTGTTGCGCAGCACCCAGCCGAACCTGACATTTTCTTCGCCAAACGCAAACTACTGGCATGGGAAGGTACAGCCATCATGCCGTATAGTTGAAGGCGTGTCTAGCGCGTTCATTAACTATTCACTTCGCATATCAGTTACGAAATTTTGACTTGGTAACCCGAAATTTTGTGTCCATTCGCATACGAAAAAGAAATTGACTGTTTTGGCGGACACCCTCCAAACGTGCCCACAGACGTGGGCCGTACGTTTCCGAACTGAATGGAGATCCTGCCCAAATTATATACGCGGCAGAAACGTCCAAATCCTGGCTGGCGAAAAATAGCACGCTTACATTTGCCAGGCTTTCGTGACGCTTGCGAAGGGGAAATTGAGCCCTCCATTTTTTTCCCCCTGGATGGAGTCGCGGCTCGTAATGCGTGTTCGCGAACGCGGGCGGTGCCTCTTTCCCGGGGCGAAATCCGGTTACCTTGCTGTTTCGCGTGTCAGTCTGTTATGTGCGCGCTGCGCACCCGCTCATTTGTCGAGACACGGGCGGGGCTCGTGTCCGCGCATTCACTGTAGGTGTACCTCAACACATTCACACTTGGCGAATCAATATTTCGGCGTGTTAAAAAAACGGCAAAAACTCGTGCTGGGGCAAAACGAGCGCGCTGGACACGCCCTGATTTCAACGTTTAGCTTCGGCCTGGATCCGAACCTATTCCGGCTCGGACGATGTGATGGATGATGTTGTGGTTTGGTTTGCGTGAGATCCAGGCCTCTCGCTAACCAGGTAGTTACCCTTTATTTCAAAAGATTGAGAGTAAGTTTCCATTTTTACGGTGCTTTTTTGTTGTTTCCGAATCTGTCCAACTTACGGAAACGATTTCGCCCGATTATTAGCGTAATGAGTAACTTTTTTTTTTGAATCCGTACGGGCTATACTCGTAGAAGGGCAATCTGCAGGGGGTAGCGATCCCTTCCCGTAAACCCTCCCGCCCCACCCCCCGCCCCCCACTCTCACCATCACACCCGCCCCCACCCCCCCCCCCGCCTTTGATTCCTTGCTAGCCGAATTTGTAGCAGCCGATTAACGGGTTTTTTCGGGGGGATTCCGTCTGTTAAAGGGTAATCCAGAGGCGATTCCGTTCCCTTCCGGAATACCCTGGGGCTTAGCGAGAGGCCTGGTGAGAAGGCAGTTTCAAGGTAATCTTGGCATGGTGGAGTGCCGAACGTGGTTGGTGGGCCAAATTCAAGCATCCAAACTTCGAGTCTCCTGCCTTCAATTCAAATGCCTTCAAATTTCTGGACATGGAAAACCGTTGCCTGAACTTTCCGCGTTCTGTATACGACTTTAAGGAATATTCTATCCTTATCGAGCTGTGCACTAATGCGTACACCCAGTCCTCCTCCCTGTCAGGTTCTTTTCCATCTATCATGGTGAAACAGTAACCTCATTGCGTGGCCTGAGTCAGCCACAGCCGCGTACAAGACAAGCATGAATTGAGAAACCTGCGATGGGAAAAAGTTCCACCACTGGAAGTTTTCGTCGCCTTACATTGTGAAGAGCGAGGAACGATCTTGGCTCACTGAATGACGCCTACAGTATAGCAAATAATTATGCGATACCACCGTCATGATTCAGACACGCACTGTAATCAAATCAGGAGATTGCCTCAGGCTATACACCTAGACCGCGACATTTTCACAGCCTGGAAACATTGCACGGCTTGAGTCTTGGGGTGATGGAAACCCTAAATGATTGTGTCTAGTTCTACAGGCAGAGTAGGGCAGAATCGAAGAGCACGCCCCTTGCACTGAAACAGCTCTGCTGAGATTGTTGTCGAACCCCGTGACAGTTCGCAGAGGCCCGTAATGTTCGAACCAAGAAAGTGCTTACGTTATTTCATTATTTGCTTGAGTCAACCGTGGGTAGCCATAGATCAAAGGGTAAATATGTAGGAAGTTATTAGTAGTGAAAATGTCGCAGGTTAAGTGTAAACCCTCGGACTATGGAATGCTTGTACACTTAGCTCACGGTAATTTCACAACCTGAAATTGGGCGGCAGCTGAAATTTTCTTGTCACCCTGACCATTTCTGAGTGCGTGGACAGTATTCCTTTGTTCCTACAGCCTAAGCGAGACAGTCTCCGCATGAAAGGTGTGGAGCAATAACCCGTTGCACTAAACTAAGATGTCCGGCATTGAATTTCTACCTGACGTCGGGTGTCCTGAAGCGGGAAACACTAAATCAAACGGTAGGCTTTCGTGTAGAAACCCATGTTGAATTTGTTTTACGAGGGTAGCCGAATCTAATCTTTCAGGAAATGATTTTGGGGGGTGCATACCCTCTCTGCGGCACCCTCTGTGAAAATACTGTGTTAAATTACTGCGGGCTAGGTGTACTAAGCAACAGAGCCCTGCTTCTCCTAGTTACTTGCATAAAACTAGTGGACAGAGTTCGTAGGTGGAAAGTGACCCGGGGGGTTAGGAATTCGAAAATGGGAGGTTAGCACTTGAAATGTAGCGGGAATTGTGGGGATACGTGCACGATAATCACATCATGCAAAACGCGGGGCTCAACTAAACGGATATCACACGTGGGCCTGCATACCTGTTTTAGGACCGACTCGCTATTGGCTGCCCGCTGCGCTACCCACTTCCCCCTTGCGGTGGCACTGTGCCCAATCACTAACACTGAGGGGGGGGGTCCGACATGTACGTTTAGATTGCGGTGCAGTAAGTTTCGTTGCGTTTAAGAGCTCCCACAAACTAGTTTAGAATGGTCGGGTAGGGTATTTAGGACTCGACCTGACACTTCCCCTCCCCCAACCACACCAACCAGCGTTTGTCGCCTTCTGTTACCCGTGTACACTTTTTCTCCTCTATCGTTTCATCCGTAACAGTTAAAATTGCAGTCTCACCTACCAGGTTCTCAGCATGACTCGCGTTCACACTGAACCTGATTGGCTGCAGTCTGAACGATAGCGAACAGCCAAGCCGTATTCCGACAATTGCGAGTTTCAGAGCTGGGACGTCGCGCAGGCAACCAATCTAGTACATGAGCGAGGTTTTGTAACCAAGTGTCATTGGCCACTGTGGGATTTCCCCTTCAAGGTCCGTTTGCCCGTGTTTTATGATTTCCTCCTTACAGATTCAAGCCGCGTGCAAAAACCAGGAGATTCAATAGAAGAACAGGTGGACGCGGGACTCAACTGGGGAGGAGATTTGCCCCCTCGGAGGATGGCCGGAAATGCGCGACACCTGAAATCTTTCTCGAAACCCCGTTGCGAAAACAAATCGATGCGAATGTGCTTATTGCGAAGAACTTCCAAGTCCTTCGCAGCAGATACCCCTCGCATACTGTAACCCCCCAGACTGCCTCCCTGCCCCCCCTGCTTGCCCCGCTCTCCCTCTTCGCGTCGCATTCCTTCTCCCCAGCTGTCCACTCGCGCTAGCGTGATATCGTCCCCCCCGATGAACAGCTTCAAGTCATTCCTACTCCAGCCCACACTGGTCTGGATGTCATAGCCTGGTAGTGTCTCAGTGCGTAGCATGATAGCCTGCGGTTACTCACACTGCCCACCAACACACTGAGACTCCACTGGCACAAATGCACCGATGCTAAACCATAGCTGTACGCCCAAGGGAGGAACGCAAGGCAGCGAGTCGCGCCGATAGAAATGGAGGACCTTCGCGATCCCGAACCTCGGGAGAGCCTCGAACCGGCAGCCCCGATGGGTAGTGAAAGAGAGCCGCGGGTACCGGCAAAAGCGGCCACCCAAAACTCCCCAAGCAAGAATCTCGAGCTTGATACCGAGTCGGACATCTGGGCCGCGTTAACGTCACTCCCTTCCGCCCATGGCTCTTCCGCCCACGGCCTTGAGTCGTCGATAAGGCTTGGCACGGGTGAAAACAGCGAGCTGAGCGAATCCCCGGCGGAAATTCCGAATTTTAGAATGAGTCATTCTGTTGCTCATTTTGGTACTCAACAACATGGATCGCTAACACTTCATCGCACCGACGACCATCGCACCGACGATTGGTCGGACCAGCTCCCGAGAGTGACAGAGAGTCAGAGGGTCAGGGAGACAGAGATTCTGAGTCTCAGGGAGTCAAAGAGTCTCCATCATGACACCGTGTCATATCCCGTGACAGTCGCAGGGGTTGAGACGATTCCCGCGCCGCAGGGGCTGCCAGTGGCAGGAACCAGCGGCTCGGCGGCGCTGATCGCGCAGCGCCTCGCGGAAGTGGAGGAGCAGATCGCGCGGCTGTGCGAGCGCAATGCCAGTGGCGCCGCGGTTTTCGCGGCTCCGGCGGTTGCGGCGGCGGTTGCGTCGGGAACGCCTCCACCAGAAACAAGGCGCCGCCGCCGCAACGCGGCGTGGATTATCGACGCGATTGGCGGCGACGAGCGCCAGACCGGGCTGCAACAGACAATCGGGGAGGCGCCAACTGGGGAGGCGATGACCGTTAGACGGGGCGCAAACTCGAGGCTTGAACCCTCTCATCTCGAGGCAGCCACCGCCGCCGCGGCGGGGATCGCGCCAGATGCCCTCGTCGCACCAGACGCAGCGACGGCGATTCCAACCGTGACTGCTTCTGCCGACGCCCCTCAGAGTCCTCTGGGCCCGCGATCGCCGCTATCGCCATTGGAAGAGGCACTGCGGGGCGCGCTCAGATTGGACGGGCGCCGAGGGATTACACTCACCGGCACTGCCGCTGCCAGCAGTCCCTTCGAGCCGCAAGCCACCCCTGCCGGCCCTCCCGACGCTGCCGGCCCAGCAGCGGTCTCGTTTCATTTCCTCACGGGCACCGCCGGCGGCGCTGCCGCTGCCGCCGCAACCGCCGCCATTCTTGCTGACGCCGATGCGGACAGCGCCCCGGGTAGCGAGATCTTTCGCGTGCGTGGCGACATTGACGGCAGTTGGCTTCCCGTTGGCAGTAGAGCGTACTTGGGGGAAAGCGGGGAGAATCATGCGCTCCGCGTGGATGGGGGGGCGAGAAGTGCGGTGGCCAGCAGCAGAGGGGAAGGCGGCGCGCACAAGAGAGACTTGGCGCAGCAGCAGCGGATTGCGCGCGCTGTGCATCATGGCAAGCGGAGGAGATTCCGCGGGGTGACGGGCGGGGAGGCTGGTCGCAGCAGCAGCTGGGACGAAGCAGCAGCAGCAGCAGCAGGAACAGTAGCAGCAGTAGCGACAGTAGCGACAGCAGGAGCTTACAGTTCGTCTCCTCCTGTGTCGGCTTGGAGTGAGGGCTCGTTGCTGATTGGAGGGGCGTATCTGCCACCTGTCAGCGACGGGTTGGCGGCTTCAGATGGGTGGCGAACTGAACGGCCGAGGGAGGGCGAGGAGTACGTGTGCGAGCTGCTGGACACGTGGCGACGAGAGAACGCGCTGAGAGCTGCCGCCCAGAATGCCGAGAACTCCGCCGTCTGCGGATCACAGGGCGGCGAAAGGGAAGTTGTAGGAACGGGAGGCGGAAGTATCATTACAACGCCGCCGGTCGAACTAGGTTCGCCAGCGGGTACCACCCGTGGGACTCGAACCAGAGTCCTGGCAAGCTGGGGCAGTTGCGGAACGAAACCGCTTCTGCGCCTGGACGTCAGCAGCAGCGGCGCAAGCGGCGTGAGCGGGGTATTCGTTCCCACGCCAGTCACGCCTCTCACGCTGGCGAGCCCGCAAGCCGCCGTCGCCGTCGTTACTACCGCCGCTGGAGTGGGCGCGGCAGATCGGGCCGCTGCGGCACGTCGTGCGGCGGACTTCGCGGATGGCGCATCCACCGTTGCCGTGGCGGGGGAGGCATGGAGGGAGCCCGCGGAACAGCTCGGCTCCGCGCATTGGGCACCTCTCAGCTCACCTGCAGGTGGGGAGAATGGATCTGAATTTGTTTCTGGAGCTTGTCCGTCGGATCGGCTGCTCGTCTCGCAATCCGTGACTGGGTTTCAACTCGAGCCGTCGGATCAACTTCTATTCGCAATGATGGATCAATCAACGGCTGACGCTGGTCTCACACGAAACTCAGCCCATCTCTTCGCCAGGGCTCAACCAGGAAACAGCTTGCTCTTACCATGCCTTACCGACGGTATCCAGCGCCTTGCTGTTGACCGCGTTGACCGCGCTAACCGCGCTGACCGTGCTGACCGTCCGAGAGTAGGCTCAGCTTCGCGGTCAACTTGTGTTTCGCCGGGCCTAGAAGCTAGTGCTAGTCTCTCAGGACAGAGCGCCGGCATCGTTCCGGCCAACTCTCCCGCCATCAGAGCGGCAAACGCGGAACAAACTACGACGGGCGACATGGCCGATTCGGATGCTGCGTCTCAGAGAGCGGCGGTGGGTTCGCGGCGGGTTAGCAGGGAAGCTACTACGAGGGAAGCTACTACTACTAGGGAAGCTACTACGAGGGAAGCTAAGTTCGCCGGTGGAGCGAGGAACCACAGAGAGCGAGTAATGGCAGAAGCTCTGGTGTTCCAGGGTTGTGAAGAGCAGGGTAGTGATTTGCAAGCTGCGGGGCTGAGAGCACAAGGCGCTACGACTAGGGCTCTCGCACCCGACGAACAGATTGCGTTGGAGCCTCGCGTGGTCTCTGATGCCCGAGCGCCGCGGCAGTTGCTATCCACGGAAGGGCGCACCCTAGGTGGGCGACACGAAGGGCGCACGGAAGGACGCGCCTTAGGAGGGCGACAGGAAGGGCGCACGGAAGGGCGCGCCCTAGGAGGGCCAGCTTGCGCGCTCCCCGCCGCGCATAGCGCTGCTGCGAGTCCTACAAGTACGAGTCTTGCCCATACGGCGTTGATCGCGGATCTCATAAACGAGCCATACTTGGCGCCTGCTATTGCTGGGAGTGTTTCTGGGCGACTTTCTGCGACTGCCCCTTCTGGGGGTGGCGCTACCCCGGAGCCGCTGATGCTCGGCGCGCTGCGTTGCTGTTTTTGCGGAGCGGTGCTGACGGCGCTGAACACGGCAGTGGTACGTGAGACAGCCTTGTGGGCATGGAGCGCAGGGCAGGCGGCAGGAGACGTCCACGTGGAGTGCTGCGACCGATGCCTGATGACTCCGATTCAGTACTGAATCAGCGTTACCAGAACTGCAGTGCTTTTAGAGCACGCTTCGTGTCGCATGTCATGATGCGAGTCGTGAGAACAGTCTCGCCTCACAATGGACGTCTGGTGGATGGCTCGCCTCCAAGGTTGGGCGATGCGGGTCCAGTTCTCTGAATCAAACAGAGCGTGCCTGGTGATCCCAGTTGGAGGCACGTTGAGGTGATGTTGTTCGTGCGCCCAGCACGGAGGGCAGCAGAACAGAGCAAGTGTAGTGGGTGGGGCGGGGGGTGGTCCATCTACTGTACAATTTCGAAGAAACATTGAGAAATCTGCGATGCGGGTTTTGTGAGGAGGAAAAGCCAGTGCGTCTCGGTTTTCGACATGCGCCTCGGATATTTACCTCCGCACGAAACATGTGTAAAGTGAACTATTTTCGTAAGGGTATGATTTGTGCCTAGCTGGCCAAATGAAACGTGACGCCAGTTCCACGAACTTGTTGGTTTTCCGTGAACAGTTGGCGATGAGATGTTACACCTTAATCGTTTCGGTGACAGCAAATCTGAATAACATCTGTCTGACCTACCTACACTTATCACTAAACATATCTAGTGAGCTCGACTGCGTATCTCCCTTTCTTGGTGGTTGTAACCTCTCCAATCTGCAGTTCAAAGCATGCATGGCAAGGAAACGCAATTGGTGCACATCTGAGCAAAGACCAAGGCTGAAGAACGTCTCGTCGTCTACTAGACTCTCTCAACAATCTTTCACATCACCACTCTTCAGCACCACACCGGACTTACGGTAGCCATATCCCACTTTCCTCTCCCCCCCTCTCCCCCCCACCTCAACGCAAGTATGGCCTCCCCCTCCTCACCTTGAATCTTCCCTTCCCTTGCATCGAAACCACATAGCCACTCTTCACCTTTGAGACGTCTCACAACTAGACCCCCAACCCCCCTTCCCCTCCTCACCTTGCACCGTCCCTTCCCTCGCACCGACACCACATCGCCACTCTTTAGCGCCACACCGGACTTGGCTGCCTCCCTCCAATTCACCCGCACATCCCCCTTCCTGAGAGAAAAGGTTTTGGGTTGGGAGGGTGGGGAACGGGGAGACAAAGCCGATGTCAATTGGATGAGGCTGATGAAATGTGGTTGGTGAGATGGGAGGGAGCACTGACAACAGGAATGGGGGAATGAAGCCAAAGCCCAACTGATGCTATCAGGCTACACTGACGTGATAAGATCAGAGTACTTGGAGCGAGTTGGTTTTTTAGAATTCTCAAAAACCAACTTACAGCCAAAGCCCGACTGGTGCTTTCAGGCTGGACTCGCGCGATAAGATCGGGGAACTTGAAGTGGGAGATGCGGAAGGCAGCAAGTCAAAGCCCGACTGATGCTTTAAGGTCAGACAAAACCTGGCTCTATTACACCAGACTCACGCAATAAGGTCGGTGAACTTGGAGCGGGAGAGGCGGAAGGCAGCACTGGCAACGGCATCAAGGCGCAAGGAGGCCTCGACCGTGCGGAGAGTCTCGATCCTGTGGCACATAATGGTGGGGTATGGTGAGAGAGAATGGTGGGGGATGGTGAGAGATAATGGTGGGGTATGGTGAGAGATAATGGTGGGGGATGGAGCTGTGTTGACAAAAACGCATTTGCGAGTTTGCGTTTTGAGTTTAAGCGCAATCGTTTTAACGCAAAAACTAAAAAACGCATCAAAACGCTCGAACGCACCGCAAAATTTTAACGGGCTGACCAAAGCGCAAATCGCAAAAAAAAAAAAAACGCGCAAAGTCAGAAATCGAGACGCATTTCGCCGCGCATCGCGAATCGACAACACATTTCGCGCGTTGCACGTTCGCGAAAATGTTCACAGCGACACGCAAACTTGTCAGTCTTTCCCTCCCTTTTCCCAACGTGTTTGAAATCCCAGCCCATCCCCCCTTGCTAGATCCAGATCTACATGTAGAGGAGAACTTGGCTCACCTTCCATGCACTGACACGATCTAGTCCTACCCTTAAGCTCTTAATTCCAACAGCTAACTTATCCGATTTCCAGCCTCTAGCATGGCATCCTCCTCGTGGCCAGTAGATACTCCTCAAACGGCTAAGGGCAGGGGTTCCACCGGTGTCACCACATTCGTCGAACAGCCTGACCACGCGAAAGCACGTGTGGCAACGGATGGTAGGCTGACAGAGACGCGCAAATGTCGCTACTGTCCCGCGACATTCGTTGGTGGCACAACGCGCGCCGCACAGCATCTGACAGAGTGGAACGGGATGAAGCGCAATGGCATCCACCTCTGCCCGGCCGTTCCCAAGAAAGAGCGTGACGAGGTCAAGGCGCATCAGGAGCGAAACAACGAGGCGAAGGGCAGCAGGCGCCGTGCAGAGTCCTTGGCGCTGCAAGCTGTCGGCGGCGGCGGGACGAGAGGCCGCATTGCCGTAATTTTCGGTGATGAACCCACGTGCGATCGGAAAGCTTCGGATGAGGCGATATGCCTCATGTTCGCGGCTCTTCGTCTGCCGGAACACATCGCGGACAACCCCATCTTCACCAACGCCATCACCTGCATTGGTCATGCTGGCGCTTCCTACGCTGCCCCCAAGCGGCGGTACATAGAAGGTGCGGGGATGCAGAAGTGCCGCACGCGTGTGGAGACAACGCTTGGCTCCATCGCCGCCATCTGGGATAGGGATGGCGTAACCCTAGCCAGCGACATGATGACTGACGTGAACGGGAGGCCGCAGGCAAACATACTCCTCATCAACGACAGTGGGGCAGTGTTTGTGGAGTCGATCGATACGAACATGGAGTTCAAAACGGGCGGATACATCGCTAGCATCCTCCGCCCGATCGTGCAGCGCGTGGGCCCGGAAAACATCGTAGCTTTCTGCACTGACGGCGGCAGCAATTACGGCGCGGCGTGCAGGGAGGTGATGGCGGGATTTCCCCACATTGAGAAGGTCCCGTGCGCCACGCATGTTTTGGACCTCCTCATGGAGGACATTGGGAAGATGGCGTGGCCGCAAGCAGTGGTGGAGAAGGCGGATTACATCATCGCCTTCGTCCGCAAGCATCAGTTCACGCGCAACTTCATGCGTAGCTGCAAGGCCGATGGAGAAAAGACGAAACAAGTCTTGCGGCCGGCCGGTACTCGCTTCGGGACCGCCTACATTGCGGTGGGGCGCTTCAGTGAGGTGCGGCGGGCCTTGACGCAACTCGTCCTGAGCAAGGAGTGGAAGGATTTTGCTGCTGCAGGGGCGAGGAGGGCAGCGGCGGAGGCGTTTAGCAAGGCTATCATGGATGGTGAGTGGTGGAACGCAGCTGCAGCTTTCACCCACCTCATGCAGCTGCCATTTATGGTGATGCGGGCCACGAATTCGGCGGCGAAGGGAATGATGGGGAAGATTTACGACCTCATGTTGCAGCTTATCGTGGACATGGAAGACATGCTCGAGAAGCGTGGGGAGGAGTCCTGAAGGAGGACGAGGCGGAAGAGATCCGGGGTTGGTGAAGAAGAGGTGGGATGAAGACTTGGCAAGCCCCGTGCACCTGGTTGGCCAGATTCTCAATCCAGCCAACCAAACGGAGGGAATCTTCTGCAAGGATAAGGAGTGCACCCCTGTTTTGAAGAAGTTCCTCTCCACCCACTTCAACCGCCGCATGGTCACCGTCCCGAATGGGAGGACGGTGAAGGAATCGGTGGTGCTTCAGGACGACCTCACCGACTTCTTCATCATGCGTGGCAGCTTTGGCCTTGCCGAGGCAATCTCTAACCGCGAGTTGGTGAAGGCGGGAGAGATGGACATGGTGCGTTGGTGGACTTGGCACAGCACTCACCATTCCGCCCTCACCGCCCTCGCTTGCCGTGTCCTCTCGCAGGCCGTCTCTGCAGCCGCATGCGAGCACAACTGGGCGGTGTGGGACTATGTACACACCGCCAAGCGCAACTGCTTGGGGTCGGAGAAGTGCGGGGTTTTGGTGTACGTCGTCCACAAGTGGCACGTGGTCCACAAGTGGCACGTGGTCCACAAGCGGCACGTGGTCCACAAGCGGCACGTGGTCCACAAGTGGCACGTGGTCCACAAGTGGTGCAAGAAGGAAGAGGGGCTTGGGGCTGTTGCTGTTGCTGGGAACATCCCCGAGCCCCCCATGCCGGAGGGCTACAATGTGCTTGAGGAGGAGGCGGAGGAGGGGGGAGATGATGTGCTTGAGGATGAGAACGAGTAGGATAGAGTAGAAGGTCGGATGGAAGAGGCATAGATGATGGAGAGAAGTTAGGTAGGCAGGAGGAGATGTGGTTGTGGATGTGTGTCCTTAACGTGATGTTAATGTGATGTTAATGTGATGTTAACGTGATGTCAATGTGATGTTAATGTGATGTTAATGTGATGTTAACGTGATGTTAATGTGATGTTAATGTGATGTTAATGTGATGTTAATGTGATGTTAACGTGATGTCAATGTGAAGAGAGAATTCTGTTGTCCCCTCCTCACCCTTCTCCTCCCCCTTCCCCCCCCCGTTCCCCTGCCCGGGCAAAAAATTCTGCCTGCCCGGGCAGGCGTTTTCCGAGCATATTTGAAGCCGAAACGCAAAAACGCGGAAACCGTTTATGCCAACATAGGGATGGAGAGAGATAATGGAGGGGAATGGTGAGAGAGAATGGCACGGGATGGTGGGAGAGAATGGTGGGCGATGCAAGGCACTAGTTGAGTGCAGGGGGTGAGGGGCACCTAGGAGGAATGGAGGGGGTGAGGGGCACCTACATAGGAGGAGGGAAGCTACCTTGGAAAAAGTAGCCCTACCTAAAAGGAAGGTGGAAAAAAACAGTAACCAATTTTTACGTCCTTTTTCGGACGTTTTCTACGGTCAATTTTTTCAGAACGAACGAAAGAAAAACAAGTGGTGTGCTTTTGCTCGAGGGATTTGAGCAGCAAAGAACAAAAGATATAAGTCCGGAAACACCTACAACAGCATTACCATTATTATTACCCATCGACCAAGCTAGACATTGGACTTGCAGCAAGGGAAACTTACATGTCGGATTCCAAATGCTCTTCCTCATCACTCTCAGTGAGATTTGGTCACCGCTGTGACTAAAATCCCATGGGTGGGTTGGAGTTGGACACCTCGCATTCAAAATCTCGTACAAATGTACATGCTACCCAACTTACAAACTTGTACGAAAAAACTGCCAGAAAAAACAGTTTTTTTCGTTTATTTATTTATTTTTTCCACCAAACCGCCAACAACAGCATGAAGCGTTTCTCACCATTTCAAATGGGTGTTTCTCTTTTACGGCGTTTTAAACGCTCATTGTTGGGAAAAAAACGGCGATTTTTTTTAACCCTGCCTGGGAGGAGAGACCTCGAGGTCGGAGCGGGAATGGGTTGCATGGAAACTGCGACACCGTGCACCAGGCAGTGAGGGATGCCAGGCACCAGTTGGGAAAGATGGGAAAGATGGGTTGAGAGCGGTACTAAATAGGAGTGGGCTTACCTGGAAGGGGAGAGCCTGAGGTCGGACAGGGGAATGGGCTGCACAGAGACTGCCACGCAGTGCACAGCTGTGAGGCTGCGAGGGACAACAGAGGCTAGCTTATGGGGAGGGCAACTGCCTACTGGGCTTACCTGGGAGGAGAGACCTTGAGGTCGGACAGGGGAATGGGCTGCACAGAGACTGCCACGCGGTGCACAGCTGTGAGCGACGAGAGGAGGAAGTCTTGCAGGTCTGGACTGATGATCACCTGCGCTCCCTCACCTTCCTGTGGTAGTGTGGATGTTAGGGTGAATGTGGGTGTCAGGGTGTGAGGGGGTGTGTGTGTGGGTGTGAGGGTGTGTGTGTGTGGGTGTGAGGGTGTGTGTGTGTGGGAGTGAGGGGGTGTGTGTGGGTGTGAGGGTGTGTGTGTGTGGATGTGAGGGTGTGTGTGTGTGGGTGTGAGGGTGTGTGTGTGTGGGAGTGAGGGTGTGTGTGTGTGGGTGTGAGGGTGTGTGTGTGTGGGAGTGAGGGTGTGTGTGTGTGGGTGTGAGGTGGGATGGGAGAGATGGGAGCAATGCGAGGGATGAGAGGAGGAAGTCTGGAAGGTCGGGATGGGACTGATGACGGCCTGCGCTGCCTCGCCCTCCTGTGGGTGCAAGGTGGGGTGGGGGGAGTGGGAAGGATGCGAGGGATGAGAGGACGAAATCTTGAAGGTCTGGAATGATCTGCGCTTTCTCGACTTCCTGTGTCCAGCACGTGGTGTGCTGTGGTGTGGTGCGTTGTGGCGTGGTGTGACGCAAGACGATGTGCAAACGAAGACACTGTATTACAACCATCCGCCCTTACACCCATCTGCCCACATTGAACTGAAAAGCGTCTGCTCACCAGTAGGATGACGTCACCAACTTTGTCTCTTGTGATCCCTGTCCCCAGCACTGCTCCCAAGAAGTCACCATGTGAGACCTGTGAGTGCTTGAATGGGCCTGACACTCTGTATGTGGGGGAAAGACGAAGAGAAGAAAGCCAGAGGAAGAATGACAAAGGATGAGAGGGAAAGCGGGTTCAGGCAAGCAAGGTATATCCGTGTCCCAAGCAAGGTATATCCGTGTCCCAAGCAAGGTATATCCGTGTCCCAAGCAAGGTATATCCGTGTCCCAAGCAAGGTATATCCGTGTCCCAAGCAAGGTATATCCGTGTCCCAAGCAAGGTATATCCGTGTCCCAAGCAAGGTATATCCGTGTCCCAGGCAAGGTATATCCGTGTCCCAAGCAAGGTATATCCGTGTCCCAGGCAAGGTATATCCGTGTCCCAAGCAAGGTATATCCGTGTCCCAAGCAAGGTATATCCGTGTCCCAAGCAAGGTATATCCGTGTCCCAGGCAAGGTATATCCGTGTCCCAAGCAAGGTATATCCGTGTCCCAAGCAAGGTATATCCGTGTCCCAAGCAAGGTATATCCGTGTCCCAAGCAAGGTATATCCGTGTCCCAAGCAAGGTATATCCGTGTCCCAAGCAAGGTATATCCGTGTCCCAGGCAAGGTATATCCGTGTCCCAAGCAAGGTATATCCGTGTCCCAGGCAAGGTATATCCGTGTCCCAAGCAAGGTATATCCGTGTCCCAAGCAAGGTATATCCGTGTCCCAAGCAAGGTATATCCGTGTCCCAGGCAAGGTATATCCGTGTCCCAAGCAAGGTATATCCGTGTCCCAAGCAAGGTATATCCGTGTCCCAAGCAAGGTATATCCGTGTCCCAAGCAAGGTATATCCGTGTCCCAAGCAAGGTATATCCGTGTCCCAAGCAAGGTATATCCGTGTCCCAAGCAAGGTATATCCGTGTCCCAAGCAAGGTATATCCGTGTCCCAAGCAAGGTATATCCGTGTCCCAAGCAAGGTATATCCGTGTCCCAAGCAAGGTATATCCGTGTCCCAAGCAAGGTATATCCGTGTCCCAAGCAAGGTATATCCGTGTCCCAAGCAAGGTATATCCGTGTCCCAAGCAAGGTATATCCGTGTCCCAAGCAAGGTATATCCGTGTCCCAAGCAAGGTATATCCGTGTCCCAAGCAAGGTATATCCGTGTCCCAAGCAAGGTATATCCGTGTCCCAAGCAAGGTATATCCGTGTCCCAAGCAAGGTATATCCGTGTCCCAAGCAAGGTATATCCGTGTCCCAAGCAAGGTATATCCGTGTCCCAAGCAAGGTATATCCGTGTCCCAAGCAAGGTATATCCGTGTCCCAAGCAAGGTATATCCGTGTCCCAAGCAAGGTATATCCGTGTCCCAAGCAAGGTATATCCGTGTCCCAAGCAAGGTATATCCGTGTCCCAAGCAAGGTATATCCGTGTCCCAAGCAAGGTATATCCGTGTCCCAAGCAAGGTATATCCGTGTCCCAAGCAAGGTATATCCGTGTCCCAAGCAAGGTATATCCGTGTCCCAAGCAAGGTATATCCGTGTCCCAAGCAAGGTATATCCGTGTCCCAAGCAAGGTATATCCGTGTCCCAAGCAAGGTATATCCGTGTCCCAAGCAAGGTATATCCGTGTCCCAAGCAAGGTATATCCGTGTCCCAAGCAAGGTATATCCGTGTCCCAAGCAAGGTATATCCGTGTCCCAAGCAAGGTATATCCGTGTCCCAAGCAAGGTATATCCGTGTCCAAGCAAGGTATATCCGTGTCCCAAGCAAGGTATATCCGTGTCCCAAGCAAGGTATATCCGTGTCCCAAGCAAGGTATATCCGTGTCCCAAGCAAGGTATATCCGTGTCCCAAGCAAGGTATATCCGTGTCCCAAGCAAGGTATATCCGTGTCCCAAGCAAGGTATATCCGTGTCCCAAGCAAGGTATATCCGTGTCCCAAGCAAGGTATATCCGTGTCCCAAGCAAGGTATATCCGTGTCCCAAGCAAGGTATATCCGTGTCCCAAGCAAGGTATATCCGTGTCCCAGGCAAGAACTGCTCTGAGGGAAGTCGCTGTGAGGCGCGGATGACTGCCCCACACACCTAAAGGCAAGCCACCACCCTCTTTCATGTCACCACACTCTCTCCCCGCCCTCTCACACTCCCCAAACACCTAAAGAGCAAGCCACCACCCTCTTGCATGCTACCACACTCTCTCCCCGCCCTCTCACACTCCCCAAACACCTAAAGAGCAAGCCACCACCCTCTTGCATGCTACCACACTCTCTCCTCGCCCTCTCACACTCCCCAAACACCTAAAGAGCAAGCCACCACCCCCTGGCATGCTACCACACTCTCTCCCCGCCCTCTCACACTCCCCACACACCTAAAGAGCAAGCCACCACCATCACCTAACTGCAGCAACGGCGCCTGGGTATCCTGCTGCCAGCGCTAGAGCATCGTCCGTCGCATCACCACTACCATCCAGATTCACTCCCTCTGCTGTCATGAGCTCTGTGGGCCCCACTGACACTCGGCACCGCTCTGCCTGTGTTGTAGGGAGAGAGGAGTGGAGAGGAGAGGGAAGAGAAGAGGGGCAATGCTCGCTTGTGCAACGTCCGTGGGTGGCACTGGCACCACCATCACCAGCACTCGCTCCCTCTGCTGTCATGAGCTCTGTGGGCCCCACAGGGACTCGGTGCCGCTCTGCCTGAGTTGTAGGGCGAGAGGCGAGAGGCGAGAGGAAAGAGAGAAGAGAGGAGAGAGGGGCGAGGGTTGCTTGTGGGTGGTTGCTTGAGCGTTTCCCGTCCAGCACATCAGCACCAGCATTCGCACCCACAATCACTCCCTCACCTGCCATGAGCTCTGTGGGCCCCACTGGGACTCGGTGCCGCCCTGCCTGTGATGCCGGGAGAGAGGAGAGGAGAGGAGAGAGGGAGAGAGGGAGAGTGGGAGAGAGGGAGAGGGAGAGAGGCGGGCAAGGGGTGCTAGACCGCTGCCCCCCCGTTGCATTGCCACTAGCTTCAAGATTCGCTCCCTCTGCTGCCATGGGCTCTGTGGCCCCACTGGGACTTGGCGCCGCTGGTGATTTTTTAGTCGACTCAAAGATTCGCTCCCTCAGCTGCCATGGGCTCTGTGGGCCCCACTGGGACCCGGCGCCGCTGTGCCTGTGCTGGTACGCCAGGCACGAGAGAAGGGAGGGGCCTGGCGTACCAGCCAGCACGGGCACGGGGGAGCGATGGGGGTGAAGAAAGGGGCCGAGGGAAGGCGCAGAGGGAGAGAGGCGAGATGGTGGGGGACGAGAGACCGGAAGAGAAAGAGAGTTGGAAGGGGAGGCACAGGGAAGAATGGTGGCAAAAGCGACGGGGGGGATGAGAGACGGGGGGCTGAGGGACGGGGGGCTGAGGGACGGGGGGATGAGGGAGGGGGGGCTGAGGGAGGGGGGGCTGAGGGAGGGGGTGCTGAGGGAGGAGGGGCTGAGGGAGGGGGGGCTGAGGGAGGGGGGCTGAGGGAGGGGGGGCTGAGGGAGGGGGGGCTGAGGGAGGGGGGGATGAGGGAGGGCGGGCTGAGGGAGGGGGGCCTGAGGGAGGGATGAGGGAGGAGATCAGCAGTACTACCCGCATCACTAGATGCATGGGCAACTGGAACGGTACATGGGCAACTGGTACGGTACATGGGCAACTGGTACGGTACATGGGCAACAGGTACGGTACATGGGCAACTGGTACGGTACATGGGCAACAGGTACGGTACATGGGCAACAGGTATGGTACATGGGCAACTGGTACGGTACATGGACAACAGGTACGGTACATGGGCAACAGGTATGGTACATGGGCAACTGGTACGGTACATGGGCAACTGGTACGGTACATGGGCAACAGGTACGGTACATGGGCAACAGGTACGGTACATGGGCAACAGGAACGGTACATGGGCAACAGGTACGGTACATGGGCAACTGGTACGGTACATGGGCAACAGGTACGGTACATGGGCAACAGGTACGGTACATGGGCAACAGGTACGGTACACGGGCAACAGGTACGGTACATGGGCAACAGGTACGGTACATGGGCAACAGATACGGTACATGGGCAACAGGTACGGTACATGGGCAACAGGTACGGTACATGGGCAACTGGTACGGTACATGGGCGACCATACCTGGAGGTAACCTCCCGAGAGGACGGCAGAGACGTCAGCCATGTTGGAGAGAATGGGCATAATGGCGGCCTGAGAGGCCGGTGGTATTACTACCATACCAAGGAATTATTCCGATACGAATTAGCAATAACATAATCATCAAATACACGAGTGACACACCTGGAATACACCTCAAATACACGAGTGACACACCTGGAATACACCTCAAATACACGAGTGACACACCTGGAATACACCTCAAATACACGAGTGACACACCTGGAATACACCTCAAATACACGAGTGACACACCTGGAATACACCTCAAATACACGAGTGACACACCTGGAAGTAGCCGCCGGAGAGGGCTGCGGAGACGTCAGCCATGTTGGAGAGGATGGGCATGATGGCGGCTTGAGAAGCGGGCGAGAGGAAGGAGGAGTGGAGCACTGAGAAGGATGTGAGGGAGCGATCGGCCTGGCGTGGGGGAGAATAGGGAGGGGGGAGAAGAGACAGATGGGAATTATGGCAGCTTGAGAGGCCGGGGAAAGGAAGGAGGAGGATGTGAGGGATCGGCCTGCCTGGGGATGGAAAGAAGAGGGGCGAGGGGAGAGGGGTTAGGGGAGAGGGGAAGGTGGGAAGGACGACACCAGCCATCCAGGAGAGGAAGGAGGAGTGGAGCACTGAGAAGGAGTGGAGCACTGAGAGGGATCGGTCTGCCTGGCGTGGGGGAGAGAGAGAGGGGGGGGAAGGGGAGGGAAGAGGGGGAAAGGGGGAGGGAAGAGGGGGAAGGGGAGGGAAGAGGGGGAAGAGGTGAAATGCAGGCGCCGCAAGGGTATGATGGTGGCTGGAGAGGCCGGAGAGGCCGGAGAGGCCGGAGATGGTGGAGAGGCCGGAGAGGCCGGAGCGAGGAAGGAGGAGTGGAGCACCGAGAAGGATGTGAGGGAGCGGTTGGCCAGCCGTGGGAAAGTATAGGGAGGGGGAAGAAGGCGGCGCATGGTGGCGTCTTGGGAGGGCCGGGGGGAGGAAGAGGTGAGGCGCAGAGTGTGGGAGCAGTGAGCCTCGGTGGGAAGAGCGATGCTGCCTCGGGGGAGAAAGAGCACCCTCCCTCAGCCTACCCCCCCCCCAACCTCCCCATCCCCCCCATCCCTGGCCTACCAGCTCCAGCACTCGCCGCGCGGTTTCCTGCTCCTCCGCACTCACCCCCTCATCCTCCCCTTCCCTGGGCTCCCCTCCGTTTCCGCTCTCTCTCCCCCCCCTTCCCCCTGTGCGAACCACCTCCCCCAGAAACCCCTCCCCCCCCAGCTTACCAGTTCCAGCACTCGGCGCGCTGTTTCCTGCTCCTCCGCATCCACCCCCGCCAGCAGCGGGTTCCGCCCGTCCCCCTTCCCCCGCGCGCCGATCCCCGCCTCGCGCTTCCCCGCGCGCGCGCGCACTGCGGATCTTGAGGGGGACGCCCCCGCGGCTCCTGCTGGTAGGCGCGGAAGGGGGGTTGAATCGATAGGGGCGGACGCGGATCAAGGAGAGCGGGCGGGAAAAGTGCGGAACTTGAGGGGGGAGAACCCACAACCTCCGCTGGTAGGCGCAGGGGATCTGGTAGGCGCAGCGGACGGGGAAGCGCAAGGGGGACGGAGGAGCGGAAGGGGGACAGTGGAGCGCAAGCGGGACGGGGGAGCGCAAGCGGGACGGATAGCAAACGCCTATCCAAAGGCGATCCGAAGCCGATTGACCCTGAAGTTGGGTCGATGTGGCCCACTGGAACCGTCTCTTATAGCTACCAGTCACCGCCTATTAAACCCTAACGTCGTGCCGCTTACCTAACGACGGAGCGCTTGACAAGTGCTGTTGCCTTGGACCACGACGGACGGCTTTGACTGAGCCGAGAGCCGTCTGCCACGCGCCACCGCGCCGCGATAGTTGACGAGTTAAGAGTAGGCTACTGAACGCGGCTAGTCCCGAGCTGAGAGCCATCTAAGAGCCACCAGTAACGACGCCACTCGAGGCGAGGTTATGCCTAGTAGAGCAACGCCACGCAAGCTTCACTCTTAGTCGCAGCTCAAGTCCTCATGTACTGTAAAGCGAGGTGACTTTTGAGTCGACTCAAAAGTCACCTTGAGTCGACTCAAAAGTCACGTCGCAGCGCAAGTCCTCATGTACTGTACAACCTGCGTGCGAAATGTTCCAAAGTTGGTGCTCAAGTTCTCACGACCATGGCGGATGGAAGAAAGGGAAGGAGGATGGAGGCGGGTCGAGTCCACAGAGAGACTTCCACTCCGATTAACTGTTTCTACAGATATGGCCGGAAACGCCTATCCTAACAGAATCCGCGGCGCGAAGAATTGCGCCTACCCCTTGGCAACAATGTCGTGTCGCTGCGACTTCCAGTCGTGAGTTCCAGTCGTGAGTTCCAGTCGTGAGTTCCAGTCGTGAGTTCCAGTCGTGAGTTCCAGTCGTGAGTTCCAGTCGTGAGTTCCAGTCGTGAGTTCCAGTCGTGAGTTCCAGTCGTGAGTTCCAGTCGTGAGTTCCAGTCGTGAGTTCCAGTCGTGAGTTTCCAGTCGTGAGTTCCAGTCGTGAGTTCCAGTCGTGAGTTCCAGTCGTGAGTTCCAGTCGTGAGTTCCAGTCGTGAGTTCCAGTCGTGAGTTCCAGTCGTGAGTTCCAGTCGTGAGTTCCAGTCGTGAGTTCCAGTCGTGAGTTCCAGTCGTGAGTTCCAGTCGTGAGTTCCAGTCGTGAGTTCCAGTCGTGAGTTCCAGTCGTGAGTTCCAGTCGTGAGTTTCCAGTCGTGAGTTCCAGTCGTGAGTTCCAGTCGTGAGTTTCCAGTCGTGAGTTCCAGTCGGAGGTCGTGAGTTCCAGTCGTGAGTTCCAGTCGTGAGTTCCAGTCGTGAGTTCCAGTCGTGAGTTCCAGTCGTGAGTTCCAGTCGTGAGTTCCAGTCGTGAGTTCCAGTCGTGAGTTCCAGTCGTGAGTTCCAGTCGTGAGTTCCAGTCGTGAGTTCCAGTCGTGAGTTCCAGTCGTGAGTTCCAGTCGTGAGTTCCAGTCGTGAGTTTCCAGTCGTGAGTTCCAGTCGTGAGTTCCAGTCGTGAGTTCCAGTCGTGAGTTCCAGTCGTGAGTTCCAGTCGTGAGTTCCAGTCGTGAGTTCCAGTCGTGAGTTCCAGTCGTGAGTTCCAGTCGTGAGTTCCAGTCGTGAGTTCCAGTCGTGAGTTCCAGTCGTGAGTTCCAGTCGTGAGTTCCAGTCGTGAGTTCCAGTCGTGAGTTTCCAGTCGTGAGTTCCAGTCGTGAGTTCCAGTCGTGAGTTCCAGTCGTGAGTTCCAGTCGTGAGTTCCAGTCGTGAGTTCCAGTCGTGAGTTCCAGTCGTGAGTTCCAGTCGTGAGTTCCAGTCGTGAGTTCCAGTCGTGAGTTCCAGTCGTGAGTTCCAGTCGTGAGTTCCAGTCGTGAGTTCCAGTCGTGAGTGCGTTCGAGAGGTAACGGAACATCTCTATATGGTTTCTGCACTAGGCGTCCTTCGGTAGACGCGTGCGGGAATCGCAGACACAACTACCAGAACTTAAGCCATAGACCGCCCAGAGTCAAGTAGGGCAGGCTTTCTAGAAGCAGCTGAGGGTAGGCATGGATAGGCGTGGATAGGCGTGGATAGGCATGGATAGGCATGGATAGGCATGGATAGGCATGGATAGGCATGGATAGGCATGGGTAGGCATGGATAGACATGCATAGGCATGGGTAGGCATGGATAGGCATGGATGTCAAACATATGTATAACATATATTTGTATAGACTCTATAGGGTCACCTCGTAGAGGGTACAACACTCTTAGGTATATACCCTTGTTGTCTCTCTCTATTCAACACTTGTTAAATTTTAGTTTCTGACATGGTATCATCCGTAGGTTCGACCCCTCCCACCTACCCCTTCCGCCCCGTCACGCGTTCACCTAGGCCCCGTCGCGTCGCGCCCCTCCTGGGCCCCTGCCGCGCCTCCTAGCCCCTGTCGCGCCCCCCCCTGGGCCCCGTTAGCGCCTCCTAGCCGGCCGCGCCCCTCCTGCCCCCCCCCCCCACCCCCCGTGCCTCCTAGCACCCATCGCGCCTCCCTGGCCCCGTTGCGCCTCCCTGGCCCCAGCCGCGCCTCCCTGGCCCCAGCCGCGCCTGCCTGGCCCCAGCCGCGCCTGCCTGGCCCCGTCGCGCCTGCCTGGCCCCGCCGCACTCCCTGGCCCTGTCGCGCCCCCCTGGCCCCAGCCGCGCCTGCCTGGCCCCGTTGCGCCTCCCTGGCCCCAGTCGCGCCTCCCTGGCCCCAGCCGCGCCTGCCTGGCCCCGTCGCGCCAGCCTGGCCCCGCCGCGCTCCCTGGCCCCGTCGCGCCCCCCCTGGCCCCAGCCGCGCTTGCCTGGCCCCGTTGCGCCTCCCTGGCCCCAGCCGCGCCTGCCTGGCCCCGTCGCACCTGCCTGGCCCCGCCGCGCCTGCCTGGCCCCGCCGCGCCTGCCTGGCCCCGCCGCCTCTGCCTGGCCCCGCCGCGCCTGCCTGGCCCTGCCACGCCTCCTGGCCCCACCGCGCCTGCCTCGCCCTGCTGCGCCTCCTGGCCCCGTCGCGCACCTGCCTGGCCCCGCGCCTCCTGGACCCGTCGCCCCTGCCTGGCCCCGTCGCGCCTGCCTGGCCCCGCCCCGCCTGTCTGGCCCCGCCAGCACCTGCCTGGCCCCACCGCACCTGCCGTGCCCCCCTCGGGCTCCGTCTCCTCGGCTCGCCCGTGCTGCGGCGCTTCGTGGCCGCCGTGCTGGCAGTGGGCTGTCGCTGTGCTCCTGTGGAGCGGTGCCGCTGACCCTGCACGATGGCGGACTTCGTGTTCCGACTGGACGCCGAGGGCCATGCGGTTGAATTCGCCGCCTGGCTCTCCGATCTCCGCCGCCAGCTTACAGGTCAGCGCCAGGATGGCCACTCTTTGGTCGTACATGTTGACGGCTTGCTCCCCCGCCCCCCCGCACCGGCTCCCCTCCCTGCTGATCCCTCCCCTGCTGACCGTGAGACCTTCTCTACTGGTGCGCTTGCCTGTGCGGTCTGGGACTCCCGAGATGCAGTCGCTCAGGTTGCCATTAGCCACGCCCTCCCTGTCTCTGAGCGCTCGCGTTTTGCTGCTATTGAGACGGCCAAAGCTTATTTAGACGCTGTTATTGCTCGCTATTCCACTCACCTGCGTGCCCTAGAGACCCGCTATCGCACTGCTAGCACTGCTGCCCAGCTCACTGCGCTCCCCCCCCCTTTCTGCATGACGCTCTATTTTATCGCTATTGGCCTGCCAGACCGCCTCGCTAGTGCTCGCGATCACTTCCTTAGCCTGCACCCGGCTGACCTCACTCTCACCGCCTTTGTCGACACCCTCACCGAGATCGAGACTCGCCAGCGCACTATCGCTCAGTCGAGCGGTGCGCCGGCAGTCTCTATCTTTAACGGCTGTGCCCCCTCCCAGTGCACGTTCACTGACGTTTCGGCTGCGGTTGCCACGGCCACCCCCCTCACTGAGACGGCTGCTGTGGTCCACCCGCAGCAGCGCTCGCGCCGCAGTGGCCGTGGTCGCCAGAGTGGTCGGGGTGGTGGCGCCGGTAGTGGTGTTGGTGGTCGTGAGAGTAGTCCGTCTGGGGGGACTAGCCTTGGTGGTCAGGAGCAGCAGCCCCAGCCGCAGCAGGAGCAGCCCGCACCGCAACCGCCGTCTCAGCAGCAGCCGCAGTCCCCGTCGCAGCTCCCGCAGCAGTGGGCTCGTCTCCCGTCTGGTTGGCCCGGCACCTCAGGAGGTGGTGGCAGTGGTGGCGGCCCGCGCAGCTTGGCGTCTACCAGCGGCTCCGGTGCTGTGACCTGTCAGTACCAGCTTCAGACCGGGCCCCTTCGCGGCACTCTGTGCCGCCGCCCGCACCCGACTGCCCGCTGTTACCGCCGCCTCGACGATATCTTTCGTCGTCGCTTTGGCCCGGCCCCGGACCTCCCTGACTGGCACCGCCTGCTCCGCCAGGGCGTGCCGATCTTTGAGTTAGACATGGATCAGATAGGTGCTGCTTTGCATGCTTTGTATTCTGACGCTTCTAGTGTTGCTGGATCTTATTACCCTGTGTTCTCTAGTTTAGGTGTTGCACCGCTGTGTAGCCTAGCCTCCCCTGCTGCGTCAGGCGTAGGACTGCCTAGATTGTCTAGCCTCGTCTCTGCACCGGCTCCGTTCCCTGTCCCCGCCACTGCAGCGCTGTCCTTCACTCTCGACTCCGGTGCTTCTGCCTGCTTCTTCCGCGACCGTTCTGCGCTCACGCCGCTTGCTACGCCAGCTGTCGTCTCTCTCGCTGACCCCTCTGCGGGTCCTGTCGTCGCTCGCAGTTCTACGTCCCTTCCCTGTCCAGCAGTTCCCTCGGGCTCCCTTACAGGCCTCCACGTTCCCTCATTCTCGAGGAACCTGGTTGGTGTCGGCTGTCTTCAGGACCTCGGTGTCACCACCACGTTCCCCAGGCACGAGCGATTCGCTGTCTGTTCTGAGGCTGTCTCAGGTTCCCCCCTTGCGACGTTCCCCCAGGACCCAGTGTCCGGCTGTTTACCCTAGACACTGCTTCCCCTCCGGTTGGTACGTCCTCCCAGGTTGCTGCAGCTTGCTCGTGTCGTTCCCTCACTCACACGTCCCTCCTCTGGCACCACCGCTTAGGTCACCCTGCCCTCCCTCGTCTGCGTCACATGTCCCAGCACAGTCTTGTCTTAGGTCTCCCTGCGTCGCTCCCCGCCCTTCCTCCCTCGACTGCGCCACCGTGCACGCCTTGCGTCGAGGGCCGGCTCCGCCGTTCTCCTCACTCCTCCTCGCTGCGCCCTACCACTGCCCCCCTTCAGACCCTTCACCTGGACGTTTGGGGCCCTGCCCCCGGTCCAGGACCGCGTGGTGAGCGCTACTTCCTTGTGCTCGTTGACGACTACACGCGCTACACCACGGTGTTTCCCCTGGAGCGGAAGGCCGACGTGCCCGACGTTCTTCTCCCGTGGGTAGTAGCTGCGCGTCTTCACCGCGGTCTGCCTGTGTTGTGTCTCCACTCCGACCGTGGCGGCGAGTTCGCCTCTGGTCGGCTTGGACAGTTCTGTCGTGCGGAGGGCATCACCCAGTCGTACACCTTGCCGGACTCGCCACAGCAGAATGGGGTTGCTGAGCGCCGCATCCGCTTGGTCATGGAGGTCGCCCATACCTCCATGATCCATGCCGATGCCCCCCATTTTCTGTGGCCGTTCGCTGTTCGCTACGCTGCTCACCAGCTTAACCTGTGGCCACGCTCCCAGCGGCCACAGGTTTCGCCGACCCTCCTTTGGACAGGGTCCCCCGGTGACGCGTCTGCGTTCCACGTCTGGGGCTGCCTTGCTCACGTTCATGCCTCTGGCACGGACAAGCTCACTGCCCGTACTGTCCCCTGTGTCTTCATCGGTTTTCCCCTGGACTCGTCTGACTGGCTTTTCTACCACCCGCCGTCTCACCGCTTCCTCCACTCTCGTGACGTCACCTTTGACGAGTCTGTCTCCTTCTACCGCCGCTTCCCTCACCGAGGTCTCCCGATTGCCCCGCCCCTGTTCCTCGCTCCCTCTCCCCCGGTAGCCCCTGCTCCAAACCCGCCACGTCCTGCCCCGTCTGGTGTCTCTCACGTCACTCCCCTCCCGTCGGTTGTCCCAGTTGAGGAGTCTGCTGACTGCGGTGGTTCCCCCGGTCTGTCCTTGCCGCGTCCCCCTTCCCCGGTGCCTCCGGCCCCACTGTCGCAGTCGCCGACCCCGCTGCAGCCGTCGCCGCTGCAGTCGTCGCCGCCACTGCCGCGGTCGCCCGTGGCCCCTGGGGGTGCTGGTGTGGAGGCGGGTGTTTGTCCTGCGACTTCTGGGGGTGCCGCTGTTGTTGGCGAGGGTTCTCGCTTTGGGGGTGTTGGTTCTGGGGGTGCTGCTGTTGAGTGTCCCGCCGATGGTCGTTCTGCCTCTCCTGGTCCGAGCGTTCTGGCCCAGCCGTCGCCGCCGCCGCAGCCGCCGTCACCGCCGGTCTCCGCTCTCCGCCTGCTCGGCCTTCCCTCCCTGGACCACTCGCCGGTGTCTCCCCCGCCGCCTGCTGACCTTCCGGTCTACGGTCTTGTTTTCCCGCCGCCAGACTCGTCTCCGGCCCGTCTTCCTCCTCGTTCTCCTGTTGTGTCCCCTCCGCTGTCTCCTGACCCTACCCCTCAGTCCCACGTTTGGTCCCGCCGTCCCTCCCGTGCCCGTCCCGCCTCTCCTGTTCTGCGGTCTCACCCTATGTTGCTCCGTTCCCACCCGTCTCGTCCTCCCCCCCTTCCTTCCCCTCCTCCCTCGTCGCTTGCTGTTGCGCCTCCTCCGTTCTCGGACTACCTCCGTGCCGCTCGTCCTCTTGTCCCTCGAGTTCTTGCCTCCCTCGTTACCGACCCTGCTGTTCCTGTCTCGCGCCTTGACGCGCTTGTCGCTGCTGTCGCTGACTTCGCCTCCACCCGCCGCCTTGACTACGCTACCGCTCTGGTCTCTGACCCTGCCCGTCCTCCGTCCGTCGGGGGTGCTCCTGCCCTTGGCAGTGACGTCCTAGAGGACAGGCAGTACGAGCTTGCTTTCCTTTCCGAGGCTGCTCCTCATCTCTGCTCCATGCTGTTAGTCCCTGAGGGTGACCCCGACGCCTTCGACATCCCGACCCCTCGCACCTACGATAAGGCCACCTCGGGACCGTGGGCCTCTCAATGGATAGCTGCCATGGAGCAGGAGATGGCATTTTGGAGGTCCACCGGCACCTACGTCGACGCAGTTCCCCCACCTGGGGTGAACGTAGTCAATGGTCGGTGGCTCTTCAAGGTGAAGCGCCCGCCTTGAGAGCCGCCTGTCTACAAGGCGCGCTACGTGGCCAGAGGCTTCAGTCAACGCGAGGGGGTGGACTTCTTCCAGACCTTCGCCCCGACCCCGAAGATGACTACTCTTCGGGCGCTGCTACACGTAGCAGCACAGCGCGACTACGAGCTTCACTCCCTCGACTTCTCTACTGCTTTCCTTCAGGGCAGCCTACACGAGCAGGTCTACCTGCGCCGACCGTCGGGGTTCACTGGTACCTTCCCCCCTGGGACCCAGTGGCTTCTCAGGCGCCCGGTCTACGGTCTGCGTCAGGCTCCGCGCGAGTGGCACGACACGCTGCGGGCCACGTTATCAGACCTGCAGTTCTTTCCGTCGTCCGCTGACCCCTCGCTGTTTGTGCGTTCCGGCCAGACTCCGTTCTACATCCTTGTCTACGTAGACGACCTGGTCTTTGCTACTGCTGACAGGGACGCACTGGCCTCTGTGAAGGCCGAGCTGCTGAAGAGACACACCTGCACCCACCTTGGAGAGCTGCGTCGCTACCTTGGCTTGCAGATCTCTAGGGACAGAGCAGCACGCACCATCACTCTGACACAGTCACACTTGGTGCGTCAGGTTCTTCAGAGGTTCGGTCTTCAGTTCTCCTCTGCACACCCCACACCTCTACCTGTAGACCACGGGCTTTCCGCTCCGGTTCCTGAGGAGCTAGTAGAGCCCAGCGGCCCCTACGCAGAGCTTGTGGGTTCCCTCATGTACCTGATGACCTGCACTCGCCCAGATCTCGCATACCCTCTCAGCATCCTGGCTCGCTTTGTGGCCACTGGCAGACACCGACCACAACACTGGTCGGCCGCTAAGAGGGTTTTGCGATATCTAGCATGTACATCAGGCATGGGGTTAGTGTTAGGAGGGCGCAGGCCAGTGGTCCTCACTTGGCACACAGACGCTTCTTGGGCAGACGACTCTGAGACGCTCAGGTCGTCGCAGGGCTACTGTTTTAGCCTTAGTTCGAGTGCTATCTCTTGGAGATCCACTCGCTCGTCGTCTGTTGCTCAGTCGAGCTGTGAGGCTGAGATCTACGCTGGTGCCATGGCGGCACAGGAGCTCCACTGGCTGACCTTCTTGCTCACAGACTTAGGTGAGCGGCCTAGCTCTGCCCCGGTCCTGTACGCTGACAACAGGGCCATGATACTCCTGTGTCAGGAGCCTCGACTTGAGGGCAGAGCGAAGCACATCCAGCTGCGGTACTTCCTCCTGCGCGAGCTACAGCAGCGCCGCCAGGCCCGCGTAGTTCACTTGGCCTCTGGTGCCAACACAGCTGATATCGTTACGAAGGCACTTGCGCCTAAAGATCATCAGCGGCACTGTGTACAGCTCGGTCTAGTTCCTGTAGCCTCTCACTTGCTAGGACCTTGACGTTGTATTGTCCTACATATATCTATATATATATACTCAGACTGGACTTGTGTCCTCTCCCAGTGGCTGGACTAGTAGTGCCGCCCTGGTCTTGTTCTTGTCTTGTCTGTACCCCATTTTGACAGGTCCTTAGACCCTTGTCTCAGTGGCTGGACTAGTAGTGCCGCCCTGAGCTGCTTGTTTAGGATTTGCCCCTTGCAGTCTAGGGGGTGTGTCAAACATATGTATAACATATATTTGTATAGACTGTATAGGGTCACCTCGTAGAGGGTACAACACTCTTAGGTATATACCCTTGTTGCCTCTCTCTATTCAATACTTGTTAAATTTTAGTTTCTGACAAATGGATAGGCATGGGTAGGTATGGATAGGGATGGATCTCAGCAAGGAACGGGGGAGTACATCAAGTGATCACCTAGGCGCGAGGCCACAAGACAAGTTCTTAGATTCCTAACACTGCATGGTAGCACCAACTACTAGGTAGTCATGGTACATGGTAGTCATAAAGCCCAAGATTCTATTTTTGAGGCGCCTCAAAAGAGTCATGGTACATGGTAGTCATAAAACCCTCAGGATTGACAGGCAAGAAAGAGTGGAGAGAGCGCCACCTTAGAACCCTAGTAGGCTCTTATATCCGCACAACGTCCGTACAAGCCACTACTTGGTCCCACATGTGCATCAATAACCTTCCCAAGCTCCTGGGTAAAAGGCTACCCGTTCTCTTGGACTGAGTACTCCCTTCTCGCCGCGCGTCCGAAACCACTACTCCCACACACCATACATCCGTCGATGGTCAGGCCCGACGTGCCTAGCACGTCCGATCGCCGTGAGTTCTGCCGGCAAAGTGGCGCAAGCCTGTACCAACCAACTAGATCGCATGATTCTTGCTTCTCCTCCCCGCGTTAATCTGCGTCATCGGGACGGACGTGCCCACGGCCGCGCGCCGTGAGTTCTGCCGGCACTGCGTGAGCCCATGATCCCGCCTTTTGTCCCTCCTCCCCCCCCTCCCGCGCGGATTAATCTGCCATCATCGGAACCGAAGTTCCAACCGCCGCGCGCCGCGAGTTCTGTCGGCACTGCTCTATCATGGCGGCGCGCGCCTGCATGAGCCCGTCGGGCCGGAACGCGCAGTCCACGTTCGACCAATCTGATTGGTCCACCCACTCCGCCGCCATTTGCTCGCCCGCAGTCCCCGCCACGATCCCCGCCGGGATAGACGCGCTGCTCGCGCGGAGCCGCCGGTTCGTCGCCCCCGGCGCCATTCCCCTCGGCTCGGCTCGCGCAACGACGGGCGGAGCCGCGCCAAAGTTCAGAGGGGACGAAACACCGAAGCAAGCGGAAAAAGTAGTAGCCCCGGCTGCGCCGAAGCGCGCGGGCTCGTCGACGTTCATATACTCCGCAGCGGCTCGGTCTGCGGTATTAATCTTCTGCGACGATTCCAGCACGCGGTTACCAAACGCGGCGAAACCCAACCCCTGCGAGGGTTGCGCCGGCGGGGCAAACGGGTTAGTCACGGAAGCCATTCTTGGACGCTGCAAAGGGGTAGCAATAGTTGTTGTGGAAGCCTTTGCGACGCTCTGGCCTGAGCAAACCTCGTCTCCGCTTTCGGAGCTGTGCTGTGAGATCTCCGCGTCGGGATGCGCGTTCACGCTGCTCTCGCGGCACGGCTGGTAGATCGGACGGCCCAGATGCTCCTGATGCTGCTGCTGCTGCTGCGGCGGCGGCGGCGGCGGCGGCTGCTGGTGCTGGTGAGGTTGGGAGGAGTGGTTAGTCGCATCGAGCGACCGCCGGCGACGGGAGATCTGCGCGTACGGTGAGTACAACGAGTTCTCTAGTATCGGGTTGTGGGACGGGCGCTCGAGCTGGTCAAGCTGCAGCGACCGCCGCGGACGGCGGTGATCCTCCATGGTGTAGTCCATGGCGGATGGAGGAACGGCAGGCGGCGCGGCGGCTGCTGTGGAGGCAAGGGTAGACCTATAACAGCCTAGTCTCCTGCTGCAGCTTCTGGCCGTCTGTGACGCTGACGCTGCTGAAGAAAGTTGACGGCAGCGCAGCCCGAAAGGTGGACTTCGGAGTCGACTGAGAAGGCTGAATGCCACTGCTTCCTGTAGATCCCGAAGCTGAGACTGCTAAAACAAGTTCAACGCAGAGCAGACTGTAGAACCTAACAGAGGAGCTGTGTAACAGTTGACTTTCGAGTCGACTCGACTGAAGCCGTGCGGCTGGTGTATGGGGCTAACTGTTGTTTGGGCAGAAGTGCACGCAGTGACTGTGTAGTGATATCTGGAGGTAGAAGGCGGTGGCAGCAGCAAGGGATATGGATGACAGATTGAAGCTCGAGAGGGGGAGAGAGAGATGGGTGGTGCGCGCACGAGAGAGGGAGAGAGGGGGCGGGGGGGTGGGGAGTGAAGACTCGAGGAGAAGCGGGGCAAGAAGCGGGGAAAGAAGAGGAGAGGAGACAAGGAAGAAAACGGTTTCTGGAGGCGAAAGAAGTGGCCAGTGAGGGATTTGCGCGGTGGCGTGGGTGGAACGGGACGGGAGGCACTCATGGATTGGATCTGAAGCTGGAACGGGATTGGCGGACATGTCAGGTTACTTGCTGTAGGCATGGGAGTGGCAGCCTGGCAGAACAAGCGGAAGCGGAGCGGAGCGGAGGAGAACGAGGAGAGGCGGGCTACAGTCATTCGACATGGACCTGCGGGGAAATGCGCGGCTGCGGAGAGCCAGTCCCAGTATTTCCGAAGCAGTAGAGATTGGTTAGAGGGTGAGACTTGTAAGGTTCGGAGAAGGCTTTGGAGGCAAAGGTGCCCCCTCCCGAAGAGAACCGCAACCGAAATGGTGCGTGGGATGGGAGGCAAAGGGGGAACTCCGCCACGATGAGTCACCCCGCCGCTCCCCGCCTTGGGTAAGGGAAAGAAGGGATGCATGCACTGCACTGCACCACAATGCAATGCAACTGCCCTCCTGAGCCCTGACCTGACCGACCACACACACCAGTCTCTTGCACACGGACCACACAAAGCTGTGCTTCACGGCAGCTGGTAGGGGAAGTTCCGTGGCCACATCAGCAGTTTATTGGGTGGTCGAAGACGTGCTGATGAATATTGAACCAATCGAGTTTGAGAAAATTAAACGGCTCGGTTTTTTCTGGCTCTGAAATGACGACGTGTCGATCTTTGAGCGGAAAGGACAAACAGATATATCTGGGCGCAAAGACCCTGAACCAACCACAGCACAGTATTTGGTGCGAGAAACGCAGCAAGGATTTGTAGAGCCGAGGCTGGATCCCGCCATAAAAATGCACCGAGCAGGATTGTCGTTTCGGAGATTTGTTGAGCTGCACAACGCGGTAGTTCGGTTGGTGGCAGCCTGGCAGGTCACGCGCTTCTTGCTACAGTGTTTTGGACCGCAAGACATCACCACGACACAATATCCGCCTTTGGCAGTTTTGCGCTCGATAAATACGAATGTGCCGTAAAGAAATAGGTGCGATGTAAAGCACACTTGAAGGGGAGGATACTAGTTTACTCAACCACCCACCCACCCACCCTTCATTGCAACCTTGTTTAGATATGGTCCTTTTGTTGATTAACTGCCCTTCACATCATATGCATAAATAGGTATGGAATGAAATTACCATGGTCAAACTTCTCAACATATGAAAGTATGCTTACAAGAACAATGGGCCTTGGAAGGCTGTATTGTAAACTAATACATATATTTATATGTAGAACTTATAGGCTAGATAGGTTTGTGTTCTTAAAGGGTATAACTCCAACCCTATATCTCCCATGTGCTCTCTTGTTCTAGTTTATTCTCATATTCTGACGTAGTATCATGGTAGATTAGGTCAGCCCACCAGCTTTCGCCCTCGAGCTAGCCTACCGCTCCATTGTACCCTAGCCTTAGAGCGCCCAGCCGGCCCCTAGCGCCCCGCCGGTCCCCTAGCGCCCCGCCGGCTCCTTGCGCACCCCGCCGGCCCCTAGCGTGCCCGCCAGCCCTTTAGCGCCGCGCCGGCCCCTCGCGTACCCCGCTGGACCCTAGCGCGCCTTGCCGCCCCTTAGCGCCCCGCCGGCCCTTAGCGCCCCGCCGGCCCCTCGCATACCCTGCCGGCCCCTCGCGTACCTCGCCGGCCCCTCGCGCACCATGCCGGCCCCTCGCGTGTGCGCCGGCCCCTCGCGTGCACACAGGCCCATCGCGCGCCTCGTCGGCCCTTTGCGCCCGCCGGCCCCTCGCGTGCTCACCGGCCCCTCGCGCACACCGCGCGTACCCCGCCGGCCTTTCGCGTACGCGCCGACCCTTAGCGTCTCGCCGACCCTTACCGCCCCATCGGCCCTAACCGCCCCACCAGCCCCTCAAGTGCCCGCTAGCCCTAACGCCCCGCATGGCCCTAGCACTTCACCAGCCCTTGGCGCCCTGCCGCCCCTTCCGAGTCCCGTAGGCCCATCGTGCCCCGCCTGCCTGCTGCGCGCCCCGGGCCCTGTGCGCCCTGCTCGGCCTTCCGCCCGGTCTTCTCGAATGAGAGTCCTGCCGCTACGCTGCTGTGCCGCCCTGCCGCTAAGTACCTGTGCCACTATGCCGCCGTGTCACTGTGCCGCTGTACAGCTGTGCCGCCGTGTCGCAGTGCTTCCATAGAGCTGTGCCACTGAGGCTGCACGATGGCGGACACCGTACTCCGCCTGGACGCGGAGGGGCATGCGATCAACTTCGCCGCCAGGCTTGTCGATCTCCGTCGTCACCTGACAGGTGAGCGCCATGATGGGCACTCTTTGGCTGTGCATATTGATGGTTTGCTCCCCCGCCTCCCCGCGCCTGATCCCCTCCCTCCTGAGCGTGAGGCATTTTCTGCTGCTGCGCTTGCTCGTGCTATCTGGGATTCCCGCGATGCCGTCGCGCAGCTAGCCATTAGTCATGCTCTTCCCCTGTCAGAGCGTCCGCTTCACTGCTGCCGCGAATGCCAAGGATTTTCTAGATGCAGTAGTTGAGCGGTACTCCATACCCGCCTCCGCCTCTGCTAGCCGCCTGATCCTCCCCATGCAATTCCCAGATATTTCCGCTTTCCCGACTATCGCTGACCTAGCCACCCACCTCTATGCACTAGAGACTAGCTACCGCGCCGCTAGAACTAACGCCCAGCTCACTGCCTTCCCCTCACCGTTCAGCGCTACCCTATACATTATTGCTATGTGCCTGCCGGACCCCTTAGCCACTGCCCACGAACACTTTCTTAGCCAGCACCTTGGCGACCTCACCCTGCCCGCCTTTAACACTGCCATGTCTGAGATAGAGACTCGCCAGCGCACAATCACTCAGTATGGCGGTGAAGCGGCAGTCCCAATCTTTCAGGGCCGTGCTCCCTCCCAATGCACGTACGCTGACGTTACAGCCGCGGTCGCTAACGCTGCCCTTGCCGCTGAAACCACAGTTGCGGTGTCTCCGCAGCAGCGACAACGTCGAGACCATCGTGGCCGCAAGGGACGGCGTGGAGGTGGTGCTGGTGGTGGTAGGGACAGTGGTTCAGACGAGGGGGTTGGGGCTGGTGTTCAGAAGCAGCAGCAGCCGCAACCGACACAGCAGCTGTAGTCGCAGTCGTAGCAGCAACCGCAGCAGCAGCAGCAGCAGCCATGGGCTCGCCTCCCGCAGGGGTGGCCAGATGCCTCTGGAGGTGGTGGCCGTCGTGGCAGCCCTCGCAGCTCGGTGTCTACCAGCAGCTTCAGTGCTGTGAGCTACCAATACTAGCTCCAGACTGGCCCTCTCCATGGCACTGTATGCCGCCGTCCGCACCCGACCGCCCACTGCTTCCGCCGCCTCGACGACCTCTTTCGTCGCCGCTTCGGCCTGGCCCCGGAACTCCCTGACTGGCCTAGTCTGCTGCGCTACGATGTGCCTATTTTTGAGTTAGACATGGATTAGATTAGTTTTGCACTGCATTCTCTGTATGCTGACGCTTCTAGTGTGTCTGGATCTTATGTCCCTGTGTTCCCTAGTTTCGGCGTAGCACATGTGTATAGTACAGACTCCCCTGCTGCGTCAGGCGTAGGATCGTTTGCCTTGTCTAGCCTACGCTCCACACTCGCTCCTCCTTCGACCATAGCTACTGCTTTATTGTCCTTCACACTTGACTCCGGTGCGTCTGCCTACTTCTTCCGCGACCATGCCACAGTCACGCCGCTTGCCGCGCCTGCCGCCGTTACACTTGCTGACCCCTCCTCTGGTCCTATCGTTGCTCGCAGCTACACTACCCTTCTATGTCCAGCGGTTCCCCCGGGTTCCTTTACAGGCCTGCACATCCTTTCGTTCTCCAGGAACCTAGTTCGTGTTGGCTGTCTTCAGGACCTTGGCGTCACCACTACGTTCCCTGGTCACGAGCGGTACGCTGTCTGTACCGAGGCCGCCTCAGGTGCCCCCCTTGCGACGTTCCCCCGGGACCCGATGTCTGGCCTGTTTACGCTTGACACTACTTCCCCCCCGGTTGGCGCGTCCTCCCCGAGTCCTGCGTCTACCCAGGTTGCTGCGGCTTGCTCGTGTCGGTCGCTCACTTACCCATCGCTTTTGTGGAACCACTGCCTAGGTCACCTTGCACTCCCGTGTCTGCGTCACATGTCTCAGCACGGTCTCGTCCTAGGTCTCCCTGCTTCCCTTCCTGCCCTCCCTCCCTCGCCTGCGTCACCATGCACGCCCTGTGTCGAGGGCCGGCTGCGCCGTGCTCCTCACTCCTCCTCGCTTTGCTCTGCCACCGCACCCCTCCAGACCCTGCACCTGGACGTCTCGGGCCCAGCCCCCCTCCTTGGACCACGTCGCAAGCACTACTTTCTCGTGCTCGTCGATGACTACACGTGCTACACCACGATGTTTCCCCTGGAGCGGAAGGCCAACGTGCCTGGCGTTCTTATCCCCTGGGTCGTAGCTACGCGCCTCCACCGTGGTCTCCCTGTGCTATGTCTCCACTCCGACCGTGGCGGCGAGTTTGCCTCTGGTCGGCTTGGACAGTTCTATCGTGCGGAGGGCATCACCCAGTCGTACACCCTACCGGACTCCCCGCAGCAGAATGGGGTCGCTAAGCGACACATCGGTTTGGTCATGGAGGTGGCTCGTACCTCCATAATTCATGCCGGTGCACCCCATTTTCTGTGGCCGTTCATCGTTCGCTACGCCACTCACCAGCTTAACCTGTGGCCAAGCTCCCAGCGGCAGCAGGTTTCGCCGATCCTTCTCTGGACCGGGTTCCCTGGTGACGCGTCCGCGTTCCACGTCTAGGTCTGCCTCGCTCACGTTCGTGCCTCTGGCATGGACAAGCTCACTGCCCGCACTGTCCCCTATGTCTTTCTCAGTTTCCGTCTTGACTCGTCTGACTGGCACTTTTATCTCCCGCCGTCTCACCGCATCTTTCACTGTCGTGACGCCCCTTTCGACGAGTCTGTCTCTTTTTACCACCGATTTCCCCACCGAGGTCTCCCGGTTTCCCCTCCCTTGTTCCTGGTTTAGGGTCCCTAGGTTGCCCCTGGTCACCTCTTTCCCTATCCTGCTCCGTCTGGTATATCTCACGTCACTCCCCTTCCGTCGGTTGTCCCGGTCAAGGAGTCTGCTGACTCTGGTGGCTCCGCGGTGACGTTCTCGCCGTCTGCCTCTCCCCCGGTGTCTCCTCCTCCGTTGTCGTAGTCGCTGCAGCAGCCATCGTCGCAGCCGCAGCAGCAGCAACCGCTGCCGCCGTCGCAGCAGCAGCAGCCGTCCGTGGACTCCAGAGGTGCTGGCGTTGAGGAGGGTGCTAATCTTGGGGTTCCTGTCGTGGCTTGTCCCGGCGGGCCTGGGGGTGGCATCGGTGCTGGAGAGAGTTCTCGCTCTTGGGGTGCTCGTTCTAGGGTTGCTGCAGTGGAGTGCTCCGGAGGTAGCCGTGGTGCAGCTGGCGGTCCAGGTGTTGGCGTGGAGCAGCAGCAGTCGCCGCCGTTGTCTGCCCTTCGCCGGCTCGGCCTTCCCTCCCCTGACCACTCGGTTGTGCCTCCCCCGGCCCCTCCTCTTCTTCCTGTCTACGGCAATATGTTCCCTTCGCTAGACTCGTCTTCGGCTCGTCTTCCCCCTCGTTCCCCTCTTGTGCCTCCCCTCTGTCTCCTGACCAAACGCCCCCGTCTCACGTCTGGTCTCGCTGTCCCTCTCATGGTCGTCCTGTCTCTCCTGTTCAGCGTTCTTACCCTAACGTATGTTGCTTCGTTCCCACACATCTCGTCCTCCCCTCTTGCCTTCTCCTCCTACGTCGTTACTTATTGTCGCGCCTCCCTCTCTGTCTGACTACCTTCATGCAACTCGTCCTTTTCTTTCTCGGGTCCTTGCCTCCCTCGTTATCGACCCATATTTTCCTCTGTCGAGTCCTGACGCTGCCGTCGGTAACTTCACCTCTACCCGCCGCCTTGACTACGCCACTGCTCTGGTCTCTGACCCTGTCTGTCCTCCATCTGTCGAGGGTGCTCCTGCCCTTGGCTATGACGTTCTAGAGGGCAGGAAGTACGAGCTCGCTTTCCTGTCTAAGGGTGCTCCCCATCTCTGTTCCATATTGCTAGTCCCTGAGGATGACCCTGACGCCTTTGACATCCCGACCCCTCGCACTTATGCTGAGGCGACCTCAGGACCCTGGGCCTCTCAGTGTATAGTTGCCATGGAGTAGGAGATGGCATGTTGGAGATCCACCGGCACCTACGTCGACGCAGTTCCCCCACCTTGGGTGAACGCATTCGATGCCCGGTGGCTCTTCAATGTGAAGCGCCCCTCTAGAGAGTCGCTTGTATTCAAGGTGTGCTACGTGGCTAGAGGCTTCAGTTAGCGCAAGGGTGTGGACTTCTTTCAGACCTTCGCCCCGACCCTGAAGATGACTACTCTTCGGGAGCTGCTACACGTAGCAGCACTGCGTTACTACAAGCTGCACTCTCTCGACTTCTCCACAGCGTTTCTTCACGGCAGCCTACATGAGCAGGTCTACCTGCGCCGTCCACAGGGCTTCACCGGTACCTTCCCTCCTGGGACCTAGTGGCTCCTCCGGCGTCCGATCTATGATCTACGACAGGCGCCCCGTGAGTGGCAGGATACCCTGCGTGCTACGCTAGCTGAACTGCATTTCTTCCCGTCGTCTGCAGACCCCTTGCTCTTCGTTAATGCTGGCCAGACTTCGTTCTACATCATTGTCTAATTTGACGACCTGGTCTTTGTTGCTGCAGACAGAGACGCACTGGCCTCCGTGAGGGCCGAGCTGCTGAGAAGACACACCTGCACTGACCTAGGAGTTCTGCGCCGCTATCTTGGCTAGCAGATCTCCAAGGACAGAGCAGCAAACACCATCACTCTTACACAGTCACACTTGGTGTGCCAGGTCCTTCAGAGGTTCGATCTTCAGTTCTCCTTTGCACAGCCCGCACCTGTGCCAGTAGACCACAGGCTCTCTACTCTAGTTCCTGAGAAGTCAGTAAAGCCTAGTGGTCCTTACGCAGAGCTGGTGGATTGCCTTATGTACCTGATGACTTGCACTCGTCCAGATCCCGCATACCCTCTCGCCATCCTGGCTTGCTTTGTGGCTACACGCAGACATCGACCACAGCACTGGTCGGCCGCTAAGAGGGTTTTGCGTTATCTAGCAAGTACATCGGGCATGGGGCTAGTGCTGGGAGGACGCAGGCCAGTGGTCCTTACTTGGCACAGAGACTCTTCTTGGGCAGACGACGCTAAGACCCTTAGGTCCTCCCAGGGCTACTGTTTTAGCCTTGGTTCAGGTGCCATCTCGTGGAGTTCCACTCGCTCCTCGTCTGTTGCCCAGTCTAGCTGTGAGGCTGAGATCTACGTCGGTGCCATGGCGGCACTGGAGCTCCGCTGGCTGACCTTCTTGCTCACTGACTTAGGTGAGCGGCCTAGCTCTGCCCCGGTTATGTACGCTGACAACATGGCCATGATCCTCTTGTGTGAGGAGCCTCGACTTGAGGGCAGAGCGAAGCACATCCAGCTGCGGTACTTCCAGATGCGCGAGCTTCAGTAGCATCGCCAGGCCCGCGTACTACACTTGGCCTCCGGTGCCAACGCAGCTGATATCTTTACTAAGGCACTTGCGCCTAAAGATCATCAGCGGTACTGTTTGATTGTGTACTCCTCTTTATAGATAACTTCCTGACTGGCCTTGTGGCTTCTCTTCCAGTGGCCGGACTAGTAGGGCCGCCCTGGTTTGCTCTTGTCTTGTTTGTACTCTTGCTAACTGGTCTTCGGACCCCTACCTCAGAGATGGACTAGTAGTGCCACCCTGAGCTGCGTGTTCTTTGCTCTGCACTGCCCCTTATCTAGCCTAGGGGGTGTGTCAACTTATACATATGTTTATATGTATCAGTTTTAGGCTAGATAGGTTTGTGTTGTTAGAGGGTACAACTCCAACCCGATATCTCCCCTGTACTCTCTTGTTCTAGTTGATTCTCCTATTCTGACATGCATTTGAATGGGGAGGGGGGGAGGGGGAGGGGGCGTATGTGTAACAAAATTTATAACCGAACCCGCCCCGCGTTCACCGTGCATAACACCTAGTGCGAGATACACGATAGAGATACCCTTATTTGGGGGTTTGAACATGAGTGCAAGTCTTAAAAATACAGTGATAGCAAGCAATCCACACAACAAGCACCTACTTGTTTAGTCGCTTCACAATATCCCATGGCGATGCTCCTGTCCTGTAGCCATGGTCTGCCATCTCAAGTATAGCAGGCATATTGGAACCTGTGAATCGACCAACATTTTATCGTACTGAAATTGATCCGCATTCACAGCTATTCTGAAGCAGACAGTGAGGCATTAGAGGATGCCCGACCTGGGATCACCACTGAGGCAGGTGCAGATGTTTGGCCCAAGCCTACCAGCCCCAAGCTGGCAGCTGCCAGAATTCTATCGACCTGGGAAGAGGCACGGAAAGCAGCAGAGCTAGGGAGTGCTGAGGGGTTGAGAGCGGTGAGGAGAGCAGTCGTATCAGCAGCAGCTAAGTCAGCATTCGGAGCAGCAAAAGGTGCAGCAGTCACAGCAGTAGAAGCTGCAGCAGCAGCAGCAGCAACCCCAGCCCTCAAGCTCGCAACATATTGTGTGAGGTCAGAGGTTTGCGAGCTCGCACATGTCCGGGACCGCCGAGCCAGAAGCGGAGGTGCGGAGCTGCAGGCTTCTGCCAAGCTTAGGGGATTGGAGAGGGAGGAGTGGAGGGGAGCAGAGGCGGAGGAGGAAAGGAGGAGCTGGGAGTCCCAGTTGCTGAGCAAGGGAATGTCAAGCACAGAAAGAGGAGGAGACGCGAGAGGGTTCAATGGAGGCTGCTGCTGCTGCTGCTGCTGCTGCTGCTGCTGTTGCTGCTGCTGAAGCCACTGCAGCACCAACCCCTCCTGCCTTCTCTCCTGCTCCTCCTGCTGCTGTTGCTGCTGTAGCTGCTGCTGCTGCTCCTGTTCTCGTAGGTATTCCATACGCATGTGGTGCGACCATCTCTCCCTCTGAGACCATCTCCCTCTCTTCACCTGCCCTGACGGACGTTCACCCAAACCACCACCACTCGCAGCACCAGCAGCACCAGCAGCACCAGCTGCACCAGCAGTACCAGCAGCAGCACTGGCAGCGGCGCCAGCAGCAGAGGCAATGAAGATGTCTCCGGTGCCACTGCTGCTGCACACAGTGCTGCCGCTGCTGCTACCCCTGCCCCGCCCGAGCCCCCAGCCGACCCTCTTCTCCCCTCCAATCCGTTCCAAAGCAAACTCGTTGGCTCGGATGCTTGCTTCGATCATTTTCTGCAAGTCACGCCCACCCCCCTCCCCTGCTCCTGCCCCTTCTGCTGCCCCTCCTGCTGCTGCTCTTGCTCCTGCTCCTGCTGCTGCTCCTGCTGCTGCTCCTGCTGCTGCTCCTGCTGCTGCTCCTGCTGCTGGTAAGAGGTGGCTTCTGTGCCTCTTGCTGCTGATGGTGCTGCTGTGGCTTAAGCTGCTGCTGCTGCATCCAAGAGTGTTGCTGCTAGTTCCTATGGTGTTAATGCCCGTGCCAGCAACATCAGCAGCAGCAGCAGCAGCAGCAGCAGAATTAGGGAAGGCACTATCATTTCCTGTCTGAAAATGCCGCTGCTGCCGCTGCTGCCGCTGCTGCTGCTGGAGAAGCAAGAACTGCAGCAGCTGCTGTTCCTGGGGCACGTTCAAATTATCCCGATCCAACATGTCCGCCTGCTGCAGCTGAGGCTCGGCGGCAACTGCCGAGCCTGCGAAGGAGGTCCGGAGGACCTGGGCCGTAGCAGCCTCGTTCAAAACAGCCTCGCCATAGACAGACTCGCCAAAGGCCAGGCAGGTGGAGCAGGCGTGTGCCTCCACCACCAGCGCCTCACTCCCTTGCGCCCCGCACACAATGCACCTCTCACTTCCTCGCAGCACCCCTGCTGCTGGAACCACACCTGGCAGCGCTCCTGCTCCTGCTGGAGCATCCAGCATGTAGCACAGTTCGCCTTCTCCTCCTGCCCCTTCCTCAAGCGCAGCAGAGGTGGAGGTCACGCGAGCGGGGCCGGAGGGTTGGAGGGCAGGAAGTGCCCCGAGAATGGCAGAAGATGATGGGGAGAGCGACGAGGCGTTGACCGTTAGGCTCGCGGGAATGATGATCGCACGCCCGCCGCCCAAAGCGCCGCTCAAATCGCCGCCCAAACCGCCGCCCAAACCACCGCCCAATCCAGCGCCGCCGCAGCCAGTGCCAGCAGCAGCAGCAGTAGCGAGGAAGGCGGATCGGCGGTCGTTATAGCTATGGAATCGGCGGAACAACGGCCGTCCGCCACTGGCGGTTACCCCGGCTGGAATCACCTCCCCCTCCGCAGCCGCGGTTTCCGCGCTCCCCTGGCTCGGCGCCGTCGCGGCGCGCGGAAAGAACCGCGACTTCCCGAACGCGCTGCGCGCCGCTGCTCCGCCGGTGCGGCCGTCGAGCGCCAGCTGCGCGCTTTCCGCCGCCGCCGCCGCGTGTGGCGCGCTGGCAGCGCCGAAGCTCGCGGCGAGATTGTCCTGCGCGGGAGCGGGGAGCGCGGGGAAGTGGTTCGGCTGCAGCAGCGGAATGGCGAGGGGCGCGCCCGGGGGGGAGGCGGAGGCGGCGAGCGCAACCATGGCCTCTTGATTCGGGTCCACGGCGGAAAGCAGGGGGAGCGGCGCCTCCGCCGTTTCCGCCGCATTTCTGCCCGCACTGTCAGCGGCGGCGCCATCCGCAGCCAAAGCGGCGGCAGTTTCGTCTGCCCATGCGGTCGAGGAGTCTCTGCATGCTTGCGCCTCGAAGTCGCCGCGCAAGGGGGATTCCGCGGCGGCGAAAATCTGCGGTAGTAACGAGTTGTCGCCAGCCGGGCCACAAATAAGCCTGCTGCCAGCAGTAACGAGTTGCGGGGTTAGGGTTTCGTCGAGTGCCCTGCTGCGGTCAGCTTGTGCTGTTGAGAACTCCTCTTGCTGCTGTTGTTGTCGCTGCTGATGCGCTAGTAGTTGCTGCTGCTGTAGCAGGGAAGCCTGTAGCGCGGATATAGACGACTCCAGTTCCGCCAACGCCGCTTCCGCCACCGTCGCCTTTTCCCCCGGCGCATTCCCCCCCGCAGTCTCCGCTGCTCCGCCGCTAGTAGTCATGCCACTTCCGCCTCTTTCCTGCGCTGGCCGCGCGCGGATCACCGCTTCCAGCAGCCCCTCGTACATTCCGCTCTCCGCTCCCTCCGCGCCGAACTCCCCGCCGCACGCTTCCGCATCCTCCGCATCCCCCGCGAATTGTATTAGCGGCGCGTCTGTCGCGAGCTGGCTTGCTCCGATCTGCGCCGTGATCCGCGCAAGCGTCTCCATAGTAGATTCCGCGGGGGTTCCGCCGCTCCACCCGTCGCGGGGGACGTCCCCCGCAGGCGCGCACAGCATCGCTTCCAGCACCGCCTGCTCTGGCGGAAACTGCTCCGCGGAACCTGTAAAGGCCGCGCGCGGGGAAGAATCGGCGCGCACACTCCGCTCCGCCCTGTCGTCGTTACGCTTGGCGCTTAGCAGCGGGGATCCTCCGGCTGGGGAAGCGCTCGGGCTCCGACTCCGCCTGCCACGGGAAGCTGCGTCCGCGTGGCGCATTGCGGAAGGGGACGACTGTTCCGCCGATTGGCGGAACGGGGACATCCGCGTCGACTTCTGCGCCGATGGGGGGAACGGGGAAATGATAGTGGAAGGCAAAAGCTGCAGCGACTCTCGCATCTCTGGCGCCGCCTCCGCGGGCGATCGCGGGCGGGCACTCAGCGGATCGTCTAGTAACGAGGATGCGAAATCTAGCGAGGGCTCGTCGAATTGTTCGCGATTCGTCGCCGCGGGATATGTCTCGTCCAACGGCGAGGACTTTATACTATTTTGTCCAGCGCTTCGCCGCGTGATGATTTCTTGCGCCGCCAATTGCAGTTCTCGTTCAAAGCTCGATACCTCCAAAGGCTCCGAAGCTTCTCGTGGCGAGGCGGCGCTTCCGAAGTCGAGAAACCTCACCCCGTGCTCCCACTCGGACGCCGAGTCAGCCCCCGCCGGTCTCTGACTATCATGTACCCCGTGCTCCCACTCGGATTCAAAATCTGCCGTTGGACGTCCGACCTCCACACGAGCTGGCAGCAGTGCCCGTTCCGGCTCCTGCTCTAGTCCAAGTCCCGCTACCGTAGCGACCTCTGGGTTAACTCCCGCCACTACCTCCGATCTGTCTCCCGATACCGTTGTTAGTACCTGGGATCCGTCTGCCGTTACTGCCGTTGTGAGTACCTGGGGTCCGTCTGCCGTTACTACTAGTAGTGCCGTTGTTAGTGACTCTTGTCGGGGCTCCGCCGGCTGCTCGTCGAATTTCATGGCGGGAGCGACGACGGACGCGGACTCGGAGGAAAGCCGCCAGCTAAGTCCGAAGCTGTTCCGCGCAAGTGCGTCGCTGCTGCGGCCGATGCTGCGGCTACTGCTGCTACTGCTGCCGCTGTGTCTGCTGGTGAGTTCTGGCGGGTTGCGCTGGCGATGACTCAGAGGGTCCCGGTGGCTCTCAGGGTCCTCTGGCTGCTGCGAAAGAGCGCACCTCGGAGACGAATGGACGTCACTAGCACAGGAGGGGAATGGAAGGATGGAAGGACGAAAGGACGAATTAGCTGCGGCGGCCGATGAGAAAATGGCGTCCATCAGCCGGGAAACCGGTGGAGATGGCGAGGAAGTGACGAAAGAGCCAGAGTTGTGCCAGCTCGTATGTCCACGCGACGAGTCGCGACGAGCCTTGTGCACGGGAGGGTCCAGCTCACGCGGCGGTGGAAAAAAGATTGGAGCAGAACGGGGTCCAGAGCTTGAGCACGGTGCAGGATGGAGTTTTGCAAAGGCGTCCGCACACAGCTGAACGGCCGAGCTCGAACTTGGACGATGCAGCCAAGGAATTTCTGTTCTCGAGCTTTGTGCGAAGCTCAGCTGAGTGCGAAGGTTGAGCTAAGTTGCGACGAGGATCGGCGGTGCGGATACGGCGCCAGAGAGGCTTCGGATCGCGACTGCGAGGACGGAACGATGAGTCTGGGAAGAAGCAGCGGGAGATGAGCTGCTTTGTAGCTGTTGCTGCCGACGAGCTCGGCGTGCTCGCGTGCTTAGGAGGCTATGAGTTGGCAATGGCAGAAAGGCTGTGTGAACAGCTAGTAGCTATAGTAGCTCTAGTAGAGAAAGACGTTGTGGAGGGGTTGATGACGGGACGCAAGAGGACGATGACGTGCTGTCAGAAGGACATGGATGGGGATAAAAATACGAGTATGCGCCGCAGCTCGCGCGAGCACACAACTGGAGATTAGCTGGGATTGCTTCGAGAGAAGGATCGTGAGTTGCGTGACGCGCAAATGTGGAAGATGAGATATGAACCAGCCTGCTCTGAAGGGCGCCAGAAAGGGAGTCAGCTGGATCATAATAAAAAGGACCGCCGAAGCGCAGATGCAACACAAGAAATTCGATTTGGTGTCGGGCCACCTCTCTGAAGTTTTATTGAACCGTTATATGACATAACAAACCACGCTAAACCGTCGTAAGATCCTGTGACCCACCACAACAGAATGGATTGCAGACTGGGAAGGATGATGGGCAGGAAGCATCCGCATGTGTGGATTGTGATTTTGGCGAAAGCTGAGGCGCAGCTTTGCTAGCTGTCGGGCAGCCTGGCAGGGAATGGAGGGGTTTGGGCAGTTCTGGGTCAATGCTGTGTGGCGAAGGAGAGTTGCACAGCAAAACAGTGCGAGAATCCTGCCCGAAAGTTAACTACAAGACAGTCCACAAAGAACCACCGAATTTGAGGCGTCCAATGTTCTTCAGCGGTCAACATGACCGCAAAAAAAAAAGGGTAATTCTACACCCAGTATTTTCACAGGGGGTGCCACCGAGAGGGTATTCACCCCTCGAAAGCAGCTCCTGAAGAGCAGATCTGGATACCCTTGGAAACAAATTTAGCTCGGATATATTTACGAAACAATTACTGCTCGAATTAGCCTTTCTCGAGTCAGGAAACCCGACATCGCTTAGGCAGTGCTCAAAGTTTTCGCCCGAAGGGAGTCTGACAATTTAAAACCATATTAGCAAGAGATTACTGTCTACGCACTCCGAAATGGTCAGGGAGGAAACAAAAATTATGCTGCCGTCCAATTTCAGGGTGGGATTCTACTACACCCGATACCTCGTTAGAACCAAGCGTGTATGTCAGGCTGGCTACGTTTTTTTTTTTAGAATGTGATTGTGCGTGACCGCCCAGGGAACCGACCGTCAGGGGTATTTACCGAGCCCCCGACGAAATAGGGATGTATTCTGGAGTGACGAGTGTTCGGTCCCACGTGGAGGGAAACCGTAGGAATGAAAAATACAAATAAAACAGTGGAAGGGATCGCAACTGCCAGAAATACCCGCGCACTATAACCAACCATTAACTGTCGAGAGAATGAACAGAATGTTCCGCGACGAGGAGCTTCTGGAATCAGCAGCTCAACCCGTTAAGATCTGTCGATTTTCCCACACTAAGCCATATTTGGTCCAGGGTAATGTGAAATTCCATTTCTCCATCTGATAAGATGCCGATCTTGGCAATGACTGTATCCGCTTTTTTATACTACGTGATTTGAAACAAACGATATTTAGGGTGTATGAGAAACTAACACCGAACGCTCAATGCGACCGCAGTGCTTGTGGACTATTTCTGCCTGAGTGGGCCCCCACTGACGGGTTAGGGGGGCCGCTAACTCGCGAGGATTTAGCTAGAAGCGTTTTTTCAAAGTACACATCGGATTCCTCCCGACGCCGGGATTGTATAACCAGTCTTTCACACCACGTTCTGATCTGACCCGTCAATGCCTCCGAAATTTGCCAAAAGCTCTATGAACATCGTGAGTTGCTGGAGTGGAGACTTGAAATGCTGTTGGGCTGCAGGATTATCCTTCACACGGTGCACTGTATTCTAGCACGACGGAGCTCCTCACAGGCTGGAAGCGTGGAAATCAGCATGAACGCCAAGCCCAGTGAAACTCAATCAGCCACTCAAATGATGGACGCGTGCGCTTATCACAGAAAGTGACAGTTGGCATTGGCTTTTGAAAGCTGGAGATTGGTTGCTTTGCAGATTTAGAGATATCAAGATGGATAGCATCAGATTCCCCGCGTGGAGAGTGATCCTCCCTCCAGCGCCAGCCTTTTTCCGTGTGGAATGAGTTTTCCTTCCTCTCCACCGGGATATATAGGTGCCAAAACAATACCAGCCCAAAAATTGGATTGTCGCTTTAAAAAGTGGCCTCCCACGGCTCACCGCTACCCCTGCAAACAGTTTGCACCTTTTGGTGATACTTGAAAAATGTGTTGTGGATGCTCTAGACCAGGGCTAGCTTCTGATTTATGGTGTTGATCACCATTTTCTGTCAATTTCTGTCTAAACCCACCGTCAGGATCCGGGTATCTGTCAGAATCGAGGGTCAGCGAAAGACCGAGCCGGGATTTGCAAAAACCCTGGTAGTTCTCCGTGAAAATATCCCTTCTTTGGGCGTTCAGCTTCGTGGACGGGCTGAGCACCCACCACACAAGACGACTGTGGTGTTCGACTGTATGCAACGGTTAAAACATCCTACTGTGCTGGTTTCGCCCAGGTACGTGGGCCCCACGTGGTGGCTCCATTCTCCCGTCTGCAAAACTGTAGTGCCTTGTCGCAATGCACCTGAACAGCATGAATACAGATCATTGCATCCTGTCCGAGAGGGGCTCATATGCAGTTCTGAGAATACATGCGTTTCCCATCCGATTTCACTGTACTAATTTCTCATTCTTCTGGTTTCCTGAAGATCCCAGGAGGATTTCTCATTTCACTGGAACTATCGAACTGTTGTTTGAGCTGCCCGAAAACATGGATTGTGGCGCTTCTTTCGAAGTTTCGCTCGCGCTCCTCGTTTGTTCGCCCGTCCTTTCCTTCCACCCAACATGCACGTGACTCGATGCTTCAGCGAGTAGATCTACCACTGGAAACGCGGAATGGCCGAATCTCCAATGCGACTAGGGACAAATTTCGAAGTTTGCCAAAGCCGTGGTTTGATTGAACACTGAGAGGCAGGAAGTTACAGTTACCAGGTTTGCACAAAACGAAGTCCACAGGAAGTAATAAACCATACTGCAGCATTCACAACACCATCCAAACCACGATCATCTACTTCCTCCGCCAGGCCATGCAGCACATCACATGCCATTTCAGAACTCCAAAAGAGGTATGGGAAAACAAATGGTCGCATCCAAGGGGTTGTCCAAGGCAAAAATGGTCGGAGGTTGCGTTAAAGCGGCATAGCATGTCACGACTCACGATTCACGACGTCCTATCGCAACAAAGAAACTACAGCTACAAAATCAACGGAAATCAAAGGCCTCCGGGGGAGCAGGCTCCTCCTCGTCCTCATCATCATCAGCAGGAGGAGGGGGAGGTGGGGGAGGCCCCCCTCCTCTCCCCCTCCCCGCACCTCCTCCCCCTCCACTCCTCCTGAAAGCCCCTGGTGGAGCAGCAGCAGCCGGTGCGGCAGCAGCTGCAGTTCGGGCAGCACCGGAATTTCCGGCCGCTGCAGCATTGGGCCCATCGGTGAGTGCCAATTCTTCGGGCAGCTCAGGCTGGCGATCCTTCAGCATCAGAAAACCGGATGTGGGCTTCCTGATTGGTGCATAGCGGCAGGTTTCTGGAAACCGGATGTATTTTTCTTGTGCGGGCAGCACTCGGGCAGGGTTGTGGAGAATTTCAGACGTTGGTTCGGCTGGCTTCTTTGGTTCAGCAGCAGCAGCAGCAGCAGCAGCAGCAGGGGTAGGGTTAGAGGCTTCCACCTGGAAAGGTGGGAGCAGATGGAGCAGCAGGGAAAGGAATGGGAAGGATGGGAGAAAGGGTGGGAGAAAGGGTGGGAGAAAGGGTGGGAGAAAGGGTGGAGAGAGGGTGGGAGAAAGGGTGGGAGAAAGGGTGGAGAGTGGAGAGAAGAACAGGGTCAGCATGGTAAACTTGAACATGCTAATCTGTAGGTGAGAAGAACAGGGGGGTCACTGCATGCGGCAAGAAGTAGAGATGCAGGGTGTGAGAGAGACTTGGGGAGGGGTACGAGAGAGGTTTGCTGAGGGGTGTCAGCAATAGCCAGAACGGGACCAAAGCAAGGCCTCACCTCCATAGCATCCCCTTCCTTCTTCTCATCTTCTTTCTTCTCCCCCTCCTTCTCCTCACCCCCCTTCCCTCCAGACGCCGCCGCACCCTCTGCCACCCCACCCTTCGCCCCCCTCCCCTCCCCGCCCTCCTTCTCCTTCTTGTCCTCCTCCTTCTCCTTCTTCTCCTCTTTCTCCTTCGCCCGCCCCTTCGCACGCGCTGCCGTCGACAACACAGCCACCGGCGCCTTAACCGCGGTGCTGCTGCTAGCCACCACCGCCGGCGGGGGGTACGCAAACAGTGACGGCTTGCACTCCGAGACAAAGTCGAATTTCGGCGCCTTGAGGTCCCCCTGAAGCCCGATGAGCGCCGTTGCAGAGAAGGAGAGCGAGAGGAAGTGGAGGAGGGGGAACCAGTACCAGTACTGGGTGAAGAGCGCCATTCCGATGACGGCGGTCACGCGGTCGTAACCGGAGCGGGACCGCAGCGAGATGGTGACGTTGCGGCCGCCGGCGTCGATGATGCCTGAGGCGAGGATGGCGCCCATCTTGCACATGGTGTCCTCGTGCTTGTCGTGAATGGCCTTCTCGAGCTGGCGCCTGGAAGAGGAGGGATGATAGGGAGAGAAGAAGAAAGGGATAGGGGGAGTGAGGAGATCGAGGGGGACGCACGCCCATCGTGCACATGGTGTCCTTGTGCTTGTCGTGAAAGGCCTTCTCCAACTGGCGCTTGGGAGGGGAAGGAGAGATAAGGAGACAGGGACAGGGAGTGTGGGGTGAAGGGGGGTGAGGGAGGGATGGCTCCCATCGTGCACGTGGTGTTTTCATGCTTGTCGTGGATGGCCTTCTCCAACTGGCGCCTGGAGAAAACAAGGAGGCAGGGAGGCATTGAGGGTAAGAGGATAGGGGAAAGGGTGCGGTGGAGGCGAGGATGGAACCATCTTGCACATGGTGTCCTCGTGCTCGAACTCACCTTGCATATGGTGTCTCCTGGCGTTCGTGAAGAAAGAAGTCAAGTTTTGAGGTGCCTCGAACCTGCTTTGCATATGGTGTCCTAGTGAAGCAAGGAATTACTCACCTGAAAGCGACCACTCCTCGCTCCCTCGCCTGCGAGCTCTGCATGAGCACCATGGAGGTGGCCATCAGCGCCCCCTGCCGCACGAAATCGGCCCCATCGGATCTCAAGGGTTCCAGCAGGTCCAACGCACTCCTCTGCATACTGTGCCGTCATGAAGTCTGCCACAGACATGCTATCAAGGCTCAGCTGAACGCCACAACTCGAGGCTCGCGTTCCTGGGAGCACTGCATGAGCACCATGGCCGTCACCATCAGCGCCCCCTGCCGCACGAAATCCACCCCATCTGATGTCAACGGCTCCAGCAGGTCCAGGGCGCTCCTCTGCACACTGTGCCGGTATATGGCCTGCCACACACATGCTGCCGTGCCCACCTAGAGTTGAGCCCACCCAAATTCAACTGGGGCTCACCTGAACGCCACGACTCGAGGCTCGCACTCCTGCGAGCACTGCATGAGCGCCATGGCAGTGGCCATCAGCACCCCCTGCCTCAAGAAATCCACCCCATCTCAAGTGAGAGGCTCCAGCAGGTCCAACGCACTCCTCTGCATACTGTGCCGGCATAAAGTCTGCCACACACATGCTATCAAGGCTCACCTGAACGCCACAACTCGAGGCTCGCGTTCCTGGGAGCACTGCATGAGCACCATGGCCGTCGCCATCAGCGCCCCCTGCCGCACGAAATCCACCCCATCTGATGTCAACGGCTCCAGCAGGTCTAGGGCGCTCCTCTGCGCTGTGCCGGCGCACGCAATACCGACTGCCATGGCAGCCCCGTAGCGCACATGGGGGTTGAAGGACTCGGCGAGTAAAGAGACCATGCGAGGGACCTGGATGGGGGTTAGGGGAGGAGCACATTGGAGGGAGGGGGGTAGATGAGGAGTGAATGGCTTCCCTGTACAGACACCATGCGAGGGACCTGGAGGCAGCGCAGGGGAGGGAAAGGAACAGTCCGAATCAGCTATCACACAAGGAGTTGTGACAGGGAGTGACAGGGAGTGGCAGGGAGTGACAGGGAGTGACAGGGAGTGACAGGGACAGAAAGGGACAGGGGAAGCAACACAAGGGGAGCTCCAGCCAGCAAGGCGAGCGCGCCCCTCTGCGCCGTGCCAGCAGGGGGACCTGGATAGAGGGCAGGGGAGGAGAAGGCACAGTCAGAGCCAGCTACCACACAAGGAGGGGTGACAAGGCGAGAAAGGGACAGGCGCAGCAACACAAGGAGAGCTCCAGCCAGCAGGTCGAGCGCGCTACTCTGTGCCGTGCCCGCACAGGGAATGCTGACTGCCCCGTAGCGCACATGGGGGTTGAGGGACTCCACTCGGCTAGCAGGAGACCATGCAGGGGACCTGGACGGGACAAGGCAGGGGAGCGACCATAGGGGGCGAGGAGAGAGAGGAGTAGGGGTGAGAGAGAGTAGTGGTGAGAGAGAGTAGTGGTGAGAGAGAGTAGTGGTGAGAGAGAGTAGTGGTGAGAGAGAGTAGTGGTGAGAGAGAGTAGTGGTGAGAGAGAGTAGTGGTGAGAGAGAGGAGTAGTGGTGAGAGAGAGGAGTAGTGGTGAGAGAGAGGAGTAGTGGTGAGAGAGGAGAGTAGTGGTGAGAGAGGAGAGTAGTGGTGAGAGAGAGGAGTAGTGGTGAGAGAGAGGAGTAGTGGTGAGAGAGGAGAGTAGTGGTGAGAGAGAGGAGTGGTGGTGAGAGAGAGGAGTAGTGGTGAGAGAGAGGAGTAGTGTTGAGAGAGAGCGAAGAGGGAGAGAGAGAGAGAGATCGCGAGGGAGGGGTAGCAACACAAGAAGGGCTCCTGGATCCCCTGTGCCGTGCTGGCGCGGGCGATACCAAATGCCATGACGTCACTGACTGCAAAATGCAGCAGCTGGCGAATGACCCCCGCATTGTTAGCCATGCACGGAAAGAGAGAGAGATAGAGGAGCAGGTTGGGGGGCGGGAGGGGAGGGGACGGGAGGGATGGGAGGGAGGGGAGGGAGGGGGGGGGAGGGGAGGGACGGGATGGGAGGGGAGGGACGGGAGGGGAGGGGACGGGAGGGGGGGGAGGGAGGGGGAGGGGTGAAAGACAGGAGAGAAGCGCTCACCTGATCTGGCTCGCCACAGAGGACGAACCCCAGGCACAGCACAGCGGCACGCCTGACGTCATCACTGACGTCACTGACGGCAAAGTGCAGCAGCTGGCGAATGGCCCCGTTGTTAGCAGTCCCGCGATATGCCATGGCGATGGCATACATGCCTCCGTAGCGCAGTATCGGGTCGGCATCCGTTGTCATCTGCTGGATGAGAATGTCAGCTTCTTCTTCTCGCCCGTACACCACCAGGGATATGCCAACAGCAAGACCCCTGAAAGATTGTCAACACGAAAGAGGGAGGAGGGAGCGGGGAGGGGGGAAGGGGGAGGAGGGAGTGGGGAAGGGGGAGGAGGGAGTGGGGAAGGGGGAGGAGGGAGTGGGGGAAGGGTGGGTGGGTTGTTAGCGGTGCCGCGGTAGGCCATGGGAATGGCGTACATGCCCCCATAGCGCAGGGTGGGGTCGGCGGTAGCCCCATGGCGATGCTGGCAGTGCGGTGCTGTGCAGTGCTGTGCTGTTCTGTTCTGTGCTGTGCTGTGATGTGCAGTGCTGTGTTGGGCTGGGCTGGGCTGGGCTGTGCTGGGCTGTCTATGAACATACATCCTCCCCTCACCGGATGAGCATACGCCAGCATCTTAGCCGCTCGCTCGCTGGCCAACCCCACCAGCAGCAGCCCCATGGCGATGCCGGCTGTACTGTACTGTGCTGTGCTGTGCTGTGCTATGCTATGCTGTACTGTGCTGTGCTGTGCTACGCTATGCTGTACTGTACTGTGCCGTGCTGTGCTGTGCTCTGTGTGCTCTGTGTATGATCGTTCACCCGTCTCCTCACCGGATGATCTTCTCATGCTGGGTGTCATGCGCATACGCCAGCATCTCAGCCGCCCGCTCACTGGCCGACCCCACCAGCAGCAGCCCCATGGCGATGCCGGCTGCCTCCCCAGCCACGGCACTGTCAGTGTACAGCACGCTCTTCACGTCCTCATACACCTCCTCGTCGCCCGTGCCCATGGCCGCTAGTCCGACACCGAGACATGCCCCGTGTTGAATAGTCTGTAGGCAGACGGTCCAGGGGTTTTGGGGGGTTGGGAGGGGTTTCAGGGGGTGTAAGTTGGGGTTTCTGTAGGTATCAGCTGCCTCCCCTGCCACGGCGCTGTCAGTGTACAGCACGCTCTTCACGTCCTCGTACACCTCCTCGTCGCCCGTGCCCATGGCCGCTAGTCCGACACCGAGACAGGGCCCGTGTTGAATAGTCTGTAGGCAGACGGTCCAGGGGTTTTGGGGGGTTGGGAGGGGTTTCAGGGGGTGTAAGTTGGGGTTTCTGTAGGTATCAGCTGCCTCCCCTGCCACGGCGCTGTCAGTGTACAGCACGCTCTTCACGTCCTCATACACCTCCTCGTCGCCCGTGCCCATGGCCGCTAGTCCGACACCGAGACAGGGCCCGTGTTGAATAGTCTGTAGGCAGACGGTCCAGGGGTTTTGGGGGGTTGGGAGGGGTTTCAGGGGGTGTAAGTTGGGGTTTCTGGAGGTATCAGCTGCCTCCCCTGCCACGGCGCTGTCCGTGTACAGCACGCTCTTCACGTCCTCATACACCTCCTCATCGCCCGTGCCCATGGCAGCAGGCCCCACGCCAAGGCACGCTCCATGTTGGATCGCCTGCAGGCAGAGGGTACAGGGTTCTGGGTTAGTGGAGATACCGGCTGCCTCCCCTGCTGCTGCACCCTCATGCACCTCCTCGTCGTAGGCAATGCTGCCTGGCTACCCAGAGCCTAAACCCACAACAACCCAACCCCTAAAACCCAAGCCCCGTACACCTCATTGTCGTTGGCAATGCTGCATGGCTACCCAGAGCCTAAACCCGCAACCCAACCCTAGAACCCAAGCCCCGTACACCTCATCGTCGTTGGCAATGCTGCCTGGCTGGCTACCCAGAGCCTAAACCCACAACCCAACCCCTAAATCTCAAACCCCGTACACCTCATCCTCGTTGGCAATGCCGCCTGCCTACTCAGAGCCTAAACCCTGAACCCCCCTGACCCTTGCAGGCACCTCATTGCTTGTAGGTGATTTTGACTCTTGCAGGCACCTCATTGCTTGTAGGTGATTTTGACTCTTGCAGGCACCTCATTGCTTGTAGGTGATTTTGACTCTTGCAGGCACCTCATTGCCCTTGCAAAAATCACGTGACCCTTGCAGGCCCTCATTGCCCTTGCAAAAATCACGTGACCCTTGCAGGCCCTCATTGCCCTTGCAAAAATCACGTGACCCTTGCAGGCCCTCATTGCCCTTGCAAAAATCATGTGACCCTTGCAGGCCCTCATTGCTTGTGCTTCTGAGGCTCTTCAGCAGACTCCCCTTGATGCTCCCCCCCTGGTTGGCGTGTATCAGCCCCATATCATACAGCGCCCCTTCCTTCACGCCCCTGAACCTTAAACCCCAAAAACCCTGACCTAAACCCAGGAGTACCCACCTCGTTGCTGGTGTTTCTGAGGCTCTCCAGCAGAAACCCCTTGATGCTCTCCCCATGGTTGGCGTGAATCAGCCCCAGAGCATACAGCGCCCCGCCCTCCCACACCCCCTCACCTCCTGCCCCGGACCCTTCAACCCAAAGTTACAACCCTGACCTAAACCCTAAGTTACAACCCTCATGTAAACCCAGGAGTTCCCACCTCGTTGCTGGTGTTTCTGAGGCTCTCCAGCAGGAACCCCTTGATGCTCTCCCCGTGGTTGGCGTGAATCAGCCCCAGAGCATACAGCGCCCCGCCCTCCGAAAATGGGCTCCCACTCAGCCCGCCTGCTGCCCCTGCACCGCCCCCCGCCCCGTGGGGCAGATATGGCGCCATGAGGGAGCGCCCCTGCTGCAGGTGGCCCCTGTGTATCACTCCCAGGCCTGCAGTGGCGCTCAGCTTCGCCCAGTTGGTCGCTCGGCTCAACCAGTCCTGCATCGACCAGGAGGGAAGGGAAAAGGTTGGTTCGAAGGGGACAGGTACGGCGCCATGAGGGAGCGCCCCTGCTGCAGGTGGCCCCTCTGGATCACTCCCAGGCTGGCCGTGGGGCTCAGCTTCGCCCAGTTTGTTGCTCGGCTCAACCAGTCCTGCAAAGTCAGGGTTTGGGGTTTGGGGGAAACAGCATGAGGAGAAGGACTTAACCAAGTAGGCAACCATGGGTGCTGCAGATGGCCCCTGTGGATCACACCCAGCCCTGCAGTGGCGCTGAGCTTCGCCCAGTTGGTCGCTCGGCTCAGCCAGTCCTGCGGGTTCGGGGGTTGGGTTCGGGGGTTGGGTTCGGGGGTTGGGTTCGGGGTTTAGGGAACAAGGAGAGAGTGCTAAGGGCAGGGCAGGTAGGGAGCCATGAGGGAGCGCCCCTGCTGCAGATGGCCTCTGTGAATCACTCCCAACCCCACAGTGGCACTGAGTTTCGCCCAGTTGGTCGCTCGGCTCAGCCAGTCCTGAGGGTTTGGGATTTGGGCAAGACGAAACAAGGAGAGGTAGTTGAAATGCGAGATACGGAGCCATGAGGGAGCGCCCCTGCTGCAGATGGACCCAGTGGATCACTCCCAAGCCGGTCGTTGGGCTTAGTTTCGCCCAATTGGTTGCTCGGCTCAGCCAGCCCTGCAAGTTTGGGGTTGGAGTTGAAGGATTGCATCAGACGGAACAAGGAGGGAGATTTGAAGCAGGCACGGTGCCATGAGGGAGCACCCCAGCTGCAGACAGCCCCTGTGAATCACACGCAGGCCGACCCCGTTGCACTCAGCTTCGCCCATTTGGTTGCTCGGCTCAGCCAGTCCTGTGAAAGGGCCATGGGGTTAGGGGTTTGGCAGGAAGCAGACATGAGTCGGAGCATGGAGCCATGAGGGAGCGCCCCTGATGCAGATGGGCCCTGTGGATCGCTCCCAAACCTAAGCACAGTATCAACTCACCAGGTTGCCTCTGAGGGAGGTGTCAACTGTGGCGCCAGCAAGCAATGAATACCAGGTCACCGAGATGCCTATCACCACCTCACCAGGTAACAGCGGCAAGGTAACACCAACTCACCAGGTTGCCTCTGAGGGAGGTGTCAACTGTGGCCAGCAAGCAATGAATACCAGGTCACCGAGATGCCTATCACCACCTCACCAGGTAACAGCGGCAAGGTAACACCAACTCACCAGGTTGCCTGTGAGGGAGGTGTCAACTGTGCGCCAGCAAGCAATGAATACCAGGTCACCGAGATGCCTATCACCACCTCACCAGGTAACAGCGGCAAGGTAACACCAACTCACCAGGTTGCCTCTGAGGGAGGTGTCAACTGTGGCGCCAGCAAGCAATGAATACCAGGTCACCGAGATGCCTATCACCACCTCACCAGGTAACAGCGGCAAGGTAACACCAACTCACCAGGTTGCCTCTGAGGGAGGTGTCAACTGTGGCGCCAGCAAGCAATGAATACCAGGTCACCGAGATGCCTATCACCACCTCACCAGGTAACAGCGGCAAGGTAACACCAACTCACCAGGTTGCCTCTGAGGGAGGTGTCAACTGTGCGCCAGCAAGCAATGAATACCAGGTCACCGAGATGCCTATCATCACCTCACCAGGTAACAGCGACAATGTAGCATCAACTCGCCAGGCTGTCTCTGAGGGAGGTGTCGACTGTGGCGCCAGCATGAATGAAAGCATTGGCCACGATGGTGGCCCTATACCCAGAAAACACCAACCCAGTTACCCAGCGGTGTCTTTCACTAGCACCGGGCAACACCTATTTTGAGTCATTACAGACCGGGCAGCACCGGGCAACTCAAAGATAGACTCATTACACATGGTGGCGCGCTATACCCAGAGAACACCAACCCAGCTGTGCCTTTTCTCAAGCACCGGGCAACACCATCTCACCTGGTAGGAACATGTCACCAGCCAGCATCAACTCACCAGGTTGTCTCTGAGGAAGGTGTCAACTGTGGTACCAGCATGCATGAACGCATTGGCCACGATGGTGGCGCTGTGGCACACGCTGTTTCGCGTCTCCACCACCTGCTTGATCGCCTTCAGCACCCCCAAGTCAGCCCTGCAGGGAGCACGAAGGGAGACGATTGTGAGAGGGAGGGGCTCAAGGGCGGGCAGTGCTGGTGGCACTGTGCCACACGCTGCACACCTAAACAATCGAGCTCGTCAATCAGTCCGAAATGCCCTCACTTGTTGTGGCTGTATGTACAGAAACTGCAGAGTGAGCCCAATCACCACGACACTGACATTCACGCCACGTAGGTAACTGATCCTGAAGCTTAAGCACCTAGCACGCACTTGTTGTGGCTGTGGCTGTACAGGAACTGCAGCGTGAGCCCAATCGGAGTCTCCCCCGGCAGAATCCCCGACAGCTTCGCCCGTCTCTCCGCATGCACCACCTCCTCGCCTAAACAATCAAGATGATAAATCAATTCCGGATGCACTTACTTGTTGTGGCTGTAGAGGAACTGCAGAGTGAGCCCAATCGGGGTCTCCCCCGACAGGATTCCCTTCAGCTTCGCCAGCCGGTCCGCGTATACCACCTCCTCACTCGGCGCAGCCTCGGCAGACGCCTCGCCCTCTCCCAAACCTGCAGCGTCAGCCGAACCGGAACCAGCTGCCTCGGCAGTGTCCATGGTGCTTGGCCCATCAGCCTCGGCAGCAGCAGGCTTGGCAGTCTCTCCGTGCTCTGCTGCTTTTCCTTCGCCTGCTTTCCCTTCCTCCTCAGCAGCTGCTGTGGCTGCTGACGCCTCTCCCCCGTCTGCCTTCGCTGCTCCTGCACCTCCCTTTCCTTCCTCTGTTTCCATTGCTGTTGCGGCATCACCAGCCTCTGCTGCTCCTGCTACGTCTGATGCACCATCACCAGCGGCAGCACCAGCACCATCACCAGCGGCAGCAGGAGCAGCAGCATCCGCATCCGTGGCAGGAGCAGCAGCAGCATTAGCTGACGCACCCACTGCAGCACCCTCAGCATCAGCAGCAGCAGCGGATTCCGCAGCCGGTGCAGCAGCAGCAGCAGCAGGGGCAGGAGGAGCAGGAGCAAGCGGGGGAGGGGGGTCTGGGAGTGCATCCCGCACCGTCACCAGAAACTGCTGAAATTCGTTCTCAAAGAGGTCGAAGGCGACCTGGTAGGCCAGCAGCGCGTCCTCCTCGTGCTGCCCCTTGATGAGGCGGTCCAGCGTGGCCGCCACCCCTGCTGCGTCGCTGAGAAACATGAGCATCTGGCAGATGCTGCCATAGTCGGGGGACTCCGCCTGCTGGTACAACCTGACCAGCGTGGTCAGCACCTGGAGAGATACGAGTGGCGAGTACAGGGGAAGAAGGAGGGGGAGCAGAAGAGAGGAGAGCGGCTGAAAGGGACTGCAGAAACCCTAAACCCGAAAACCTAGCGCAGCGCGTCCTCCTCGTGCTGCCCCTTGATGAGTCGGTCCAGCGTGGCCACCACCCCTGCCGCGTTGCTCAGAAACATAAGCATCTGGCAGATGCTGCCGTAGTCGGGGCTCCCCGCCTGCTGGTACAGCCGCACTAGGGTTGACAGCACCTGGTGGGGATTAGGCCAGGGGAGGCAGGGAGAGAGCAGGGGAATGTTGGTAGGGCGGATGAGCAGTAGGGTAGGCCGTTGGTCCACTCAACACACAGACCACGACAACTCAGAACCGCACCACAACTAAGGGGCCTGGACTTGGTTTGGAATGCAGGTGGCCGGGGGTGTGACAAGAACGGGTGGGTGGCAAGTGAGTAATCATCACTCAATCTAAGACCGAATGGTTCTTCAAGCGAGAGATGCTACAGTCACGCTAAATTAACGCTAAAGTCATGCTACAGTCATGCTACAGCCAAGGTCCACAGCTAACGTACCTGCTGGCGGAACTGGCGGCGGTTGACAAGGGAGTGGGAGACCTGCAGAAGGGAAACAAGCAAGCAAGCAACGGCACAGGCATGGGTTGACAACGGGAAAGGACTAGAGGGATAAGAAACACAAAATTCAGATGGGAGCAGGCACGGAAGCCCACTGGGAGGTCTTTGTGCCCGATGCATGGGGGGCCGGAGAGTGGAGGAGGGGAGGGTGGAGGAGGAGCTACAGCAGCCTCCAATTGCAAGAATGCTGTGAATCTACAACCCAGAAAGGCAGCACATCTAGGTGCAAGTCAACGCAAGTCAACACCAGTCAACACCTATGTTGCCATAAACGTTTTTTAGGAAAGCGTTTACCTTGTATACGCGGACGCTAAACGCAGGCAGATACGCTATACGCTCGGGTAGAAAATTTGGGGCAGCCCAACAAAAAAATCGGGAGCTTTTTTTCTGCAATTTCTTGACATGGCGAATTCATCGACACATTCGCCCAGTCGCGAAACCCAACCAGGGAGGTCAAAGTGGGTTATCAACAAACTTCCCTCCCCTTCACCACACTGAACTCCCCTACATCTAGAAAACCCATCCTACACTCACAAATCCTCCTTTCTCCTCTCTCTCCCTCCCCCCCCCCTCATTCGCTCCAAACCTCGAAATTCCGTCGCCGTAGTCAGAGCATTTCTCCTAGCCATGTCACCTCCTAGACTACCTGTTGTGTTGTTAATCCAGTTATCGCACTACAATAATGTCGACCACTAAGAGCGATGCGGGCGCGCGAGGCTATTGCGTCCACATCGTCGACGGCACACTAGGTATACACATACTTCAGACTTTTCGGTAAGGAGGTAGGCGTCACGCAGAAGTCGAATGCAGGTTTTTTTAACCCCTGCCCGAGCAAACATTTTAGCCTGCCCGGGCTAGCGTATACCTAGCGTATAAAAGCCCGAGTCCACGCGTCTAGCGTATATACGCTAACGTATATTCGCCATACGCGTATATGGCAACATAGGTTAACACCAGTCAATACCAGTCAACGCACCTGCAGGCAGTAGGCGAGCAGCGAGCGCGAGTTGCCGCTTCTGGCCACAGCTGCCTCCAGCTTGTCCAGGCGCCGGCACTCCAGCGCCACCCCGATGGCCTGCTGGAACTGACGCTCCTCAATGCAGCTGACAGGGGCGGGGGAACGGGGAGGAGGAAGGGAGGGGGACGGGGTGCGGGGAAAGAGAACGAGAGTTCACTGCTTAGTCACGCAGTTTATCCAGGCGCCGGCACTCTAGCGCCACCAGTATGGCCTGCTGGAACTAACGCTCCTCAATGCAGCTGATGGGGGGGAGGAAGTGAGAGATGGAGAGAACTGTGAGATCACACAGTGTTCTGTCAACGGCACTCTAACGCCACCCCTATGACCTGCTGGAACTGACGCTCCTCAATGCAGCTGACAGGGGGGGGGAGGGGGGAGGATAGAGAACCAGAGGACGCTGCTTAGTCACAGCTTGTCCAGGTGCCGGCACTCCAGCACCACCCCTAAGGCCTGCTGGAACTGACGCTCCTCAATGCAGCTGGTGGGGGGGGAGAAGGGGAAGGATCATCGAGAACCATTGCTTTGTTACACAGTGTTACTACAGACAACATGCCAGCGCCACCCTTATGGCCTGCTGGAACTGACGCTCCTCAATGCAGCTGATGGGGGGGGGGGTGGGGGAACGTGGGGGGGGGAGAGTGTGCGCGAGTGTTCGGGAGGAAGAGAGAGGAGAATACTGTGTTAGCGCAGTAGGCGAGCAGCGACCCCTTCCTTATGCACATTCAGAATTCTACCGCATCAGAGGGATTAGTTACACTGCGCCACTTCTACCAATCAACGTCATGATCGGGATTAATAAGCATGGGGTGAGCGTGTGGATTAATTTGCATGCCAAAGCTTTATTGCTAGGTTGTTTTCTAACATCATTGAGTGACTCGTTCTCCTCTGCAGAGGGGAATTAATCCACACACTCACCCCATGCTTACTAAAGCGAGGATCTCGAAACCCCCCGAACTCAAAACCTAAGGTTTTGGTCCCCAGCCAAAACGCCCAGGGATCAAAACCTAAGTTTTAGAGTTCGGGGGGTTTCGAGATCCTCGCTTTAATCCCGATCACGGCATTGCTTGGTAGAACCGGCGCAGTGTAATTAATCCCTCTGATGAGGTAGAATTCTGAATGAGCGTAAGAAAAGTCGCTTCTGGCCGCAGCTGCCTCTAGCTTGTCTACGCACCGACACCTCCAGCATCACCCCTATCACCTGCTGGAACTGACGCTCCTCAATGCATATCACTTGTCGAGCATCTTCTCTACCATGGCCAGGAGTTGCATAAGGCAAAGCACAGTACCGCACCGCACAGCATAGCACCACGCAGCACCACACGGCATCGCACTCACTTGTCGAGCATCTTCTCTACCATGGCCAGGAGTTGCATAAGGCACAGCACAGCACGGCACCGCACAGCACAGCATCGCACTCACTTGTCGAGCATCTTCTCAACGATGGCCACGAGGCGCGGGTCCAGGGGGAACTCGCCGTCGGGGTCACGGGAGTCGGCACGCTTGACACTCAGATCCATGTACTCGTCAATGCACTTGGCTGCACGGGGAAAAGCGCAAGGGAGGTATAGAAGCGCAAAGAATGGCTCTCAGACCCAGGCACCTGTAGCAAGGGGGAACTCGCCGTCGGGGTCACGAAAGTCCACGCGCTTGACACTCAGATCCATGTACTCGTCGGTGCACTTGGCTGCACGGAAACAACGCAGGAGGAGGTTTCGAAGCACAAAGAATGGCCCTCAGATCCGAGCGCTCATAGTCAAGGGACAACTCGTTGTCACGGTCACGGGAGTCGGTGCGCTTGACTCGCAGATTCCGTGTACTCATCACGTCAATGCACTTGGTTGCAAAGGAATAGGCGCAGCTCCAAGGCGACTTTTGAGGCGACTCAAAAGGCAGATTCCACGTACTGTACTCGTCACATCAATACACTTGGTTGCACCGAAATAGGCGCAGCTCCAAGGCGAGGGGGCCAGCACACATTACCATCAGCAGGCAGTCAAAACGAAAGCACGCGGAGCTGCTGACATTAATTCTGAGTAGGAGAATACTCAGAAGCCATCTCGGGAGTAGGAGGAGCAGGAGGAGCAGCAAGATGAGGGGCCTCAAAAGGCGAGGGGACCAGCAGGAGGCGAGGCGCCTCGCCTTTTGAGGCGAGGCGAGGCGAGGCGCCTCAGAAGCCATCTCGGGAGTAGGAGGAGCAGCAAGGCGAGGGGACCAGCACACTTTTGAGGCGCCTCAAAAGGCGAGGGGACCAGCATACTTTTGAGGCGCCTCAAAAGACGAGGGGACCAGCATAATTTTGAGGCGCCTCAAAAGGCGAGGGGACCAGCATACTTTTGAGGCGCCTCAAAAGGCGAGGGGACCAGCATACTTTTGAGGCGCCTCAAAAGGCGAGGGGACCAGCATACTTTTGAGGCGCCTCAAAAGGCGAGGGGACCAGCATACTTTTGAGGCGCCTCAAAAGGCGAGGGGACCAGCACACTTTTGAGGCGCCTCAAAAGGCGAGGGGACCAGCATACTTTTGAGGCGCCTCAAAAGGCGAGGGGACCAGCATACTTTTGAGGCGCCTCAAAAGACGAGGGGACCAGCATACATTAACATCAGTCGCCAGTGTCAACGAGATCACGAGAAGCCCTCTGCCTGAAACCCCTAAGCGCTTGGATCAGACCCACGTATGCTGGTCAAACCACTGGTCTAACCATGCACCCACCCATGCCCCCACCCATGCACCTATGCCCCCATGCACCCATGCCCCCATGCACCCATGTCCCCATGCCCCCATGCCCCCATGCACCCATGCTCCCATGCTCCCATGCCCCCATGCACCCATGCCCCCATGCCCCCATGTCCCCATGCTCCCGTGCACCCGTGCCCCCATGCCCCCATGCCCCCATGCACCCATGCACCCATGCACCCATGCACCCATGCCCCCATGCCCCCATGCCCCCATGCACCCATGCCCCCATGCCCCCATGCCCCCATGCACCCATGCCCCCATGCCCCCATGCCCCCATGCACCCATGCCCCCATGCCCCCATGCCCCCATGCACCCATGCCCCCATGCCCCCATGCCCCCATGCACCCATGCCCCCATGCACCCATGCCCCCATGCCCCCATGCACCCATGCCCCCATGCCCCCATGCACCCATGCCCCCATGCCCCCATGTCCCCATGCCCCCATGCACCCGTGGCCCCATGCCCCCATGCACCCATGCACCCATGCACCCATGCACCCATGCCCCCATGCCCCCATGCCCCCATGCACCCATGCCCCCATGCCCCCATGCCCCCATGCACCCATGCCCCCATGCCCCCATGCCCCCATGCACCCATGCCCCCATGCACCCATGCCCCCATGCCCCCATGCACCCATGCCCCCATGCCCCCATGCACCCATGCCCCCATGCCCCCATGTCCCCATGCCCCCATGCACCCGTGGCCCCATGCCCCCATGCACCCATGCACCCATGCACCCATGCACCCATGCCCCCATGCCCCCATGCCCCCATGCACCCATGCCCCCATGCCCCCATGCCCCCATGCACCCATGCACCCATGCACCCATGCACCCATGCCCCCATGCCCCCATGCCCCCATGCACCCATGCCCCCATGCCCCCATGCCCCCATGCACCCATGCCCCCATGCACCTATGCCCCCATGCCCCCATGCACCCGTGCACACCTTCACCATTCACACAAGCGCACCAATGAGCGTCCGCACGTATTCCGACTCGTCTGAGACGTCAAAGAGGGACCCCGCGCCAAGGGCGTAGGTAACCAAATCAGGAAGTCCTTCCACTCTATACACCATTACAGCCATGCACCCATGCAGTCACCCATGCACCCATGCAGTCACCCATGCACCCCATGCAGTCACCCATGCACCCATGCACCCATGCAGTCACCCATGCACCCATGCACCCATGCACCCATGCAGTCACCCATGCAGTCACCCATGCACCCATGCAGTCACCCATGCACCCATGCACCCATGCACCCATGCACCCATGCACCCATGCGCGCACCAATGAGCGTCTGCACGTATTCCGACTCCTCCGAGACGTCAAAGAGGGACCCCGCGCCAAGGGCATAGGTGAGCGAATCGGTGAGCTCGCCCAGGTAGTAGAACACCTGCAGGGGTGCCAAGACAAGAGAGGAGAGGAGGGGAGAGGAAAATAAGTGCCTCGAAACGGTTAAAAAAAGTCTTTGATAAGGGAGCTCGAGAGCCGGTGAGCTCGCCCACGTAGTAGAACGCCTGCATAAACACCTAGAGAAGTCACGAGAGAACGGTGTTAGTACTTGAAAGATCTATCAAGTATAGACTGCATTGAGGCAGTGTTCAGGAATGAGTAAGCTCGCCTAAAAAAAAACGGGAAGGGGAAAAGGGCAGACAAAAAATTCGACAGAGCACCTGAAAATTCGACAAAAAAATCGACAGAGTTCTGAGTCGACTCAAAAGAATGAGTAGTACCTTGGAAGCGAGGAGAGCTGCCAGCTCGCGATGGTCGAATGCCTCATCCTCGTACAGGCTCTCACTGAAACGATTCGAATGGCACGAGAGCGGGAATGAAGGACCAAATTAGATGGCAGAAGACCTAGACGCAGTAGAAAAAGGCAGACATGGATGGTCCGCATGTGGCAGACATGGATGGTCCGCATGTGGACGACATGGATGGTCCGCATGTGGCAGACATGGATGGTCCGGATGTGGACGACATGGATGGTCCGGATGTGGAAGACGAGACGTAACGGCCCCCACAGACTGAATGCTCTGAATGAATGTTGTGCACTCCGTCGGTCCGATTTTCCGGAACGATCTACCGGATTCAAACTTATGGCTTGCAATGATCTAGCGGATTCAGTCTGATGACCCGTGTCGATCTCCCGGATTCGTGCTAATTGTCCACTGAATTCAGTAAAATGACCCGTAACGATCTACCGGATTCGCTCGAATGACCCGTAGTGATCTGCCGGATTCAGTATAATGACCCGTAATGATCTGACGGATTCAGTTTGATGGCCCTTAATGTCTACCGGATTCAGTCTCATGACCCGTAACCATAAGAATCTGGCGGAGTCACTATGATGACCTGTAATCTGTACCGGATTCAGTCAGATATGACCCGTAAGGATGTACCGAATTCAGTCTGATGACAGGTAGCGATCTAGCGGAATCAGTCTGACGAGGCGTAATGAACTACCACAATTGGTCTGAAGACCCGTAGTTATCTACCGCCTCTTCATACCTATTCTCGCGATGCAGCCAATTTCGACTGAGGACTGTACGTGCACAGAATCCAGATCAGACCACGCTAATGAATCCACCCTCTGGCGGCAGCTGTTACCTAAATCCCAGAAATCACCGCGCAGATCTGAGACCGCAAATCTGACGGGAACTTCACATGGCGAAATCGCATTCTCCAGCTAACGTGCCATCTCAGAACCAAAACCGTGGATTAACCACCGGCGTAGAAACAGAAGCGGATCGAGGGAACTAGTCGCAGCACCCACATGGTGTAGATATTCGCGGAGATCTCGGCTCAGAACTGGCCGACGACGGGCGGGTTCAGGTTCTTACGACTTCGACGAGATTGGAATCCCAAGTCGGAGGAACCTCCTGCTAAGGCTATCGCAGCCCTCAGCGGTGCTCAGCGGCGCTCAGCACTCACATGGTAAGATATTCGCGGAGATCTCGGCCCAGAACTGGCCGACAAGCAGATTCAGGTTCTTGAGAGCGTGCACGCGAAGCGCGGGCTCCTCCTCGTCCAGCATGGCTAGCAGGCCGCTCTAAAAAACACCATACGGCCAGCAAGCCCCTCGCACTCGTGACCTTCGAGTCGGCTAAAAAATCAGCATGGCCAGCAGGGCACTCTCAAAAACACTCTACGAACAGCAGCCCGCTCGCACTCGATATGGCCGCTAGTAATCACGAAATAGATCGCATCGCTTACATGGTGGATATGTTAGCGGAGATCTCGGCCCAGAACTGGCCGACGAGCAGATTCAGATTCTTGAGAGCGTGCACGCGGAGCGCGGGCTCCTCCTCGTCCAGCATGGCCAGCAGGCCGCTCGCACTCGTGATCACCGTCATGGCGGCGACTAGAACCGCGAATTCAGGGGACTGGAGCCGATCCGCGATTGAGAATTCTAGTCCTGGTTCTAGTCTGGATCGGGAATTTTAGAGCCGTTAGGAGGCTCCGTACAGAAGCCTCAGAATGATCTGAACTGAAACCTCCAGCCGCTGCTGGTAGAAATTTCAGTTGGATTGGCGACTGAGGGGAGTTGGGACTGTAACTGTACGAAGAATTGCGACTGTGTTACAAATCAAAAGAACTGATTTGTGACTGACACCGAAATTGATCAAATCAGGGTGAAGTCTAGGTTTCACAACACTTTTGTGAGGTCAACCTTGTGTCGCGTACATTTTCTGGCTCATCCACCTATAAGTTGTGTTCTACGAGCAGATCCGATACAGTGTAGGGTAGCAGATCTGCCTGAAACGAAAACTAGCGGATTTCGTTACGTCATTTCTGTTCCCGCCCTGAAGTGACCTTCAGACAGTAAACACGGCTGGATGACACAACCACAGCCAGGGCTCCGTTCCGCTCCTGCCGAACCGCGACTCTGAGCCCTCCATCGATCTCTTACTTAGCTCTTAGGTGAGAAAAATCCAGCCTTAGCTGATCGTAGGCTCTACCGCTGCTGCCGGGCAGATTCCAGTGACACCCCGTCCCCGGTCGGCATATTGCTGTCTTCGTTGTTTTGCAGAAATTCGGCCGCGGTGATAGGCCGACTGGTCGTCACATCGCCCGTGATCGGAGAGTCATAGGCCATGGATCGTCGCCAGCAGGTACGACTGTGTACTGGCGGAAGCTGGGGCCAGTGCCAGTGTGGTTTTGAGGGTCAGTGTGCCAGTGTGGTGCCAGTGCGGTTTTGAGGGTCAGTGTGCCACTGTGGTTTTGAGTCGAACCAGTGCCAGTGTGAGTCGACTCAAAACCAGTGCCTGTGTCGTCGGACGGAGCCCATGGATCGTCGCCAGCAGGTACAGGATCCCCCTCCATTTCGCCACCATTCCGTTGATAGTAACTCAGCTTGCCTGAGGATTTTTATAGGTTAGGATCTATGATGCCCGATGGAAAATAGTATGTGTGTTTTTTTTTCTTAAAAATCGTTCATGGGGCCTCTGCATTCTACAATTTGCCTAAGCGACGCGCGAGTTTCATAACTGGACGTATCGAGCATCAGGCGCGTCGAGCATCAGCCTTTCGCGATAGCAGTGAAAGGCGTTCTCGACGAAATACAGCCAGCGTCCAGTCAACGTTCAATACTCGTCCATTCAACGTTCAATACTCGCCCAGTCAACGTTCAATACTCGCCCAGTCAACGTTCAATACTCGTCCAGTCAACGTTCAATACTCGTCCAGTCAACGTTCAATACTCGTCCAGTCAACGTTCAATACTCATCCAGTCAACTTCAATACTCGCCCAGTCAACACAGTCTCGCGTTCGTCAATTCCAACGAGCCAGAGCTCGTCCTCCCCATTCCCCCTCATCCCCTTCTCAGGATGACTTTTGAGTCGACTCAAAAGTCACCCCGTTCCCCCTCATCCCCTTCTCAGAAGTCTATTTTTGAGGCGCCTCAAAAATAGACTCCCCATTCCCCCTCATCCCCACTCCCCTTCTCAGGATGTGCTTTTCCATGTGGCGAGCACATCGCCTTTGCTCCCCCCTCAAACTCCCCTCCCACTCGTCCAATCCTTGAGCACGTTCCCCCTCGTCCTCTTCTCAGGAGGTGCTGCTCCGGCTAGCGACCACACCATCATGGGCCCTTTCCTCAGAAGCCAAGGTGGAGAAGGGTCGCGCCATGCGCGAGCTGCGGGCGTGCGGGCGAGCGGTGCAGCACTGCCTGCTGCCGCACCACCACGCCTGCCTCTGCGGGGAGGGGAGTGCGCCCAGCGCTGCTCCGCCTGCCCCCATTGCCCCCCCTGCAAACTCCCCGCCCACTCATCCAATCCTTGCGCGCATTCAACCTCATCCCCTGCTCTCCTCAGGAGGTGTTGCTCCGCCTGGCGGCCACCCCCTCAAGAGCCCTTCCCCTGGAGGCCAAGGTGGAGAAGTGCCGCGCCATGCGCGAGCTGCGGGCTGTCGAACAGTAACAGTACAGCCCCCCCTTTCTTCCTCCCCCATTCCCCCCCATCCCCTGCGCAGGACGTGCTTCTGCGCCTGGCGGCCACCCCGTCAAGAGCCCTTCCCCTGGAGGCCAAGGTGGAGAAGTGCCGCGCCATGCGCGAGCTGCGGGCGTGCGGGCGAGCGGTGCAGCACTGCCTGCTGCCGTGCCACCACGCCTGCCTCTGCGGGGAATGCGCCCAGCGCTGCTCCGCCTGCCCCGTCTGCCGCTGCCTCATCGGCGCCCCCGCAACCGCGGCAGCAGCAGCAGGGGGAGGGGGATCGGCAGCAGCAGCAGGGGGAGGGGGATCGGCAGCAGCAGCAGCAGAGGAAGGGGGTTTTGCGCGGCAATCCGGGGAGCGCATTCAGATTAGGCTGTATGACGCGTGCGTGGATGCGGGACTAGTGAGCCCTCTTAAAGACGTGGTTAAGGAGGGGGGGTGGGGAGCAGCGGCAGGGGGAGGGGGAGGGGGAGGGGGAGGAACAGGAGGGGTGATTGGGGGGTTGGGGCAGGACGCGCAGGGGTTTCCCATGGACGTGCGGCGGCTCTTTGCGCTGTTTGACATTGCTCTGGACCGCGGCTTGGTCACGCTCATCTGCCACTGTGAGTTGGGAGGCCTTGGGGGGCGCAGTGACTGACAGGGGGGGGTTGGGGCGCAGTGGCAGGGGGGTTGAGGCAGGACGCGCAGGGGTGTCCCATGGACGTGCGGCGGCTGTTTTTTGCCCTGGTTGACATTGCTCTGGTCCGCGGCTTGGTCACACTCGTATGCCACTGCGAGTTCGGGGGGCTTGGGGCACACTCGTATGCCACTGCGAGTTCGGGGGGCTTGGGACCAAGCCTGTCTGTCTGTCTGTCAGCCCCCCTGTCACACTCGTATGACTGACAGGGGGGCTGGCTGGGGGACAGCAACAGGGGAATTGGGCAGGATGCACATGGTACTTTTGAGAATTCTCAAAGACACCCTGCACACTCATATGCCACTGTGAGTTGGGAGGCCTTGGGGGGCGCAGTCACTGAAAGGGGGGCGCTGGGGGACAGCAAGAGGGGAACTGGGCAGGAAGCGCAGGGGTGTCCCATGGACGTGCGGCAGCTGTTTGCCCAGTTTGGACGAGGCAGCAGTGTCCAGCGACCCTGTGCTCTCCCTGCTGCTCCTTTTCTTAACCCCCCCTCCCCTCCCTCCTCCTTTCCCCCTCCTCCCTTCATCCCCCTCCCATTAACAGACGTGGAAGAGTTCTGCATGGACGAGGCAGCAGTGTCCAGCGACCCTCTGCTCTCCCTCCTCCTCCTCTGCCATTCCCTCATATTCCGCCGCTACAACCCCCCCCCCCCCCCCCCCCGCCTCCCTCCCATCAACAGACGTGGAGGAGGTCTGCATGGACGAGGCAGCAGTGTCCAGCGACCCGGTGCTCTCTCTCCTGCTGGACCCCAAGCTCGTGCTGGAGTGGGTTAAGCGAACCTTTGCAGGAATCAAGAGGACGCTCAGGGACCTCTGTAAGTGGCTCTGTGTACGTGAAGGTTTGTCAGTGGTGGTAGGTGAGTCCTTGTTAAATGCTGGTGTGTTTTGAGTCGACTCAAAACACTTCGATGTGCGCGAAGGTCTGTCAGTGGTGGTAAGTACGTCCTTGTTAGTGCTTGAGTACTCATTTGTCTTGATCCATGTATTGGGACCAGGGGACATGGATCCACGCGATATTCTACACAAACGGTGATGCATACTTCCAGAACCTTGTTGGCAAACATTGTCGTCTTGTGCCTTGTCCTCCTCTCCCCACTCCTCTCTCCGTCAGATGACACCGGTATCACCAATCAGAGGATGGATGATGCCACCTGTCGGGCCGTTCAGCTCACTCAACAATTACCTTTTCTTATTCGGTTTTGCTCACTTTCCCCCTCCTCCTTCCCCCCTCCCTCTCCCCCCCTTTCCCCCCCCCTCCCCCCCCCCCTCTCCCCCCCTTTCCCCCCCCCCCCCCCCCCCTCCTCCCCCCACTCCTCTCTTCTGCAGACGCCACCGGTATCACCGATCGAAGGATGGACGACGTCACCTGCCTGGCCATGCGCCTTCAGGGGCTTTCTCAGGTGCTGGCAACACTGCAGGGGCCTGGGGACTCCCTGGCGGCGCAGCAGCAGGCGCAGATGCAGCAAGGCGGGGAGGAGGGGGGGCAGAAGGGGCATGCGTGGGAGGCCCAGAGGCTTGCAGAAGCGGTTCTAAGAGCATACCTGGTGAGAGGAGGAGGGGGAGGAGGGGATTCTTGAGTGTTGTTCTCTCCGACTGAGACGTAGTTGGATGACAGATGGGTTGAGTGAGGAGCACAAGCGGCATGTGTTGGAGGGCCTCCCTCCCTGCCTCTCATACGTCTTCCTGCCTTGCCTGCTCTCTCCCTCCCCCCTGAAACCCCCTTTACACCCCTCTGCACCCACCAGCACCTGGAGGTCATGCAGTGGGCCGCCAAGAACCGCTTCTTCGAGGGCCTGCCTCCCTTCTCTTTAACCCTACGCCCTGAATTGCCCCTGCCCATACCTCCCTCCCCTCTGTGCCTTTCAGCACCTGGAGGTGATGCAGTGGGCGGCCAAGAACCGCTTCTTCGAGGGACTACAGCCCCCTCTCTCAACCAACTCGCCTTCCTCCCTCCCCCGCCCTCCGCACCCTTCTGCACCCACCAGCACCTGGAGGTGATGCAGTGGGCGGCTAAGAACCGCTTCTTCGAGGGCTTGCCTCCCCGCCACTCGTCCAACGCCACGTGGCGCGCCGCGGTTCGCCAGAGGAAGCAGGCTGCTAACGAGACTGCCTGGCCGGAGTTCCTTGGCGTTTCTGCTGCCTCCGGTGCTGCTGGCTCGGTGCTTGGGATGGGGGGAAGTGGAGGGGGAGGGGGAGGGGCAAAGGTGCAGCAGCAGCAGCAGCAGCAGCAGCAGGGTGCGAGGTTGTTCATCGAGGAAGCAATAGATAGCTTACGGAGCAGCAGTGGAGATGGTAGTCTGGTGGAGAACTCGGATGGGTGGATGGAGTCAGGCTCGGACCAGCAGCCGGCTCTGCTGACTGCAGACCAGCTCGACCTGCTCCCGCTCAAGCAGCCTCTACCCAGCGCGCCACCTGCTTCCGGGAAGTTTCTGCTCCAGGGAGGGAGCTGCCCTGGTGTAGGGGGAGCAGCAGGGGCAGCAGCAACGGGGTTTCAATACCCGCCCGAGAATTTCCGGGCAGCGGTTGATTATTTGTTCCTGGAGGCGGGAGCCGACCTCGCACTGGCTAAGAAAGCAATTGTGAGTTTCTGTCAGCTTTGGCAATCGGTGCAATGCACCACACACTCGTCGACTCAAAAGCACGGTGCAATGCACCATGCAGACGAGACGCTTGTTGTTCCTGGAGGCTGGAGCCGACCTCGCACTCGCTAAGAAAGCAATCGTGGGTTCCTTTTATTTTGTTTGCACCCTTTCTTTGTTGTTGCTTTTTGTTCTGTTTTGTTTTTAAAATTTCGCTGATTATCCTTTTCCAGTGCGTTTCGAAGTTTCGAAGTTCCGCACTGTCATTTCTCCTCTCCCATTCCCCCAGCTGCTCTACTACCTCATCGATAGATTACTACCTCATCGATAGATTACTACCTCATCGATAGATTCTACCAGCCTGGGGAGGGGGAGACTGAGAGGCCGCGGTGGCGGGAAATGGTGGACGACTTTGGCGCCTGCCTGGACGTGGCAGCTGGGCCTGTGGTGGGCTTGCCTCAACCTGTTTCTCTCATCCTTCCCCCCTCTCCCCTCTCCCCTCTCCCCTCCCCCCTCCCCCCTCTCTCCTCCCCCTTCCCCCTCTCCCCTCCCCCACTCCCCCAGCTGCTCTACTACCTGATTGATCGCTTCGACCAGCATGGGGAAGGGGAGAGAGGGAGCCAGCAGCAGCGGTGGCGGGAAATGGTGGACGACTTTGGCGCCTGCCTGGACGTGGCAGCTCGGCATGTGGTGGAGACGATGGTGCTGGTGATGCTGGATGAATGCACGGAGGAGGGGTTAGAGGTGAGCAGCATTTTTTATTCTTTCAGCAGCAGCAAAGATGAATGCAGGGAGGAGGGGTTAGAGGTGAGCAGCATTTTTTATTCTTTCAGCAGCAGCAAAGATGAATGCAGGGAGGAGGGGTTAGAGGTGAGCAGCAGCATCAGCGGTTCTTTCAGTTTGAGGGCAAGTGGTTAGAGTCAAGGGTAGAAGGGTGCGGGCATGTGGTGGTGGAGACGGTGGTGATGGTGATGGTGATGGTGGATGAACAGACGGATGAGGGACTGGAGGCACCACACACTTGTCTGTTGCACCGCACATGCACCACACGCTTGTCTGTTACGCCGCACATGCACCACACGCTTGTCTGTTACGCCGCACATGCACCACACGCTTGTCTGTTACGCCGCACATGCACCACACGCTTGTCTGTTACGCCGCACATGCACCACACGCTTGTCTGTTACGCCGCACATGCACCACACGCTTGTCTGTTACACTGCGCATGCACCACACGCTTGTCTGTTACGCCGCGCATGCACCACACGCTTGTCTGTTATGCCGCACATGCACCACACGCTTGTCTGTTGCACCGCACATGCACCACACGCTTGTCTGTTATGCCGCACATGCACCACACGCTTGTCTGTTACGCCGCACATGCACCACGCCACATAGGACCGGGTGGTGCAGCGCCACATAATTCCAGATCTCGGGACAACACGCTCGCTGGAATTATGTCCGGAGGTCCGCACATGCCCCATGCCACATAGTAACTGGTGCGTGCGTGCCTGCTGAGCAGCATCTGCTGCACGTGGTGGAGAAGAGATGCGTTGGCTGCCTGGACGTGGGGCCTGGGCATGTGGTGGAGACGATGGTGCTGGTGATGGTGATGGTGATGGTGCTGGTGATGGTGATGGTGATGGTGATGGTGATGGTGATGGTGCTGGTGCTGGTGATGGTGATGGTGATGGTGATGGTGATGGTGCTGGTGATGGTGATGGTGATGGTGATGGTGATGGTGCTGGTGCTGGTGATGGTGATGGTGCTGGTGATGGTGATGGTGATGGTGATGGTGATGGTGATGGTGATGGTGATGGTGATGGTGCTGGTGCTGGTGATGGTGCTGGTGATGGTGATGGTGATGGTGATGGTGCTGGTGCTGGTGATGGTGCTGGTGCTGGTGATGGTGCTGGTGCTGGTGATGGTGATGGTGATGGTGATGGTGATGGTGCTGGTGATGGTGATGGTGATGGTGCTGGTGATGGTGCTGGTGATGGTGCTGGTGATGGTGCTGGTGATGGTGATGGTGCTGGTGCTGGTGCTGGTGATGGTGCTGGTGCTGGTGATGATGCTGATGCTGATACTTTTTCTTGTCGCTTCATTCTCGCCCCTTATTCTCTCATCATCTGTTTTGCAGGATGCTTGCTCCCTAATACCTCATCTGATATCCCTCTCTTCTCCCTCATCCTCCTCATCCTCCTCCTCCTCCTCCTCCTCCTCCTCCTCCTCCTCCCCACCGATCCATCCTAGAATCGCTCGAGTCCTCATCGAACGAGGCAAGCCCGAGCCTGCCCTCCAGATCCTCCGAGCCTGCAGCCCAGGCCCGGCAATCTTCCAAGCCTACAGCAGCCCAGGCTCGGCAACCCCCACTTTCCCGGACCTGAGCGTGCCACTAGAGGAAGCGGTTACTGCGCTTCGTGTGCTTATAGAGAATCGGCTCTTAACAGAGGCGTTCCTGTACCTTCGAGCCTACTGCAAGCACCTATGTCTCGACAATTCCTCCTCTTCCCCTCACACTATTGGAGCTGATGCTTATGGTAGTGATACTGCTGCTGATGGTGCTGATGGTGATACTGGTGACAGTGTTACTAACGAAGCTGCTGATGGTGCTTATACGGCAGCAGTGGATGTGCTTGTATCGGAGCTCTTCTGGCTAGCAGTGAGGCACCAGGCAGTGCCAGAGGTGCTGACTTTCCCCTGGAGAGGATTGGAGGTGGCTGCCTTGCACCGCTGCTTGCTGTCTCGCACTGCTCAGCAGCCAGAGGGCGCGTGTGGCACGCTGCTCGTGCTATTCTACGTCGAGGTATGTCTCCCTTAGGGGATCAACTGTTTTGGCTGGCAGTCAGGCACCAGGCAGTGCCAGAGGTGCTCACGTTTCCTTGGAGGGGGTAGAGGTGGCTGCCTTGCACCACTGCTTGCTCTCTCGCTCGGCTCAGCACACTACTCACACCGCGGCGTACGGCACACTGCTCTGCTCGTTCTCTTATATTTTGAGGCACGTTTTTTTTCGAAGGGATCAGCCGTTCTGGCTGGCAGTGAGGCGCCAGTCAGTGCCTGCCCGAAATGCTCACGCGCTTGGACTTTAGAGTCGACTCAGAAGTCACCTCGTTACAATCTCACTCGCTTTGACTTTAGAGTCGACTCAAACGTCACCTCGTTACAATCTCACTCGCTTTGACTTTAGAGTCGACTCAAACGTCACCTCGTTACAATCTCACTCGCTTTGACTTTAGAGTCGACTCAAAAGTCACCTCGTTCCAATCTCACTCGCTTTGACTTTAGAGTCGACTCAAACGTCACCTCGTTACAATCTCACTCGCTTTGACTTTAGAGTCGACTCAAAAGTCACCTCGTTACAATCTCACTCGCTTTGACTTTAGAGTCGAATCAAAAGTCACCTCGTTACAATCTCACTCGCTTTGACTTTAGAGTCGACTCAAAAGTCACCTCGTTACAATCTCACTCGCTTTGACTTTAGAGTCGACTCAAAAGTCACCTCGTTACAATCTCACTCGCTTTGACTTTAGAGTCGACTCAAAAGTCACCTCGTTACAATCTCACTCGCTTTGACTTTAGAGTCGACTCAAACGTCACCTCGTTACAATCTCACTCGCTTTGACTTTAGAGTCGACTCAAACGTCACCTCGTTACAATCTCACTCGCTTTGACTTTAGAGTCGACTCAAAAGTCACCTCGTTACAATCTCACTCGCTTTGACTTTAGAGTCGACTCAAACGTCACCTCGTTACAATCTCACTCGCTTTGACTTTAGAGTCGACTCAAAAGTCACCTCGTTACAATCTCACTCGCTTTGACTTTAGAGTCGACTCAAACGTCACCTCGTTACAATCTCACTCGCTTTGACTTTAGAGTCGACTCAAAAGTCACCTCGTTACAATCTCACTCGCTTTGACTTTAGAGTCGAATCAAAAGTCACCTCGTTACAATCTCACTCGCTTTGACTTTAGAGTCGACTCAAAAGTCACCTCGTTACAATCTCACTCGCTTTGACTTTAGAGTCGACTCAAAAGTCACCTCGTTACAATCTCACTCGCTTTGACTTTAGAGTCGACTCAAAAGTCACCTCGTTACAATCTCACTCGCTTTGACTTTAGAGTCGACTCAACAGTCACCTCGGTACAATCTCACTCGCTTTGACTTTAGAGTCGACTCAAAAGTCACCTCGTTACAATCTCACTCGCTTTCCATGGCTGCTTGCACTCACGAGCAACTCAACAACCGAAGGGGGTGTGCAGCTCGCTGCTGGTTCCCTTCTCTATTGAGGGTAGAAGTGAAGCGATTGTAGCTAGGGATTGTAGTTTGGGTAGCTGGTAGTGAGGCACCAGGCAGTGCCAGAGGTGCTCACCATCCCATGGGGGGGGTAGAGGTGGCGGCCTTGCACTGCTGCTGGCTACGTAAAAGGCTCTTCTGTGTTTCTTACCCATACTCTCTTCCCCCTCCCCCCCTCCCTCCCTTCTTATCCACATACTCTCTTCTCATTTCCTTCACCTGCAGAGGTCTCGTTACAAGGCAGCACTGGCAGCACACAAGCAAGTGTGGGCTGTGGAAGCAGCAGCAGAGGTAGAGCAGGATGCTGAAGAGGCTAATAACGAGGATGAGGAGAGACCACAGGAGGACGAGGAGGAGGAGGAGGAGGGAGAGGAGGAAGGAGGAAGTCCTATGGACGCCACTGGTGCTGCTGGTGGTGCTGGTGGTGCTGCTGGTGGTGCAAGACGGTCAAGAAAGAGGAGGAGGGGAGGAAAGGGAGTGACGGTGCAGCTGCGGGAGAAGAGGATAAGGCTGCTGGTACGTACTTGTTGTTTGGGTTGATAGGGCCCATGGCTGGTATGCACGTGATGGCTTTTGAGTCGGCTCAAAAGTCGGCTGGTATGCACGTGATGGCTTTTGAGTCGGCTCAAAAGTCGGCTGGTATGCACGTGATGGCTTTTGAGTCGGCTCAAAAGTCGGCTGGTATGCACGTGATGGCTTTTGAGTCGGCTCAAAAGTCGGCTGGTATGCACGTGATGGTAGGACGGGGTCAAGACAGTGGAAGCGAGGAGGGAAGGGAGTCACGGTGCAGCTGCGGGAGAAGGGGGTAAAGCTGCTGGTATGGGTTGGCATGGTGGGGTGGCATGGTGGGGTGGCATGGTGGGTTGGCATGGTGGGGTTGGCATGGTGGGTTGGCATGATGGGGTGGCATGATGGGGTGGCATGATGGGGTGGCATGATGGGGTGGCATGATGGGGTGGCATGATGGGGTGGCATGATGGGTTGGCATGATGGGTGGCATGATGGGTTGGCATGATGGGGTGGCATGATGGGGTGGCATGATGGGTTGGCATGATGGGGTGGCATGATGGGGTGGCATGATGGGTTGGCATGATGGGTTGGCATGATAAGGGTCTAGAATTCTGATAAAATGGGTCAATTAGTTGCCCTCTTGCCTGGATGCCTCCTGTCCCGATCCCTCTTCCGCTCTTCCTTTCATTCCCCCAGGCTGAAACGAACTTGGTTTCTTCTTCCCATTCCCTTCTTTGCTCCCACTCACTCTTTCTCCCTCACTCACTCTTTCCCCCTCACTCACTCTTTCCCCCTCACTCACTCTTTCCCCCTCACTCACTCTTTCCCCCTCACTCACTCTTTCCCCCTCACTCACTCTTTCCCCCTCACTCACTCTTTCCCCCTCACTCACTCTTTCCCCCTCACTCACTCTTTCCCCCTCACTCACTCTTTCCCCCCCACTCACTCTTTCCCCCTCACTCACTCTTTCCCCCTCACTCACTCTTCCCCCCTCACCTCTTCCTTCGCATCACTCCCTAATTCCGTTTCCCTCCTTCGTGTTTCCCTCTCCTCAGGAGTCTGTCCTGCAGCTGATCGCCCCATCAGACCGCCAGCAGATCATCCAAGCACATGGCGACCCTTCCTCCTTCCTCTCTTGTCTCCCCTCCCTCCCTCCCCAGGAGTCTGTCCTGCAGCCGATCGCCCTTTGTGAGCGCCAGCAGATCATTCAAGCACACAGCGGCAACCCCTCTGTGTTCCCTACCTTCCTCCTCCTCCGCAGCAGATCTTCCTCCTCCCTCTCTGTCTGCCCTGCCAGTCACCCCCCGCTCCCCCCCTCTCCATCCCTCCCATCCTCCCCAGGAGTCTGTCCTGCAGCTGATCGCCCCATCCGAGCGCCAGCAGATCATCCGTCCAACCGCATGGCGATCCCTCCTCCTTTCAGCCTTCCTCCATCCCAGCCCCTGGCTCCTTCCTTATCCCTCTTTTTTGCCCTGCCAACCCTGACACCCTTCCCAGGAGTCTGAATGAACTGCAGCTAAACGCCCCATTCGAGAACCAGCAGAGAATCGATCCAAGCTCATTGCAAGCCTTCCTCCTTCCTCAAGCAACCACTCTGTCTGCCCTGCCTGCCAACCCGCCCCACACTTTTCCCGCGAGTCTGTGCTCCAGCTGATCGGTCCAAGCGCCAGCAGATTACTCAGGCACACGGCGAACCTTCGTCCTCCCTTACCATAACCCCACCCCCTCACCCCCCCACCCCCCGACCCCTCGGATTCGTCCCCAGGAGTCTGTGCTGCAGCTGATCGCTCCTTCGGAGCATGGACAGATTACTTAAGCGCACAGTGAGCCATCCTCCTTCCTTACCCCTTCACCCCAACCCCACCCCCCTACCCCCTCATCCCCCCACCCCCCGACCCCTCGCATTCGTCCCCAGGAGTCTGTGCTCCAGCTGATCGCTCCGTCCGAGCGCCGACAGATTATTCAAGCGCACGGTGGACCTTCCTCCTTCCCAACCGAAACTGTCACCACCACCACCACCACCGCCCCCACCGCCCCCACTGTCACCACTGCAAGGGAGGCATCAGCCAGGTCAGGCACCAGACCTCTCTCAGCATTCCAGTCGCCGCCCACCAAGGTCTCGTCTCCCAAGGCTGCTCCCTCTCCTCACTTCGGCTCTCCAATTCTTGGTGGCGCCTCATCCTTCCCCAGCTCTCCCCTTTCGTTCCCCAAAGCCGCAAGCAAACCACAGCCACAGCAGCAGCAGCAGCAGCAGCAGCAACCACAGTCACTGTTCTCCTTCCCACCCGCTCCGCAATCTCCCCCTCCTTTCGCTTCAGCTGCTTTCGCCCCATCCGCTTCCACTGCTCCCAGCCAATCAGAGCTCCCGCTCCAGCGCAAACTTTTCGGATCCGGGCAGTTTGGGCAGCAAGTGCCCATAGGGGGAACAGCCCCAGTACCCCTGGAAAGGGCGACAACAGCGCCAGTACCCCTGGGAAATGCCCAAGTGTTGCATCAGAACCCCCTGTTCGGCATGCGGGTGTCCCAGGACGGGTCAGAGCCAGATACCACACAGGAGGGGGCAAGGGGAGGGACAGGGGGAGGGATGAGTGGTGCTGGTGACCATGGGCTGAATGCTGCTGCTTCTGGCTCTGCTGCTGGCGCTGCTGCTTCTGGTTCTGCTGCTGCTGCTGCTGCTGGTGCTGCTGGTGCTGCTTCTGGTGCTGGTGCTGCTGGTGGTGGTTTTGCTCCTGCTGCTGCTGCTGCTGGTGCTGCTGCTGCTTCAGGGTCACTAGCTCTCCCATTGTTTGGATCAGGAAGCAGTTTGTTCGGAGGGGGGGGCAACCAATCAGGGAGCAAGCTGTTCGGAGGAGGAGGCAGTCAACCAGAGAGCGGACTGTTCGGAGCAGGGGGCGGGGTATCTTCCTTCGGAAAACCCAAGGGCGTGGGGCATTTTGCCAGTGGCACCAGCAGCAGCAACGACCCTGCTGCGGCTTTCAAGGGCTCGGTTGGTGTGTTCAGGTAAGCGCTGTATTTTTAAATTTAAAATCTGCAAGAATATGCACTGATTTTTATCAATGAAGGCATTTTTAGAATCTCTGCAAGAATATCACACTGCTTTTCTTTTTTACTTCCCTGACTTCCTTTTCTCTCTTCGTCTTGCCCCTTCCTTTCCCTCATCGTGGTGCTGCTTCCAGGGCCTTTCCCGATTCCAAGGCAGCAGCGACAGGGGCAGCTTCAGGCCAAGCTGCATTCGCACCTAAACAGCCATCAGCATCGAGCGTTTTCCCATCGGCGGCACCCCCATTCGCATCAGCGCCAGCATTCGGATCATCAGCACCAGCGTTTGCATCATCAGCACCAGGGTTTGCCTCATCAGCACCAGCGTTTGCATCATCAGCACCAGCGTTTGCATCATCAGCACCAGCGTTTGCATCATCAGCACCAGCGTTTGCATCATCAGCACCAGCGTTTGCATCATCAGCGCCAGCATTCTCCTTGGCTTCGGCAAATACCTCCAGCCCTTTCTCCCAGCCTTAATTTTCCTCCGCTAAGCGCCCACGCTCCTCCTCTGCTGCTACAGTTGCAGCAGCAGCACCAGCGTTCGCATCAGCACCAGCGTTCGCAGCTGCACCGCCATTCTCCTTCGCCTCTGCAACCTCCTCCAGCCCTTTCTCCCGGCCATCATTTGCCTCTGCAAAGGGCCCAGGCTCCTCCTCTGTTGCTACAGCTGCTGCTACAACTGCAGCACCAGCACTAGCACCAGCACCAGCACCAGCACCAGCAGGACAGCCGTCCCACTTCCCCTCCCCTCCATCCTCAATGTTCAACTTTTCAAACCCTATGGGGACTGCCGGTTTGCCAACCTTTTCAGAAGTAACTGGCAGCCATCGGGAGCAGCATCAAACCCTTTTCAGAAGTAACTGACAGTCGCTGGAGTCAGGTTCACATTGCAACCATGTGTGTGCAGTGCACTACGTATGCTTTGTCCGAATTCCGTACATTGTATGAGCTAGTTTCCTACACTGTAGGGGCTTGTGACTTGGGTACAAACAAGCCTCCAGTACGAACTTCTAGAGCGGTAAATAAACCTTTTGGTAGGTTGCAGGCGATCTGAACTGCGGTACAGAGTGGTGTGGTACGAACTTTTCGACAAAATTAAGTCATATGCCCTTAGACTTGTAGTACCCGTTTGTTCAATCTGGACGCTAGATTAGAATTAGCGCGGGTATGGTTCGACTTTATCATACAGGTATGGTTAGTCTTTATCATGGGTTCAGGATTGAATGCAATCTTGTCCAATCTAGTTCAATCCCATTACAAGGTGTACACACAATTCTCCCCCACAGGAACCCAGACAAAACCTCTTCGCACAGCTCCATTTCAAGAGAGGATGTACAGAAATGCATTGCATTATTATCATTATTATAAGAAACAGTACAGAAGAGAGAAGACACTGGCAGCTCCAGCAACCCTATGAGTAAGCTTCCACATTGAAGGAAGCAAGAAACAGATACAACAGAACAGACAGAAAGCAAGAAAGCCTAAAAATCAACGGATTCAGGTACTGTCGGCTCCACCACACATAGTGGAGCTAAATGAAGTGCTCATGGATCCATGACTCCATGAGCCAGCACAGGGAGAAAGGAGAACGAAAGAGAAGGGCAGGGGGAAATGCTTGTAACGGGTTCAAAGCAGCAGAAGCTACTAGCGTATAACAGGGAAGCAGAGCGCTTAGGTAAGAGCAGAGCAGCAAGCGTGCTGGCGCTCCTTATTCATTATGGAAGCTGCGTGGGGAGTGGTGCCATGGCGGGTCTTCACAATACAATATCAGGATAAGAAGCCGCTGATTAAAGGCGGCTGGTTTCTATCACCCCACGTGGACGCTCCCCATCCCGCCGAGATGGAGCCGAACGTCGTCCTCGACGGTAGCGAGCGACATTAAAACGGGGACAAGCTTCGCAAGCTCTCGGTCCCCCTGCTCGTCGTAGTACGAGGGGATCGCAATGCCGTTCTCGGGCTGAAACGCGTACGAGAGCGGACTATTATCAACAATCATGGTCTTGGTCAAATCCCTTCCGAGCATCGTCAGATCCTTGACGTAGCTGTTCCGCCACCAGATGCAGGAATCCCGGAAGAGACGGTGGTGCACGAGGCATCGCTGGGGATCGAGCAGATCCACCAGAGCATTCGCGTAACCCGCCATGCTCGCGGTGAAAACGACCACCTCGTAGACCTGCGCGACGGCGCGGAGAAACTCCTCCACTCCGGGACGCTTATGGACGTAAATAGTCGTCAGCCGGCCGTCAACGTCGAGGCTGATGACGAAGTCGGCGTTCATTATCGGCGTGAAGACGGAATGGATGAGGGTTTCATCCAGGTCAAGAACGAGCGTCTTGCGGTTGAGATGGACGGAGCGGAGCGGAGGAAGCAGCTTGGAGGAATCAGCTAAGGGCTCGTCGGACGGACTCAGCGGAGCCAACTGAGGAACCGAGAAAAGGTGGTCCGACGTCGCATCATCCAAATCCGCTTCCGCTGCTGCTGCAGCTCCTGATGCTGCAACTGGCGTTTCGCCGCCACGGGGAGCGCTCCAGATAATGCAATCCGCATTGACGTCGGTTGACGTGGCGTCCGAAGCGGTTATTATTGGGAAGTCTTGCTGGTCGCAGGATGGTTGCTCCGCATCCGCAGGGCGAATCCGGTCGTCAGCAAGCTTCTTTCTTGCGGGAATAAGGAATCTGAAGATCCGCAACCAGAAACCCGCAACCATGGCTTGTTGGTACGCAATCAGAGGCCAGACGCACTGTGGAAAGACGGCGACTGGGTCCTCAGCCTCGCTCGATTCTTGACCGAGCGTTGACCTTTCCAGGAAGTTCATGATGACCTCTTCAGTAGCTGTAAGCTCCGCCAAAGAACCTTTCTCGCACTTGCCAAGGCCCGGCTCATCTGGAGAAAACCGAACCTCCAGCGTCTTGCAATCCGCCGAAGACGCCATGGATTTCGTCGACGAGGCAGACTTGCGGATTCTTGAAATCGACCGGCTCGGAGGGGAGGACAAACCCCAATCCGCGCTTTCGCCTCTGCTGGAAAAAAGACTCTCATCCTCCAGCTCGACGCTGTCGTACATCTCGAAAGCAGCAAGAACCCATTGCCAGGAGTTAATGGCCATCCGCTCAGAGCGGCGGAGAAAAGCGAAAAATCCCACAAAGATTTCGGCTCTTAGGAAGTGGACTAGCAGGGACAGTAAAACGGTGAAAGCCCTAACCTGCTGAAAGTAAGCGGGAACTAATTTACCGTCAAACATGGATTCATGGCAGGAAAAATCCCTAAACACGACTGCTCAACAAGGAAACAGGCACACGTGCTCAGAGACACGTTATGGTGCACTATTTTGAAAGAACGAAGAAATTGGGCGCTCTAAGATGCGGACATAGGCAGAACACGGGGGACAGCGACATTCAGACCTAAATAGTACACGGAGGAAGAGGAGACACCACACCACCAGACCAGAGCTAAGCCAAAGCGAAACCCACCCATCCATCCATAGCTGCCCGTCTCCTCCAGCTCAGCCATGCAAAAGCTAGCTCAGCTCAGCCGAGCTTCCGCCAGCCCTGATTGAGCTTCCGCCAGTCCGCCTTCCCCCAACAAAAACAGAAGCCAGAAACAGATGCCTGGTTCGGAAAACGAAACCCTTCCGCCGCGCGCCAATGTCTTCCCCTTATCGGCGCAAGCAAACAAACCCAGGGCTTTGCGCGCGCCACCGCAAATCCTAAGGCGCAAACCCAGGGTATTCCGATCGCCACGAGCGCATCCATCCCCCCCTTCCCCGCCTTTCTTCGTGTGTAAATCTGGTCCGATTGCGTGAACTGTAGAGGAGAAAGTGTCTGGCTTGCCAGCTGGACCTTGAGGTTTGCAGAATGCGCGGAATGCACGAAACGATCGGGTTTACCAAAACCCCAACCCCGCTCTCCGAAGCCCCTGAAATCATTTGTATGCAAGATCTCGCCGGGTAGAGAATCCATCGATATCCTAACCTGCACCTTGACGGGTGGAAACCAGTTTCTACGTCCATGGGAACAACCACAAACAGGTTTCAACCCATGTTTTTGCGCGTTTAGCGATGTACGCACCATCTGGGTACAGGTTCTGATGGATTCCATTCCAAGGGTACGGGTGTACAACTAACAATCATTGTGGCATTTCGGGGCGCGCGAATTGCAAGTTTCCCACGTCAGCCCCCCAGCCATACTCCAAACTGACTCGAAATTTGGCGCAGCTGACGCAGGTGGCGCAGGAGCCCAGCTGGCGGCATCGCAGGGAATGCTTCAGGGCATGAGCAGGCGGCTCTGCAGGAGCTCATGCCAGAGGCAAACCAAACCAGACGTATGCAGGTTTGGTTAGACGCCCAAAACCAGACGCGTTCGAGGGACGGTTCATCCGCGCCTAAATATTCGACAGCTGAGCCTCGGCGGCGGCAGCCTCGAGGTTCGCTTCGGAGAAGCTTACGGGCACCATGCTGGATGGTTCAGCAGATTTCCCTCAGAAAGTGTACAGCCCAACACTTTTGCTGCAACGGCATGAAGTCAATGAAATGTATTAATCTCCTTAAAAACGAATCTGGGCAGCTAAAATTATATACTGTACCCGCAAAGTCTGGGGGACCGGTCAGGGTTTTGCTGACAAATGAACTGGTCATCCATACCGTCAGCGTGACCAATGAAAGAGTGGCGACACGCAACACTATCTTCACAAGCCATTCAAACAGTTTCTCTTCACGTGTAAGGAAGACCCACGTAGGCTCGGTAAGCCAGGCCTGAAATTTCGAGGACAAATAGCTACATGAACCTGTGTTTGGGAAAGATACCGAAATGGTGTGGGAAAGAAGAGCAAGACACTCTATACACGCTGTACGGTGCTCCTCTGCAGACTTTGAGTACAGCTACCAGTACAAGGAGATGCCCAACGTCATCCCCTAAGACTATGAGAACCTAGCACTTTCGACCTATGGTACTTCCTACTCCTGATGCTTTCAAGTCCAGAATTCAGATTTACCCCTGATGTGCACTCTTCTTTCACCAGAGTAAATTATGCAGATGATGTGTACAGTATACTTTTAACCACAACCAGTCTGGCCATTCTGTGATTGCAGATCCCACTGACTTGGTAACCATCAAACATAGAGAAGTGACACTCGTTAACAATAACTATCGGATTATGCCTATCTTGATGCAGACATGACTGAAAGGCCCATCATACAATGCATCACCAGGGCAAGGCAGCAAGAAGCTACTGTCAGTGCCCGTGCAGCACTGGCCCTAGCTTGACGCCCACAAACCTCAGCCACTCGTTCCAGCTCAGACGGCTCCAATGCCAGGTCATCATCAACCGCGACTTCATCACCCTGCTCCCCATCATCTCCACCTGAAACTACCTGAATCCGGCTCCTCCTAACCCCCTGGGTAATCCCCCCAGAATCTCCCCTTCCTCCTCTGGCTACTCTAGAGGCCTGCCCAGAGAGCAGATTGTGAAAGAGGACAAGAAGAAAGGCCCGCATGCCTCTTGCTGACACAGCTCCCGCTACCTCCACAACCAGGCCCCGGACCTCCTTATCTGCCAGGAACCCAGTCAGCTGACGCTGCCACGTGGAGGACAGCGCTTGGCTCCCTGAGAATGACGCGGTTGCTGATGTGGACGCTGCTTGGAGCGCGGGAGGAGGCGGAGGAGGCAAGCGACGGAAGAAGGTCGTAAGCTTGCCCCGAAGGGACGCGGAAGCTGTTGCTACCGCTGTTTCATGCGGTGCGGAAGAGAAGGCGGCATCTGGCACCCCTTGCCACATGGCGTCCTGTAACTGGCCGTCAAGCGAGCTCCTGCTACGCGGAGATAGCGATTCTGACGGAGACGGAGCTTCTGACGAAGAGCCGTCAGACGATGTCGATAGAGCGACGGAAACACCCTCCGTTTGTATCACCTCCTCAAACCCGGCTCTCACCACCCCACTTGCCATACCCCCCCGCCTTGCTGCTATTTCAGGGGGAACAGGCGCCATTGCAGTAGCAACAGTTGTCTCCGCTGTCCTCGTTAAGATGTGTGCTCCGACATCCTTTACAAGCTCTTGATGCCGGCTCACGGCTGCAAGGATGTCATGGTAGACGTTAACGTTTCTCGTTTTCTCGATGAACGTGCCGACAGCATTGACGGCGAACGTCGAGACGACATCCTTCAACAGCGCCTTCCCCTTTTCGTTGGTTGCCAGCTCAACCAACAGCAGCTCCCATCCCGTCAGCGCCTGCCTGGATCCAGCCCCGGAGGAGGCGCCAGCTGCGCCGCCAGATGCGGAGACTCCTCCGGGAGGGCTGCTTAACTTGTCTACTAACGAAACTACTAAACTGCGCATCGCCTTTCCTACCACTGCAGATGCGAAGGTTCGACCCTCGTCTGTAAACAGCTTATCCAAAACCGATTCCACCAGTCCCATTCGCCTGACAGAAATCCCGCCAATCCCGGAGCCATTGGTGGCCTGCGCCTGAGATGCGCTCGCCGTTTCATCTGGACCGTTCCACGCTGACGACAGGCACACGCCGTGGAGAACGCCTTCTGTTACAGAGTACGTTGTACGTACGACGGCTCGTTGAAACTCCTCCGAGCTTGACAGCTTCAGGATCTGCCGTACGCTTCGCGGAACCTCGTCTGAATCTGACTCGATAAACGCCCGAATGTCCGTTAGTACAGTGGTGGAAAGCTCAGACGCGGCGAAAACGGCGTTGTATAACCGCGAGAACAGGACCCATGCGTCCCGCACACGTTGCCGCTGACGGGTGTAGTACTCGGAGTTATAGACCTTGTAGGCTACGTAGATCCCGCCGCCTGCTGCGGTGGCTGCTCCCAGGAGGACGGCTACCCGGCGATAGTAGATCGTCCGGGGCGCCGACATGTCCGCGAACGAAAACGCCGATAACGGGATGGGGCTGATATTCGCCGATTCGACCACGGGATGGCTTTGAATTAGGGTTTCCAACGGCGGGATCGCAGCGGAGGAGGAGATAGTGATGAGAACAACTGATCAAGCGCTGGGACTTCTGCAGGGAAGAAAAACGCGAAAAACGGATGGATGACGACTTGTTGTCGCGCTGAGTCGGCGTCTCCAAGGTAGGCCGTCAAGAAATACTATCAGCTGGACATCAAAAAGCTACCCCAACGCCGCTTTTGAATGGTTTCTGCTCTCTCTACTGCTCGACAGGCTACCAAACATGAATTACGGCCAGCGTCAACTGGAGTGACAAGCAGGCCTCTAGAAGTCAGGGTAATTACACTGCTTTGTCAAGGAAAACAGGATGAAATTTTAGCCTAGCCCTGCTTTTGACGCATTCAGAATATCGATACCCGTCCATGGACAGGCAAGCCAGAATTATCCCACGGCCAATTTCCGAGTACGGGATAAACCCGCCCTGTAAAATCTAATGTAAACGTTCGTGCCTCTAGTAATTAAATCTCCCCCTGTCATTGTCAGGAGTGGCTTATTCCGAGCTTTGACGAAACTCTTGCCTGCAAAAACAGTCAAACATTTTAGGGCTACCCATCCTGGACGAGTTGGATCCCGGGCAAACTCGGAAACTGCAGGGTGACCCCTTGGATATCGAGAGGCCTGGTGACGAAATTGTCATGTGCTGGGCATTCCAGGAGGAGCCATGGTTGGGGTTTTGCTGGAGTACTGGAGTGCTGGAGTGCTGAAGGGTTTCAAGGGTGAAATATGAATCTGCACGGGAAAAGCGGTTTGGCATGACGCAGCAGGTTCAATTCGAAGGTCAACACTCCAGATCGGGTGGGGAGGCTTGAAAGAAACAAATAATAGTGCATTGTGGGGCTCCTTTTCCCTTTAAGGGTAGATGGCGCAGACATTCCCCACACCGAAATTTACGTAAGTGCATCCATTCGTGACACTGTTATTGGGTCGAGGTGTGTTCGTGTGGTGTACGTCAAAATTTGGGGGTCAGCTCTTAAATCTCCCCTCACCCCTCCAACCAACCTTGATCGTGACTTTCGAAGGAGTTGCGCTGGCAGCAGAAAGTGTGTGGGGCCGAGGGGCGATTACTGACGGCACAACAAACCGGCCAGACGTCAGACTGGGCTGAAAGCGACAGCAAGGCATGACGTGGAGGGGAGCCACGTCTCGTGATTGGACAAAAGTTTCGTTTTGAGAGGCCCAGTCCTGGGACCACATGACGAGAGAAGGGGGAATGAATCAAACTATAACGAGTATATTCCCAACTCTCTACAAAACATGATATCACTGGTTAATGGAGGGAGGTACATTGTGGGATACATTTCTCACGCGTTCATTATGCTGCTAACCATGACAACGAGTAGTGCTTGCGTGGGCTGACTGCTGACAGCGTCATGTGGTCCCAATGAATATCACCTCCACCTGGCAAAGCATCACTAGCCCTAACTCAAATGGTTTGTACCAACCTTTCTATGCCACGTCCCCGTTACCTCCATCATCACCCAATACCACTCGACGCTCACTGTCAGTGACACCTCATGCCTGTGTCAGTGCCGCCACTCCATCGCCCAACAAGGGGCTCGCGAAAGAAAACGCCAGTTCGCAACGTCGCTTATCTTCGCGAAATCATTCGCCGAACCCAGATGGCTTGGCTGTGAACTATTCGTGCAGGGAACCACACAGAGGGCAGCTGAAGTGAGCAGATAGCAGAGAGAAGGGAGGAGATTAGAGACAGGACCGAGCTGAAGAGAGATCAGAGAGCACGAAACGGGAGCCTAGGAGTTTAGACGCGAGAGGGGAGAGAGAAGCGAGTAGCGTAAGGCCGAGCTGACTAGCGCAGCAAGCGCATCTGCTTGTTGCCTGCTGGTCTAGCGGCAAACTGTCCTGCACGTTGCGTGAAAACCACCCACACAAACCGTCCGTTTTTTCTCGCCTGCAGATCACCGACGGGGTGACTCTGCACGCCGCTCGTCCTCTCGGACAGCTTCCGACAGAAGGCTTTGCAGCATGGAGATAGATTCAAGGGGGTCTGACAATGAGCAGCCTGGGGGTTCCGATGGTGAGCAGCGACAACAAGAGCCGGGGAAGATGGAAGATGGAAACCCCGCCTCTTCTTTTACCATGAATGAGCAGCGACAACACGAGCCGGGGGACATGGGAGTTGAAAACCCCGCCTCTTCTTTCACCTTGAATGAGCAGCGACAGCAAGAGCCGGGGGAGATGTTGGAACAGATCGAAACGATTGAAACGAATGAGACGATGCGGAAGGTACAAGAAGAGGCGGTGGCAGAAGAGGTGGAGGGGGGTTATCTGCTGCTTAAGGTACCAACGCACAACTCCCTGCAGTTGAATCACACTTCCATGGTTACCTTGTCGCGCGACTCCATCGCACTCCCTCGATACAGTATCGATCTGGGCCTGTCGAAGCAGTCTGCCGTTTCAGAATCGAACGAGTCCTCGCCGCTATCACGGTCGTTATCAGACCGTCACCGTCACTGTCAACACCCGGCGTTGTATGTCAGCCGGATGTGAAAGTTGCCGTCGACGTTTCAGGCGAATTCATAGGGAGTCATAGGGAGACTACTATCAGCCCTGATGCCGTCGGTTCTGCCTCTGCCGCCGCCGTTGCCTCTGCTGCCGTCGAGCTGCATTCCTTAAAGCGCAGAGCTGACGACGGCAGTGGATCTCCGCCTCCGCCGCCGTTTCCGCCTCCGCCTCCGCCGTCCGCGCTGACCACGGCGGAGCTCATGGCCGCGCTGCAGCTCGCGCAGACCCGCGCAAGAACCGCGGAGGAGTCGCTCCGCGCGCTGGAGCAGGCCGTGCGAGGGAGAGGAGCGGGGGAAGCGTTGAGTAGCGCAACGGACAATCTGCAGCCGGTGTTTGATGGACTTAGAAAAATCCATGAATCTGAGGCCCGGAGTTGGAAACAAGAGGTTGGGGAACAGCCTGGTTTGGAAAGGGAAGAGGAAGCGCAACGTGGTAGCAGGGACAGGGCTTGTAGTGAAGCAGGGATTCAGAAGGGCGAAGGAAACAGCATTGCATGGGTGGAGCAGGTGTGTGACAACAGCAGAGGTGACAATAGCAGAGGCGACGACGGGAGCAGTGAGAATGTGGGGCGCGGCCGACCAGGAGGCTGGTCTCTTAACCCCTGTCGAGCGGAGCTTCCAGGAACGGGAGACAGGTTCCCTTCTAGCGGCGCTGGCCGATGGCCTGCTGACGTCGACGAGCTGCGGGAGGGTCTGAGAAAGGCAACGGAGCTTGCCACATGGCAGAAGCAGCGGGATCAGGGAGGTTGGCGAGACCACTGGGAGGATGAGGAGCCACGGGAGCCCTGGGAGGGACCGTTACAGAGAACACAGGATCACTCTGTTACTATCAACGTAGCTGGACTTGGTGTTACTTCCCTACTTCCTTCCGTACCTCCTTCCCTACCTCCTTCCGTACCTCCTTCCGTCGCACCTACCGTACCTCGTCCCATACCTCCTCCGCAGCTGCAGTCACCTCCTGCTGACCTGTCGTCTGGCCATCTGACCCTCCGTCTTCGACCAGGTCGCCTGTCCGCGCTGTCTCGCGTGCATGCCTTGGCTCCTGGCTTCAACCCCTACCACCATGCTCGGCCGTGCTATGCTTATCACCGTCCCGCATTCCACACTGCCCCCTCGCCTCTCCCGTCCCATGCAACTCTCATGTCTCTGAATGCCCTGACTGCTCCTTTGCCCGTACTTGCCAATTCAGCCACCTCCTCTTCCTCCGCTGCTTCCGGATTCTCTTCCCCGATTCCCTCCACTTCGGTGCCGAAATGTTTTCCAGACATAGTTGCAGGTTCGCCATTTTCTGCTGCTCCGACTGCTCCGTCTGCTGTATTTGCAGCACCAGCAACAGATGCTGAAGCATTTCCTGCGAATGCTTCAGCTGCGCAGCCAGCTGGGCGTAGCCTCACTTTCCCGGCTTCGCCTGCCCTCTCTTCTACGTCCAGCTCATCCCACACTTTCCACTCCTCTCTCTCACACTCCTCCACCGTGGTTCCCTCCTCCTCCTCCCTCTCCTCCTCTTCCATTCCGTTTGTGACACCCTGCTCCTCATGCACCAGTTCCATTCAATTCCACTCTGGCTTGACATACCAGTGCCACCAACCCTCTCAAGCAGCCTCCTCTACCCCTCACAGAAAGTCTGTGTGGAGATCTTGTGCCAGTCAACATCCCTCGCTTTTATCGAGCCTGCTGAATGCGCTGTCCCGCTTTGTCCGCCGGTCTCTTGTCCTTCCGCAGCTGCTCTTGAGGATCCATTACTCGTTTCTCATCCCACACCTTCTTGGTTACACGTTCAAGCAGTTTTACGCCTCGCAATCATGTGAGCTGGAGGAATCCTTGTACGAGTTACGGGGGAATGTTTGTGACGAAGCAGGGGAGTTACCTCTGGCAAATAAAAGGGGGGGCATTATGAGCTCCCCTAGAGATTGGGAGGAGATAGGGGTATTAGAGGACGAAGATTCTTGGTCGATTGCATGGCTAGTTCAAGTCGTTCTTGCCATGGAAGGTGATGGTTAGGTCGGCAATAAGGTTTGCCGATTCATTGCGTAAAATTTTCACGAAAGTTGTGATTTTATTTCTCCCCTACGCTCCCCTTTCACAACCAAACGAGGAGACCTGTATCTGAACAAACAGAGTGAATGAGACTTAGCTTTTAGGCTAGGGCAGGGCCGTGTTGTTCATAATACACCCACCATTATGCAGCTTGGCCTATGGGATGAAATAAGGCGCCATCTGGGTCGAGGTGTAGTGAGACCCAAAAGATGTGGAGCCCTCGTTGCAACGATTTCGCGAGAGTCGTGCACCGTCGCCCAAACTCAGCTGAACATCAGCTGAGTGTTGTGCGACGTCAACGACGTCCCAAACGAGCTCTTTTACTGGCCGTCCAGTTTCGTCTGCATATCCAGGGGCTCCTCCTCCCCCGACGTCGGCCAATCAACACTTCCTCGACCAAACGTTCAATTTCCACCACTGGTCGCAAGCCATCGCCGCACCGTCACCTGCCGAGCCGCGCGAAGGTTCACCAACCAATGAGCCCACTCCCCTGGTTTCCGAAGCGCACATTTGCCAGGCGAATTTGCAAATTTGCAGCCCCTGAATTCCACGGACTCGACATTCTCTACCGTCTCGCCTCACTCCATTCAATTTCACCTGCACCCGCAGTCGAGCAAGGTTCGCTGGGCAGTGGCCAGAATGCTCGAGCGTTCCCTAGATGCTTGGGCTGGGCCATTCACAAGACATACAACCATCCATACTGTACGGCGTTAGGCGGAGCAGATTCAGCGGGACGGCCGCTGGGCTCTGGCCCCTGCCTGGCCCCTTGCCTCATTTACAGCCGCACAGTGCGCCTGACAAGAAGCGATACTCGTTCACTCGACAAGCAGGTGGCGGGCGGAGCCAGCAGCAGCAGGAAGTGGCGGGCGGACGACGTTTAGTTTTCGTGGAGCGAGGAAGCGCGTGGCAGTAGGAGTGATTCGCGCACAACTCGGCTTGTGCCCTCGTTTTGCAGTCGTCGGTCCGAGGAACAGGATGGGCCGCCCCGTCGGAACTGAGTGCGGCAGTAGCGAATCTTGTACGCTTACGTCGTTCCCAGCGGGGAGGAGAATTCGATGCGAATTAGTACCAAAGTCGGAACCACACGCGCGCCTGGTAGCACCAATCTTATTGGGGCTTGATTAAGCCTTGACCCGCGTAGTTAATGAGCGGCGCACCAGTTAAGCTTCCGAGCCGGCATTAGCGCCGCTCTCGGCACGACCCCTGGCCACCGCAACGCCTAGTCGTCCCTAGGACGTCAGGAAACCGTTTCGAACCCGTTTTCAGCCGCCTAGAAGTTTTCAAGTGAAAGAACGAAAAGGAAAACGGGGATTGTGAAAGCCGTCTGGATACGGGAAGACAGAAAAGGCAAATCTGGCGTTTTCAGAAAGCGGCTTCACCCGGGCCGCGTTCCTACTGGTGCAAAGTCGCTACTATTTGGGGTCGCAGGGGCTACCATGGTGAAAATAGGCGGCGCACGGCTCGAGGACGTGTCGCCGTTCTTCCACCTGCCGATAGAGGAGGCGGCGCGGGAGCTGGGCGTGTGCTCCAGCGCGCTCAAGCGTCGCTGCCGGCGATTGGGAATCAAGCGGTGGCCGTTCCGAAAGGTGGGTAATCCTCCTCCCAGTGTGGGGTAAAGCAGGGTAATTTTGGATATTCCCCAACCTGCCGATAGAGGAGGCGGCGCGGGAGCTGGGCGTGTGCTCGAGCGCGCTGAAACGCCGCTGCCGGCGACTGGGGATCGAGCGGTGGCCGTTCCGCAAGGTAGGCACTGCTCGTGAGTATGGTGAACAAGTCTTATGGTTTGCGCCTGAAAGGAACATCGTTTGGGAGAGTTGTCTCGAAAAGAAAAGAAAGAAAGTGTAAAATGGGTAGTAACTTTCTTGAGGGTGATTAGACCTCCAAATAAAGGTTATTGGGAACCAAGCGATAGCCGTTCAGAAAAGGTTTCGTCGATCCTGTACCGTCCGCCCATCCCGCAGGTGCGCAGCATGAGCAACTCACTATCGCGTACAATGGAGGGCATGTGCAACGTGGGCGCGGGGGGGATCGTGCCGCCCGAATACCTCCAACCAGACGCCGCCACGCGTCTCGCGGCGCAGGTGGCCGCGGCGAATCTAATCAACCTGGACCAGACGCGCCGGCCGCTACTGCCGCCCATCAGCCGCCCGCTCATGGGCGGAAGGGGGGCGGTAGGCGCAGCAGCCGCGCCAGGGGGAGGCGCGGGGGCGGGTGCGGGTGCAATGATTCTGCAGATGGGGGGAAGCACAGGCGGGGGCAGAGGCGGAGGCGGAGGGGGGAATGGGGAGGGGAACGAGGCGGGGGAAATTGTGCTGTATATGGGGGGAAACGAGTTCGGGGGAGCTTCGGAGGGCGGTGTTCCGACGGAAGGGGATGAGGAGCAGCGGGCGTGGGACGGGGGGGAATTGGATGGTGGCTACTATGGCGACGATACTACTACCTGTCAAGAAACGGTGGGGGAGAGAGGTACGTTGCTAAGAGGGAGGTAGAGGTAGGTTACAAGGCACGAAGGTGGGGGCGGGGAGGGGAATGATGAGCAGAGGCCATGGGTTGGATGGGGATTGGATGGTGGTTTCTACGGAGACGATACTACTACCTGTCAAGAAACGGCGGGAGAGAGAGGTATGATGCAAAGAGGATATCGGTACCCTCTCCGTCTGCTCACCCTGCCCACTCTGTCCACTCTGCCCACTCTGCTAGTCTGTTGCTATTACCCATCCCTCCCATCCCTCCCATCCCTCCCATCCCTCCCATCCCTCCCATCCCTCCCATCCCTCCCATCCCTCCCATCCCTCCCATCCCTCCCATCCCTCCCATCCCTCCCATCCCTCCCCATCCCTCCCATCCCTCCCATCCCTCCCATCCCTCCCATCCCTCCCATCCCTCCCATCCCTCCCATCCCTCCCATCCCTCCCATCCCTCCCATCCCTCCCATCCCTCCCATCCCTCCCATCCCTCCCATCCCTCCCATCCCTCCCATCCCTCCCATCCCTCCCCATCCCTCCCATCCCTCCCATCCCTCCCTCCCTCCCATCCCTCCCATCCCTCCCATCCCTCCCCATCCCTCCCATCCCTCCCATCCCTCCCATCCCTCCCATCCCTCCCATCCCTCCCATCCCTCCCATCCCTCCCATCCCTCCCATCCCTCCCTCCCTCCCATCCCTCCCATCCCTCCCATCCTCCCATCCCTCCCATCCCTCCCATCCCTCCCATCCCTCCCATCCCTCCCATCCCTCCATCCCTCCCATCCCTCCCATCCCTCCCATCCCTCCCATCCCTCCATCCCTCCCATCCCTCCCATCCCTCCCATCCCTCCCATCCCTCCCATCCCTCCCATCCCTCCCATCCCTCCCATCCCTCCCATCCCTCCCATCCCTCCCATCCCTCCCATCCCTCCCATCCCTCCCATCCCTCCCATCCCTCCCATCCCTCCCATCCCTCCCATCCCTCCCATCCCTCCCATCCTCCCATCCCTCCCATCCCTCCCATCCCTCCCATCCCTCCCATCCCTCCCATCCCTCCCATCCTCCCATCCCTCCCATCCCTCCCATCCCTCCCATCCCTCCCATCCCTCCCATCCCTCCCATCCCTCCCATCCCTCCCATCCCTCCTCCTCCCATCCCTCCCATCCCTCCCATCCCTCCCTCCCTCCCATCCCTCCCATCCCTCCCATCCCCCTCCCATCCCTCCCATCCCTCCCCATCCCTCCCATCCCTCCCATCCCTCCCATCCCTCCCATCCCTCCCATCCCTCCCATCCCCCATCCCTCCCATCCCTCCCATCCCTCCCATCCCTCCCATCCCTCCCTCCCTCCCATCCCTCCCATCCCTCCCATCCCTCCCATCCCTCCATCCCTCCCATCCCTCCCATCCTCCCATCCCTCCCATCCCTCCCATCCCTCCCATCCCTCCCATCCCTCCCATCCCTCCCATCCCTCCCATCCCTCCCATCCCCCTCCCTCCCCCATCCCTCCCTCCCTCCCATCCCTCCCATCCCTCCCATCCCTCCCATCCCCTCCCATCCCTCCCCTCCCATCCCTCCCATCCCTCCTCCCATCCCTCCCATCCCTCCCATCCCTCCCATCCCTCCCATCCCTCCCATCCCTCCCATCCCTCCCATCCCTCCCTCCCTCCCATCCCTCCCATCCCTCCCATCCCTCCCATCCCTCCCATCCCTCCCATCCCTCCCATCCCTCCCATCCCTCCCATCCCTCCCATCCCTCCATCCCTCCCATCCCTCCCATCCCTCCCATCCCTCCCATCCCTCCCTCCATCCCTCCCATCCCTCCCATCCCTCCCATCCCTCCCTCCCTCCCTCCCTCCCATCCCTCCCATTCCCTCCCATCCCTCCCATCCCTCCCATCCCTCCCCCATCCCTCCCATCCCTCCCATCCCTCCCATCCCCTCCCATCCCTCCCATCCCCCTCCCATCCCCCTCCCCATCCCTCCCATCCTCCCATCCCTCCCATCCCTCCCATCCTCCCTCCCCCATCCCTCCCATCCCTCCCATCCCTCCCGTCCCTCCCATCCCTCCCATCCTCCCTCCCTCCCTCCCCATCCCTCCCATCCCTCCCCATCCCTCCCTCCCTCCCATCCCTCCCCATCCCTCCCATCCCTCCCATCCCTCCCATCCCCCCATCCCTCCCTCCCTCCCATCCCCCCCCTCCCGTCCCTCCCATCCCTCCCATCCCCCATCCCTCCCATCCTCCCATCCCTCCCATCCCTCCCATCCCTCCCATCCCTCCCATCCCCCTCCCATCCCTCCCATCCCTCCCATCCCTCCCATCCCTCCCATCCCTCCCATCCCTCCCATCCCTCCCATCCCTCCCATCCCTCCCATCCCCCCCCCCCATCCCTCCCATCCCTCCCATCCCTCCCATCCCTCCCATCCCTCCCATCCCTCCCATCCCCCCATCCCTCCCATCCCTCCCATCCCTCCCATCCCTCCCATCCCCCCTCCCTCCCTCCCCCATCCCTCCCACCCCCCTCCCTCCCATCCCTCCCATCCCTCCCATCCCCCCCCCTCCCATCCCCCCCCCCCCCCCCCCCCCCCCCCCCATCCCCCCATCCCCCCTCCCTCCCCATCCCTCCCATCCCTCCCATCCCTCCCATCCCTCCCATCCCCCTCCCCATCCCTCCCATCCCTCCCATCCCTCCCATCCCTCCCTCCCCCCCCCCCCCCCCCCCCCCCCCCCCCATCCCTCCCATCCCTCCCATCCCTCCCATCCCTCCCATCCCTCCCATCCCTCCCATCCCTCCCATCCCTCCCATCCCTCCCATCCCTCCCATCCCTCCCATCCCTCCCATCCCTCCCATCCCTCCCCCATCCCTCCCATCCCTCCCATCCCCTCCCCCCATCCCTCCCATCCCTCCCATCCCTCCCATCCCTCCCTCCCCCCCCCTCCCATCCCTCCCTCCCTCCCATCCCTCCCATCCCTCCCATCCCTCCCATCCCTCCCATCCCTCCCATCCCTCCCATCCCTCCCATCCCTCCCATCCCTCCCATCCCTCCCATCCCTCCCATCCCTCCCATCCCTCCCATCCCCTCCCATCCCTCCCATCCCTCCCATCCCTCCCATCCCTCCCATCCCCCCCCTCCCATCCCTCCCATCCCTCCCATCCCTCCCATCCCCCTCCCCATCCCTCCCATCCCTCCCATCCCTCCCATCCCTCCCATCCCTCCCATCCCTCCCATCCCTCCCATCCCTCCCATCCCTCCCATCCCTCCCTCCCTCCCATCCCTCCCATCCCTCCCATCCCTCCCATCCCTCCCATCCCTCCCATCCCTCCCATCCCTCCCATCCCTCCCATCCCTCCCATCCCTCCCATCCCTCCCATCCCTCCCATCCCTCCCATCCCTCCCATCCCTCCCATCCCTCCCATCCCTCCCCTCCCTCCCATCCCTCCCATCCCTCCCATCCCTCCCATCCCCCCCCCCCCCCCCCCCCCCCCCCTCCCATCCCTCCCATCCCTCCCATCCCTCCCATCCCTCCCATCCCCCCTCCCTCCCCCTCCCATCCCTCCCATCCCTCCCATCCCTCCCATCCCTCCCATCCCTCCCATCCCTCCCATCCCTCCCATCCCTCCCATCCCTCCCGTCCCTCCCATCCCTCCCATCCCTCCCATCCCTCCCATCCCTCCCACCAGGGCCATCCCTGATGCTGTCTGTCATTCGCCATGCCGCCGCCAGCAGAGCCGAAGCCGACAAAGAGTCAGCGGGTTTCGACAGAGAGTTGCCAGGTTACGAGAACACCCATTCCCACCTCGCCTTACCTCATTCCAACCATTCCAACCTCTCCTTTCTACGGCCGCCCCACCCATCCCAGCTCTCTCACCCCCCTCCTCAGCTTACCCTTCAACTTCCCCGCTCGCTCCTCCCCATGCCGGCACCAGTTCCGAATCCAACCAACACTGCCACCACTCCCGCCGATTCCGCTCCCTCTTTCCCTCCTCCCTTCCCCGCCCCCTTCCCTCCTCCTCTCCCTGCTCCTCTCTCGTTCCCACCTCCCCCCTCCTCCTCTCACCCTCCTCTCTCCTTCCCACCGCCCCCCTCCTCTCTCCCTCCCATCCGCTCCTCCTCCTCCGATCCTCCGAGCCGCCTCCTTCACATCGACCACTCGCGATTGGTGCTGCCGCCAGCTGCTGACGTCAAACCACTTGCTGCTGCTGCTGACGTCACCCGTCCCTCCTTCCAGCCTCTTTCCCTTCCCAGCGTTACGGCTTGGTCCCGACCCCCCAGCACTCCCGGAAAGCTGCTCTTGCCGTCGAATGAAGTTGCCTGTCAGTCAACTCTACCTGCCTGTCCGTCAGGTCAACTTGCCTGTCAGTCAGCTCCGCCTGCCTTTCCGTCAAACAGTCAAGCCAGCGACCCATCAAACACGCCAATCCGTCGCCCCATCGACCCGTCGCATACACCCATCAATCCAATTTGTACACCCGTACATCCAATTTCTACACCTATATATCCGATTTCTACACCTGTTAACCCCGCAGATACAGTGCGAATATCTACACCCACTGTTCCACTTTCCGCAACCACACCGATGACGCACTGCGGATCTACACCCAGCAGAGACTTATCCACAATAACGAATCCTCTTTCAGCGGGCCATCCCCCACCTCTCAATCTCTCATCACCCCCAGTGCCACGGTCGCTCAGCCATCCACCATCCAACCAGCAGAATCAGCAGCAGCAGGAGAAGCAGCAGCCACAGCAGCTGCAGCAGAATTACCTGCTGCAGAGCCAGCAGCAGCATTACCACCATCACCACCAGCAGCACCAGCCGCACCAGCAGCACCAGCAGCACCACCACTACACTAATCGCCACGACCAGCAGCAGCAGCAGCACAAAGACGAACGCTGCCAGCTGCAGCATCAGGCACCATGGCAAAGCATGCCAATGCTGTACCCTGGGTCACAAAACGGGCAGGATGAAGAGTTTGAGCTGCCCGAGCCTGTCCTCCTGGACGGATTTCACCTCCAGGAAATTGTCCTGGAGGACGGAAGCTACTTCTTCACGCCCCCACGGGAGGCACATTTTCCTCAACACAAGCTGTCTCCTTTTAAGGACAGGTTCAGCTCGAAGATCGTGCAAGAGACGCCTAATGCTGGTGATCCTATGGATACTGATCCATCAACGGCAATCGAAGCTAATTCAAGCCAGGATGTGCGCATGCAAGAGGTGATTGTACCAGGAGAGGGTACACCGGGACAACCCGTACATGCTACTAACGAGGATGGAGTGTATCACTTGGTTCAGCAGCAAGCCGTTGCAGTGTATACAGTTGTCGAGAATCCTCTGCACCAGTCAGAACGGTCAGAACAGTTGGAGCAGCAGCAGCAGCTAGAGCAGCAGCAGCAGCTGGAGCAGCTGGAGTTGCGGCATATGGGAGATGAATCTTCAGGTGAAAACAACAGAGAAGGGAACAAGGCAGAGGGGAGCAAAGGCGAGATTGAGAGTGATCGAGGTCTGCAGCTGGTGGGTGGACAGGTGGCCTGGGCCGGGACTGAGGAAGGGGGGGGGAGCGCCTCAAAATCCACTGCAGAAGAGGACGCAGTTAAGAGTGTTGCAGTGGGAGGGGAGGTCGGAAGTGACTGGAGTGGAGACACGTGTGCACCTGGTGCGACTAAAGGTTCAACAGAGAGGGAGAGGGAAGGAGGAATGCCAGGGGAACTTACAGGGGAGCTTGCTTTTCCTCCTCCTCCCGACAGCCCGCTGAAGCGAGCATACAGCTGTGTTGCCTTTCACACAGACTCGCCACTGAAGAGCGCGTTCAGCAATCAGGACGAGAGCCTGTGTCTTCACGGCGGGGGGTTGTCTCCTGACACGCACCGGTTTCTTCAGAGTTTGGGTCTCCTGAGTAGCCCAAAGCTCACCAGTCCGGTGCTTGCAGCAGTGGGACTCAGCAGCCCGAACCTGATCGGCTCCAGGCTCGGAAGTCCAGGCCTCACCATGCCGAAGCTGGCACCGTCGGGGATCAGCAGTCCGAATCTGATGGGAGCGAGGCTGATCAGTCCGGGATTCAGAGCTAGGCTCGGGAGCCCTGGCAGCGAGAGGAGGTACAACAGTCCCCCGAACCTGCGGAGTGCAAATCTCACCAGCCCAAACCTGCTGTCTGCGAGGAGATTCAGCAGCCCGCTCAGGTTCGGCAGGGCACGAAGCGGTTCGAGCCCAGGTTCGGGACGAGTGCAGGCCAGTCTCTTGCGAGGTCGTGGTGAATCCCGCAGCTCCATTGCGCCCCCGCACAGAGGCACGAGTCCCTTGCATCTTGTGCTGCCTTTGTCGGCGCTTCTGGACTGCCGGAGCAGCAAAGAGCAGGTGGGAGGAAAGGGGGCAGGCGGTGCGCATGGGGACGAGCAGGAAGGAGCAGACGAAGCAGGAGGCGCAGACGAGGACGGCACAGAATCGCAGCAAGTTATGGAGTCTCCAGCGGAGGCAGGCGAGAAGAGCAGGCTACAGGCTTGTGGGCACGTCCTCTCTGCCAGTGGCAAAACCCCAAACCGTGGCAATTCACATCCGCCACAGCATAGCACAGGCACCAGCAACGGCCACAGCCACAGCCCGTTGCGGAAGGGTCGGAGCAGCAGGCAAGGGTCGCCCCTCGGAAGCACGGAACACCTTCTTGGGAGCACCAAGTGCCACGTCAGCAGCACAGGTCGGTGTGAGAGCCCTACGCTGCTGCTTTCGCCCTCTACGTGCTGGATCCACAGCCCATCCCGCGTCGTGGCCGGCATTCACAGCCCAGCAGGGCTGGTGCTGAAGAGCCCAACGAGTTTAATCGGCCTTCAGAGTCCTGCGCACTTGAGGATTCACAGCCCTGGAAGAGTGCGTGCAAGAAGAAGCCCAGGGAGGCTGGCCGGAAGTGCGGGGATTGCTGGGATTCAGAGTCCTTCCCGGCTCATCCGATTCCACAGCCCTTCTCAGCTGGTCAGAATTCACAGCCCATCGCTGCTTCGGAGAAGCCCGTCCAGGTTCAGTGCACTGTATAGCCACATACACAGCCCTGCGACTGGACGGCTTCGTAGTCCTGGGACTGGGGCGTTTCACAGCCCTTCTAGGCACGGCAGCACTGTACATAGCCACGTGTGCACCACCTCTGGCAGCGGAGGGGTCCATAGCCCGTCCAGGTTCTGCACCACTGTACACAACACTGCACACAACACTGCACACAACACTGCACACAACACTGCACACAACACTGCACACAACACTGCACACAACACTGCACACAACACTGCACACAACACTGTACACAACACTGCACACAACACTGCACACAACACTGCACACAACACTGCACACAACACTGTACATAACACTGTACATAACGCAACACATAGCCAGGTACATAGCCCCTCCCAGATGGGGGGGTTCTACAGTCCATCCAGGTTCGGAAAGGAGAGAAGGGCGCATGTGAGCGTGCTGCCTTGTCGGGAGAGGGAAGGGAGCGGAGGGAAAGGCGAGAGAGCTTCGCTTTTGGGTATGGAGCCCATGTGCCTCGACGGCGGTACAGGTGGTGACTGTGGGACAGGAGGTAACTGTGCGACAGGAGGTAACTGTGGGACAGGAGGTAACTGTGGGACAGGAGGCGACGGTAGCAAAAGGAGTGGCGATCGCATGTGTGGGTCAGACTGTCCCTCTGCAGGCATTGCTGTGGTGAAAGGTGGTAATCTGTTGTCCTCACATGCGGCTGGTGCTTCTGGCGATGGTGTTGCTGGTGCTGGTGGGACCATTTAAACTGGCATAGAGGATGTATTCATACCAGATGCTCTATGAGTAGAAAGTAGAACGCCAGATTGGTGTTGGTTGGCACATTATCAATTTGAAGATAGAGGCTATGCTATCTGTAGGGCTGAGGAAAGCCCTTAGGATCTTTCCAGAGACTAATTCCCATTTGTACAAGATGCTTGAGTAGTGCAGCGGAAGTGTTGAGTATTTGAACCCTTGCACTAGTACCGTATTCCCCCGTATACAACACCCCGCAAAATTGAACGCCCGTGGGTGGCTTGAGCGGACATGGGTGCTTAATTAAAGTGGATATACATAGCACCCGTCTTTTTTGCCTGCAAATATTTGAACACCCGCCCGAAACTTTCAAGGTCACTTTTGAGTTCTAGTAGCATAGACGAGCGATACCCACTTTTTTTACCACTGCTGCTGTGCCATCACCTGAGCGTGAGAGCTAGTGGGAAACTTATCGAGGAACCTACCGTATACAGCGCGGTTCAAGAGGTGTGACACAGAAAAAATCGAGACCCATTTTGACTGCCCGAACAAGTGGGTCCCTTGAATCCTCGTAACTCAATGTTCGCTACTTGACTTTCGGGTCGCACTCGCCTTCCCGCCAAGAAAATCGTGCCATGCCTCCTACGGATTGGCTGTTTGGTGTTTCACCACTTCCGTGCGCGATGTCGAGGGGAAAACCAAAATACAGCAGAGTACGACAGTGCACTTTGTTTAGGGAAAACAATATCAAATACACATGTTCCACAACACCCAGGCGTTATACAAAATTAGCCACTAATTACACCCCCCTCAAAATTTAGAGGCATTTTGGTTACCACCCTAGGGTGCTTTATACGGGGGAATACGGTATGTGAGAGCAAGTGATTGATTAAAAGAAGCAAGCTACAGCAATATATAGAAAAATAGGAAATAGAGCAGTTGTAGAATACAGTTGAGGAAACGGTTATCGAGTCGCACAGCGACTCGATCGTTGGTTCGGTTACCACCCTTGTAGTCGTAACGGTCAGTCGCAACCTCCGGTTGCGACCCTTCGAGTCCCTTTGTCCTTTCGTGTTCTTTCGTCCAACCTCTTCGTGTAACCTCCGTTGACTCGCGTTCTCGATACGGCTTTCCTTCGAGTGTAGTGTTACACTTCAGAAACGCTCCTCGAGGTATTTCCAACACTATCTGCCAAATAGCTGCATGCCAATAGATCTGCTTTGAATGCTTGTGAATTGGTGACGCTGGTAGGCCCGCTTTGTCTTCACTTCAACAAAGAATGATACATGCCAGACGTTGAATCTCCAGAAATGGGTCATCATAGTGGACTCTCAAGACTAGAAACAATGTGTTCTCTGCTGCCTTGTCCAGCAAAAAAGGCAACCTGCACAGGGTACGCATGCAATCTTAGCTAGCTTCATCAATCAGGTGTTAAACATATTTGTATGTGCTATTATTGGCTAGATGGGTGCATGCTCTTAGAGGGTCCAACACACTCGTACAAACCCACCTTTTATCTCTCATTTTACTCATTTGTTAACTGCGGCCGCAGGGCCCCCGGAGTCGGCCGACTCCTCTACCGGGACAACCGACGGGAGGGGAGTGACATGAGACACACCAGACGGGGCATGACGGGGAGGAAAAGGAGCAGGGGCGACCGGGGGAGTGGGAACAAGGAACGGGGGCGGGGAAACCATGAGACCTCGGTGGAGAAAGCGGGTGTAGAAGGAGACAAACTCGCCAAAAGTGACGTCACAAGAGTAAAATAAACGGTGAGACGGCGGGTGGTAAAAGTGCCAGTCAGACGCGTCTAGGGGGGAACCAAGGAAGACACAAGGGACGGTGTGGGCAGTGAGCTTGTCCGTGCCAGAGGCTCGAACGTGAGCAAGGCAGCCCCAGACGTGGAGCGCAGACGCGTCACCAGGGAGCCCGGTCCAGAAGAGGGTCGGCGAAACCTGCGGCCGCTGGGAATGTGGCCACAGGTTAAGCTGGTGAGCAGCGTAGCGAACAGTGAACGGCCACAAAAAATAGGGTGCACCTGCATGGAACATGGAGGTACGGGCCACCTCCATGACCAAGCCGATGCGTCGCTCAGCGACCCCATTCTGCTGCGGGGAGTCCGGCAGGGTGTACGACTGGGTGATGCCCTCCGCACGACAGAACTGGCCAAGCCGACCGGAGGCGAACTCGCCACCACGGTCGGAGTGGAGACGCAGCACGGGGAGGCGGCGGTGGACTTGCACAGCTACGACCTACGAGATAAGAACCTCAGGCACGTCGGCCTTATGCTCCAGAGGAAACACCGTGGTGTAGCGCGTATAGTCGTCGCCAAGCACTAGGAAGTAGCGCTCTCGACACGGCCCAGGGATGGGGGCTGGGCCCCAGACGTCCAGGTATAGGGTCTGGAGTGGCGCAATGGTAGGGGGAAGCGAGGAGGAGTGAGGAGCACGGCGCAGCCGGCCCTCGACGCAGGGCGTGCATGACGGCGCATGCGAGGGAGGGAGGGCAGGGAGCGACGTAGAGAGACTTAATACAAGACCGTGCTGGGACATGTGACGCAGACAGGGGAGTGCGGGGTGACCTAAACAATGGTGCCACAGCAGCGACGGGTGGGTGAGCGACCGACAGGAGCAGGCCGCAACGACCTGGGTAGACGTAGGCACTAGATAGGACGCTCCCACCGTGGAGGACTTGGTGTAAAGTGTAAACAAGCCAGACACTGAGTCTCGAGGGAACGTGGTGAGGGGGGCACAAGTGGCGGCCTCGGTACAGACTGCGTACCGCTTGTGTCCAGGACGTAGCTGAGGTCCTGAAGACAGCCGACACCAACTAGGTTCCTGGGGAACAAGGGGATGTGCAAGCCTGTAAGAGAGCTCGAGGGAACCGCCGAACAGGGTAGTGGAGCTACGGGCAACTACCGGACTCGAGGATGGGTCAGCAAGCAATACAGTAGGAGCAGCAGTCATTGCTAGTGTCCGCCCTTCGCCTCCTCAGTCTTCCCTCCCCTGACCACCTGCCTGCGCCTCCCCCATCGCCGCCTCCCCCGCCTGTCTACGGCCCTGTGTTTCCTTTGCCGGACTCGTCTCCGGCTCGCTTCCCCCTTCGTTCTCCTCCTGTTTCTCCACCCTTGTCTCCTAACCCGACTCCACCCTCCCGCTGGTGGTCTCGTCGTTCCTCTCGAGCTCGTCCTGTCTCTCCTACCTTGCGTTCTCACCCTACATTGCTTCGTTCCCACGCGTCTCGTCCTCCCCTCCTCCCGTCGCTGCCCCCGTCCTAGCTAGTTGTCGCTCCGCCTCCTCTATTTGACTTCCTGTATGCCGCTAGTCCTCTTGTTCCTCGGGTCCTTACCTCCCTCGTCACCGACCCATCTGTTCCTGTCTCTAGTCTTGACGCTCTTGTCGCTGCCGTCGCTGACTTTGCCTCTACCCACCGCCTTGACTATGCCACCGCCCGGCATGAGCATCCCGGACAGACGGTGGACAGGTAGGCTCAGAGACTAGAGCTGTGGCAGAGTCAAGGCGGTGGGTAGAGGCGAAGTCAGGGATGGCAGCGACACGCGCGTCAAGACTCGAGACAGGAACAGACGGGTTGGTGACAAGGGAGGTAAAGACTCGAGGAACAAGAGGACTAGCGGCATGAAGAAAGTCAGAAAGAGGAGGCGGAGCAACAACAAGCGACGACGGAGGAGGCAACGAGAGGAGGGAAAACGAGACGCGTGGGAACGAGGCAACATAGGGTGAGAGCACTGAACACGAGAGACAGGACGAGCACGGGAGGGACGGCGAGACCAAACGTGAGACGGAGGCGTTGGGTCAGGGGACAGAGGAGGAGAAACACGAGGGGAACGAGGGGGAAAACAAGCCGGAGACGAGTCCGGCAGAGGAAAAACAAGGCCATAGATAGGCAGGGGAGGCGGCGGCGGGGGAGGCGCAGGCGGGCGGTAAGGAGAGGGAAGACCGAGGACACAGGCTGCGACTGCTGCTGCTGCACCACATCGACACCAGAACCTCAAGCTGCACCACGACTACCTTCAGAATGCTCCACTCCAGCACCCCCAGAACAAGAACCCTCTCCAGCACCGGTGCCACCCCTAGGACCGCCGAGAGGAGGCACGACAAGAACCCTAAGACTAGCACCCCCAGAACCAACACCCCCACAACGAGAACCCTCTCCAGCACCGGTGCCACTTCCAAGACTGCCGAGATAAGCCACGACAGTAACCCCAAGACTAGCACCCTCCTCAACGCCAGCACCCCCAGAACGCGCGGACCCCTGCGGCAGCTGCGGCTACAGTGGCGGCTGCGGCTACAATGGCGGCTGCGACGGCGACGGCGGCTGCTGCGGCGACGGTGACAACTGCTACCGTTGCGGCGGCGGAGGACGAGACACCAGGGCGAAGATAGGCAGTGAGACCGAAGCCGCGGGGCCCGCGGTGTCAAAAGACTCCTCCATCGGGACCGCCGACAAGAGGGGAGTTACGTGAAACACACCAGACATGGCAGGACGGGGAGGAAGAGGAGCGGTGGCTACCGGGGGAGTGGGAACCAAAAATAGGGGCGGGAAATCTGGGAGACCTCAGTGGGGAAAGCTGTGGTAGAAGGAGACAGACTCGTTGGAAGTGACGTCACGCGGGTGAAAGAAGCGGTGTGAAGGCGGGTGTTAAAAGTGCCAGTCAGACACGTCAAGGGGGAAACCAAGGAAGACACAAGGGACACTGCGGGTCGTGAGTTTGTCTGTGCCAGAGGCACAGACGTGAGCGAGGCATCCCCAGACGTGGAATGCAGATGCGTCACCAGGGAACCCGGTCGAGAGGAGGGTTGGCAAAACCTGCAGCCGTTGGGAGTGCGGCCACAGGTTAAGCTGGTGAGCGGTATAGCGAACAGTGAACGGCCACAGAAAATGGGGTGCACCGGCATGGATCATGGAGGTACGAGCCACCTCCATGAACAAACTGATGCATCGCTCAGCAATCCCATTCTGCTTTGAGGAGTCTGGCAGGGTGTACGACTGGGTGATACCCTCCGCACGACAGAACTGGCCAAGCTGACTGGAGGCAAACTCGCCGCCATGGTCGGAGTGGAGACACAACACAAGGAGGCCGTGGTGGACTCGCGCAGCTACGACCCATGAGATAAGAGCATCGGGCACGTGGACCTTGCGCTCCAGGGGAAAT